TTACTTATATATCTTTTGGCTATAATTTACAGAAAATAACTTTGCTATTTGATTCTTCTTTGGCACTTTACACTTGATTAGTGCAAGCAAGTGCCACAGTGGCATAATACAATTATATCAACTTGAGAACTTCTCTTAATAATAGTCATTGTACAGGAAGCTTGAGGATGGTGACGTTGTCAATATTGATGTCACTGTGTACTATAAAGGTGTTCATGGTAAGTTAATTAGTGAATATATGTTACACCATTTCACTTGAAGTTCATAAAATTCAACCCTCGGTTAATTTATGAGTTGTTATGCAGGTGATCTCAATGAGACATACTTTGTGGGAAATGTTGATGAAGAGTCTCGCCAACTGGTCAAATGCACATATGAGTGCCTGGAGAAGGCAATATCCATTGGTATATCTCCATTATATTTCAACTCTGAAGAATCTGTCTCTTGTCTAAGTTTCAAATATAATTGAATTTTTAAAACATTATATTATTAGTCTTGTATTTCCTTATGAATTCATAAATGAAACTGCAAATTTGATCCTAAAAATGTTAATTTGGTCCTCAATCCCCAATTATATTAGATAATATATCTTTTAACTATTAAAAATATAAATTAAAAATAGGACATGCTGAATAACTGATATTGATTGAGCTACTTAATATTTTATCAATATGCATTGTAAAAATCAATTAATAACTGATAAAAACCATAAATATATCTATTTGGTCTTTGGATTATATTGTCCGATTGCTGTGTTTAAATGCTTCATATAATTAGAATGTCCATAAGATTTTAAGAAATTGAACAATGGGATCCTGATTCTTCCTTTTCTAACGAATTCAGTTAAACCTGGAGTACGATTCCGCGAAATTGGTGAAGTTATTAATCGTCATGCTTCAATGTCTGGCTTCTCTGTGGTATAATTACTTTTCTTTTCTTTTCTTTTCTTTTAAATTTTAAAGGTACTTTTTTATTGTTTTGTTGCTTCACATCGGTCGATGGATATCACTTGTACCTTACTCATATTCCCCCGTCCCCTTAGGTAAAATCATATTGTGGTCATGGAATTGGAGAGCTCTTTCACTGTGCACCAAACATTCCTCATTATGCAAGTATCCTTTCCTTGGTTTAAAAGCACTGCAGGGTAGGGAAAATATATTTGAAAATTACTTTCTGCATCCTCTAATGTATGTTTGGTCAAGCGTTAAGCACAATATGCAATATGCACTTTTCTTTTAATATAAAGGAACCGATTGTTGGAACATAAAATAACTGTTGGAAAACTAGAAATAATTTTACTTATGATTAGCCGTTCACTTTCTATTGCCAATCTGGTTGTAGATTCTGTTAATTGCTCGCGACAAACAGGTTCTTTATTCTCATGTCATTTTTTTTAAAATTGTTAATTTTTCTCTGTCAAATCCAATTCTTGAAAGTATTGCTCCCAAAATTAAACTTACCATTTCACATTAGCTTTTTATTGTGCGTGCACCTCTAGCTTCTCTTCCCCCCATCCCAGTTGATTCATGTTAACATTGAACCGTGATTGCAAGAAAGAGAACATGTGCAATACACCTTAACCACCAATGTCAGGAAATAAAGCAGTTGGTGTGATGAAGGCAGGGCAGACCTTTACAATTGAACCAATGATCAATGCAGGTATACTTATAAAATTGCTTATGTAGATAATTTTCATGAATACATGTGGCAAGCTCTAATGGTAGTTTTTAATAGGCGTTTGGCGTGATCGAATGTGGCCTGATGGATGGACTGCTGTTACCGCAGATGGTAAACGGAGCGCTCAATTTGAGCACACTCTTCTGGTATGTCCACTTCTGTTTTCTCCTGGGTTCTATTGCAGTAAAGTAGAGTTATATTTTACATTCTGTCATGATTTTGTAGAAAATTATCATAATAATTTTAATTTTTGGATAAAATTTTGTACATATGATAAGATAACATTTACATTCTCACCTTTATATAATGATAATGAAATGATTCAATAGCTTGCTACAAAGTGCTTTTGTTGGGCATAATGGTAGTAGCGAAGAGGTTTAGTTTAAATGTCCGCTTGTTTATTTATTTTGGGTGATTAGTTTGTGTTTTTAATTTGTGTATATTTGATTCAAATAAAATTGATTTTGAACCTTCAAACATAATTGGGATATGTATTTAAATTAATCTCGGCTACAGATTTTACACTAGAACATGTGCATGGTGTAGGGGATTAATTGATTTCTAATATAAAACAAAAAGGCTCTAAACTTATATTCTCATGCAAATTACCCAAGCCCTACACCACTAGCCAAATCCTAATCCTATTGGCATTGCCTTCTTTTTACAAAGTGCACTAAAGCCATGGTGGCTTGTTCTTAATTTGTTTTGGTCAGTGAATTAGTAAATTCAATGACACTTGTATTTGGTGTCTTAAATATGCATCTCATCGTGCATCACTACTTTTAGCTAACCATATCTGTTTAATATGATGCAACCTTTTCATTATTAGGTGACAGAGACTGGTGTTGAAGTTCTAACAGGGCGGTTGCAGACATCACCCAATGTTTTTCCTTGGCTAAATTCATAGACAACCACATTTCATTGCTTAACTTCCGCTGGTTGCCTCTTTTTTTGGGTATCATGTTTGTAGCTTATACACAAAAAATTCAATTTAGTTGAGGAATATGATAATGATATGATGTTTGTGTAATTGAAGACAATTTCATTTAATAATTTTGTGGTGTGTTCTTTATTATGCTTTTGTTTAAGTGAATAATGCTTTGAGCAGTTGAGCCTATATTTTGAACATCAGGGCTTAGTAAATGATATTCCTAGGATTTATATCTTGTCCATAATATGCGTACTTACATTTTTAACTAAATTATTCAAACTAATAAAAATAATTAAAATTAGTTTATTTTCATAATTTTTAAATATGAAAATCAGTTTTATCCTTATTTAATATTATTGAACTGAATTTTAGTATTAACATTTATTTTTGTAGTTTTAAGTTTTCATCAATTCTATTTATGAAGGATAAATGAAAAAATAATAATAAATACTTCATAAAAATTATGAAGTATTCTATAAAAATAATTTATTAATCTATTGCTTTTAAGGTTGAGTTTATATGTTTGAAACTATACATTCATGCTATGTATAATGTTTCATGAAGAAAATAAGATTAAATTGACATGCAATATAGGTTAAATTTTGCATTATAAGAGCTGACCTGGCTTAAATAGGTTTTTCAATTAAATATAATTTTAAAAATACATTTGGATGATATTTGAATGAAGTTGTAGTGGTTGTTTGGTTTTCAATAGTTGCTTGTTAGATTAAATGTAAAAGAACCCGACACTTTCACTCCCAAACTTTGATGTTATGTACTTCAAACATTAGTTAATCCGCTTTGTCTTCTTAAGTAGTCCTTTTACTCGCCTCACTTTTAAAGTTTCGCGAATTGATTCAGTTCAATTAAAAATTAATAAAAGAATAAATTTGTATAATTTTATTCTTAAATAAATTATCAACTTTATTGTACTAAGATATATTTTTTTATGTATTAAATTTATGTCTGTAAAAATTAAGAATCTAAAAACAAAATCTTAATTCTTTTAAATTTTTATTTAACCCAATGATTCTAACTTATAAGTGAATAATACCCAACCTGTCTTGGTCTAATTTAATTTTGATGTTTTCTAAATAGCAAAATAAGACCCAATATGTTTTGGGGCGGGTTGGAATTGCTTAACCCGATAAAAAAATTATATTTTTTAAAATAATTATGAATTAATGTATGATAAATTTTAATAAATAACATTATGCATAAAACAATATTATATTTATATTATTGGCTTATATATATATATATATAGCTAGATCTTCTTATATCGGTGTAAGTTTAAAAACTTTTATATCCAATCTGAGATTTAACTTAAATCTAACGGGTTATAATTTATTATTTTACTGGTCATTAGACTTAAGTTAAATGGAAGATTCATATTAAATGTAAGAGTTTTTAAATTTACATTGGTGTAAGAAGATTCTTTCTATATATATATATATATAATGCAAAAAATAGTATAATTTTAGTTTTATATTTCGTTAAAATTGATATATCTTGTTTAAAAATTGAGTTGATTCAACCATATTAGAATATTTTTATGGAATTTTGATTGAGTCGAATTCAAACATTAAAAAGAATAATCCTATAAAAATTCATAGTGAAGTAAGAACAGATATAAGCCCGTCCCTTGTATATGGTTAGTCCAATTCACCTTATTTCACTTGGCACGAAGTAGCATAAATGGGTTGGAGGATTTCATCCCCAAACTCGCCAGCCAAATTAACGGTCACCACCACAATGTTCTACATATATAAATTAAATGGAATATGCTCAGTTTTCTTTTCTATCAAGAAAACAGTTTTCTTAGATTCGATTTTTATTTTTACTTATGAAACCACACAAAATTTATACGATTAGTTATATTATATTAGTATACTTTAGCTATTATTATTTATATTCCCCATAATATTCTTACGTTAAAAATAATTTTCCTTTATTTTTGGTGGTTTAGAATAAAATCCCTTTCATTTATTTATTGTATTCTTTTTTGCTAAATTACTTGACTTGACTTGCTGGCTAGCTAGCTATGAGAGCCTCAGTCAACGGATTCTAAAACCATTACCAATTAATAAAAACAATCAATAAAAAATGCAAAAAGAAAAACTGTTTTTTATTATTATTTTATGTGTGTGTGAATCAAAGATATCTCCCAGCCGACACTTAAAAAGTTTTATTTTTCCTAACAGTTTTTCCTATACCCATGGTTAGGAATCATATAATTCTTTATGAACAGAAACAAATATGAAATTACATTAATAAGTCCAGATTACACTTAATTAATAACAATTTAAACCCACCCAAAGAAAAAACATGCATCATGGACATGAACAAACAAAGGGTAGTAATTAGTTAAGTTAGCTTAGCTGTCAAGCTCCTAGGATTGCTTGGAGATTCTAGTAGCAGCTTGCTGGTATCTAGATGCATATCTATGAAATATGGCAAGTGCATTACTAGTAACTTGTGCCACATTCATGGCCTTAACCTTAATTGCAGCTGCTCTCTTACTCATTCTATGACCAGGGAATGAGTACACACAAGTACTAGCATCTGTTAAGGCAGTGCTCACCCATGTCTCAACATTACTTATGTGCCACAACATGTCATCATTGATGGTGGAGCCATGTTGGTTCAACATTTGTAGTTCTTTGATGGCTTGATTAAGTTGGTCCACGCTATCCTTTATTTGGTATACGCAATCTTGCACGATTAGGTACTCTCTTTTGTTGTTCTTTGTGGCCCTAAGTTCCTTGGCCACTTTCAACAAGTACCCTTTGGTGTTTAGTGCTCTAGAGAGGCTCACTGACAAGGCAAATTGAGCTAAGTGTTGTGGGCCATTTATGGTGGATTTGGCATATTGAACTAAGCAACGAATGCAAAGTTTTGGGTAGAGGGTGCCATTGCAAGAGGACTTTATGTAGGCCATTGTTTGGGAATCGTTATGCTTGGCCATGGTTGGCTCAACAAAGGTGGCAATAATTGAAAACAAAGAGAGGAAAATAAATAGCACCATTGTGAGGTTAAATCGTGCCATGTTGGGTCACAATTGAAGCTTGTTTAGTGCTAAGCCTAAAAGAAGAGTTTTCAAAGCTCAAATGGAGATGTTCGGTTGAAGAAAATGGCAATGGGGTGTGGTGTTTATATAGAATTCCTCACATCATCACATGCACATCTATTTAGTTTTTCCCTTTGTTACGTTATTTTATGTCCTTTATACATGCAATGAGTTGTGATAAGAACGAGCAGAGCAATATAGGACTATAATAAAATTTAATAGGAGTTGGTCGGTCAAATCAAAATCAAAGATAATATACAATTAACATTAGCATTGCCATCAGTATCCATTATATTATTATTTTATGTGTATATAATAATACATTCATATCAAAGATAGTCACCCTGAAATCAAGAAAATAACTTGTTGGAGTAAAACCTTGTTTTAAGAAGCTTGTTTTCCTTGTTTGAGTGTCATGGTATGTGAAGTAATGTGGCTCAAACTTTTGTTATTACACGTTTATATGACTCTTAATTAGTAAGGAAAACGCATGAAACTTGAATGATATATTGGGATAGTTTAATGAGAGTATGTTGATGATTCTGAAGGCTGAATCAAAGTGCAACATGGAACTTTCAAGGCGAGCCCACGGGTCCCTGTCCCCTTGAAAGAAGAAAAATAATATAATTAATGCTCGTGTGTATTTGATCAACTGCTTGGCAAATTTAAGCATAATAACATCTTACATTTTTTTAATATATTATATTGTTAGTAAAATTTTAAAATATCTATACTAAATTAATTTTTGTTTTAAAATATTATACTAACAAAGGCTAGTCCAACGAAAATTTGCAGTAAAGGATAATTTTTTTAATTCTTGAGATGAACAACCCATCACGCTCCTGTTATCCCAGTCAACATTGAAAAATTTTGGCCCCATGGTGGAGCCTCATGCTTTGGAAGACTAAAGTTTTAGTATAAAAATATTCACATAAAAAAAATAAAAGATGATAAAAAAAAAAGGACAAAAAGAATTTTTTTTAACAGGAAAAACTAATTTAAAAAACTATAAAATTATTTTAATTTAACTGGTAATTTTGAGTTCGAGTAATATTAGATGTGTAAAAATTAATGAAAAAAATTAAAAAATAAATAAAAGATCAAATATAATAAGATTGGTTAAAAGATTTGGACTTTCATTAATTGCTGCTTAATTTAACTTTGTGGTGTTAAGCTACACTGTTTGTTGGTTTATTTCAACTTTAAATAGCATTTAAGTATTAAGGAAATAAGTACAAGATCACGATTCTCCAAATAAAATCTATTCCCTTAATTTGGCAAGTCAGATGTTGCTACCTAAGCATATCAATCTTGAAATTGAGCTAATCCTATTCAGATTTTGAGATTCAAATGCTCAGATATAGAGATTCATGTAAATAATAGGTTCTTTATTACATGATTTACTCGTGCTTTCACTTAATAATCTCATATTAAATCAAATCAATCTATCGAATTAATTATTCGTTAATCTACGCCCCTGAGATTGAAAACCAGCTGACCTCCTTAATTACATGCCACATTAGCAACATGTAGCTTTTGGACCCAATTTTATGCTTTGTTTTGATCCAAGGGATGAAATTGCATGTGATTAATGAAATAGATAGAAATGAAATGAAAATAAAATTAAATGGTTTTTTGGATAAATTGAAATGTGAAGAAAATAATACACATAAATATTAAAAGAATAGTTTACCCTTAATGTCTGTTGAGTTAGGGAGTTTTTAGGTAGAGAGTCTCAACAAAAAATAGGACACCACAATACAACTCCAAAACTTTAAGGCAATGGGTACATAGGTCCATCTCTTTATAGACCTCTAACTTGCTCATATCACTTGACTCCAATACTTCCTCTCAAATGTGAATCTATCTATTCCATATTCCATATCGGCTCCCTCCGCAGCAGAATTTCTTTCATCCATGAGTATATCTATGGTCTACACTAGAGCAACTCTTGCTCTCTTCCACGTGGGTTGTTATTCACCCAACGATACTTTTTGGGCTCATGAGTATATCTATGGTCTACACCAAAGCAACTATTGCTCTCTTCCATGTGGGCTATCATCCACCCAACAATACTTTTTGGGCTCCACACATTCCGCACATGAATGCTACTGGCTCATGAGTATATCCATAGTCTACACTAGAGCAACTATTGCTCTCTTCCACATGGGCTGTCATTCACCCAACAATACTTTTTGGGCTGAGTATAACATTGTTGGGTTGAAGAGTTTTTACGTAAGGAGTCTCAACAAAACAAATACTAGAACACCACAATGCAACTCCAAAACCTTAAGATAATAGGTACATGAGTCTATCTCTTTATAAACCCCTAATTTACTCATATCTTATTCCATGTGGAACTAATTCACACTTTACTCTAACAATGTCTTTGAAGATAAGAAATAAAAATGACAGAATCTATTAAATTATTAAATTTTAATCATTATTTTTAATGAATTCAAATTAAGGAAGTGAACTTAAATTTTCATATTCCATGTGACTTCTTCGCTTTCGCTTGTCCTAATTCTTTACCCAATAAAAAAAAGTGGTTAAGATTATACAATTTAAGTATAGATATCATATTTAATTTTACATATCTTTTATAAATTAAATTGATTAATTTTTATTTTATCAGTACCTCATTCTTATGTGAAGAATAATTCTTCTTTCAAAATATATATATATATATATATATATATATATATATATATATAGAGCAACGCCTTTTGAATATTTTTTAAATTAGTAATATTTTCTGAAAATATTTTTAATACAATATTAAATTTTTTAATAATAATTAATTTTTAATACCCATGTTACTATTTTTAATAAATCGCCTTTATGTATCTTAAACTGTCCTAACAATTGATAACAACCCAACTCACATAGTTATTTATTAGTACAAATAGTTATGAAACTAAATTCATGAAATCAAATTACACCAAATGAATAGGTATCATAACCCCCCAAAGAAAAAACATGTATAATGTATACATGAACAAACAGAGGGTGGTAATAAGCTATAGCAAATTAGCTTCTAGGTTTTCATGGGGGTTCTAGCTGCTACTTGTTGCCGGTATCTAGATGCATATCTATGGAATATGGCAAGTGCATTACTAGTAACTTGTGCCACATTCATGGCCTTAACCTTAATTGCAGCTGCTCTCTTACTCATTCTATGACCAGGGAATGAGTACACACAAGTACTAGCATCTGTTAAGGCAGTGCTCACCCATGTCTCAACATTGCTTATGTGCCACAACATGTCATCATTGATGGTGGAGCCATGCTGGTTTAACAAATGTAGTTCTTTGATGGCTTGGTTAAGTTGGTCCACACTATCATTGATTTGGTCCACACAATCTTGCACGGTTATGTACTCCATTTTGTTGTTTTTTATGGCCTTAAGTTCCTTGGCCACATTCAAAAAGTACCCTCTTGTGTTTTGTGCTCTAGAGAGGCTCACTGACAAGGCATATTGGGCTAAGTTTTGTGGGCCATTAATGGTGGATTTGGCATATTGGGCCAGGTAACGAATGCAAAGTTTTGGGTAGAGGGTGCCATCGCAAGAGGACTTTATGTAGGACATTGTTTGGGAATTGTGATGCCTTGATGGTTCAACTGGCGCGGCAAAATTTAAAAAGAGGAGAGAAAGGAAAATGGATAGTAATGTAAAGTTGAATTGTGCCATGTTGAGTCACAAATTGAAGCTTAGTTAGCTATGAACCTTACAGAAGAGTGTTTTCAAAGCTCAAAAGGAGATATTTGGTTGAAGAAAATGGCAATGAGGTGTGGTGCTTATATAGATAGCTCCTCACATCATCACATGCATAGGTATTTAGGTTTTCTCTTTGTTACGTTATTTTATCTTCTTTTTACGTGCAATGAGTTGTGCTAAGAACGAAACAGAACATAGGACTATAATAATTTTTCAATAGGAGCTGGTCGGTCAAATTAAAATAAAAAATTATAATTAGCATTAGCATAAGCATACATTATATTATTATCTTAGATGTAAATAATAATATATTCATATAAACTATATATAGTCCACCCTGATATCAAGAAAAAACCATGTTAAAGCAAAACCTTGTCTTAAGAAGCTTGTTTTATTTTGAGTGCGGTGGTATGTGAAGTAATGTTGTGGCTCAAACCTTGTTGTTATACGATTAAAAGGGTTAGACTTGAACTTAGATTGTAAGAATTATGATCAAGTGGTGAGAGGGGGAAAAAAAGAGAAAAAAGATGTAATACGATGCTTAAGTAAGAAGAGAAAATGTATGAAACTTGAATGACTGGAGATGATTTAATAAGAGATTGTTGATGGTTTTGTAGGGTTGATGAAGGTGCAACATGGAGCTTTTAAGGCGACACCATCGGGTCTATGTCTAATGCAAAAGAAGGGAAAAAAGAAAAGAAGAAGACATGTGCGAAGTTGATCAATTGGTTGGCAAAACATAATAGCAAACCCCAATATGAAGCTTGGAAGATTCCAAGAGACATAATTTCGATTACTAAAACTATAATGATGCGTCATTATATGGTTAATTGTTGGCTCTTCAATTTTGCAAGTGGGACATTACGAGTGATATTCCAGCAAAGATGATATGATATAAGATAAAATTTAAATATCAAGTGAACATTTTTTTTTAAGACTTCAAGTACTTTTTATTTGAAGTTAAATAGGATCTTTATATAAAGGATAAAATTTTTGCTTCAAATCATAAACTCAAAAAGTTAAGTTAGAACAATCTCACGGTTAATTAATTTACTAATTCATTATAATATTAAGTGACATTTGATTATCTTTTAAAACTGTGAGCGAAAGAGATAGAAATAGGGAAAATTAAAAAATATATAATTGATATATAATAGAAAAGGAAAATAAAAATAAAAAGGAGTTAAAAATATTAAAAAAGATATAAATATAAAAATATAAGAGTTGGTAAAAGAATGATACCCAGTAACTCTAATGTAACAGTGGAGACTTTTGTCTTGTTCTACTAAAAAGATTCTTTATAATCTTTCTGATACCTAAGAAAAAAAATATTCAATAAAAGTATGTTTTATTAATTAAAAAAATTACGCGTATTCAATTTTTCAAAAAAAATATTTATATATTTTATTTAATAATGAAAAGATTGGCTGAAATATTTAGAATTGTTCAAAAATGAAAGATATTAAAATATATAATTCAAAAACTAAAAGTCAGCAAATCTAAAAATAAAATACCATAATTTCAGTATTTCATCAACTGGTGCAGCGAAATGTTGGTTTATATAGTTGCTTGGTTTAACTTTAATTAAAAATTTAAACATCGGAAGCCAGATAATGAAAAAATAATTAGAAGATGATGAATTATGTCTGAATAAAATATTATGAGTCTCAAAATAAAATTTGTTCCGTTTGATGTTGGAAATGCAGAGATACCTAGAGATTCATGTAAATCTAGGTTGTTTTACATGGCCTACTCATATTTATTTTAATAATCTCACCCTAATATAAAATTAAATCAAATGAATCTACCAAACAAAAATGCTGTTAAACAATGCTATAGGAATTGAAAACCAACCAAGCTCTTTAGAAACCATGCTACCAATACATGTCAAATAGGATTATTATGAGCAACAAAGCTCTCTCTAAGTATTTAATATAGTTGTATGTATTGATACTTAAACTTAATATCACAAATTAAGATGGAGTTCAAGTTCCAATAAATAAAGTTGTGTTAAATATTCGAAAAGAGAACTTTGTTGTCCAGAATGGTTCTACTCAATTTAGACAAGATTGTCAGTAAAAGATACATGTAGTCTAGATCAGAAATCATTGCTTAATTTACATCAGTAAGAAAGAAAATATTTTAATTTAAAGAAATATCAACTTTTATATATAATTTGTGAATATTAATTCTTGAATGAGAACATTTTTAAAATATTTTTTACATGAAAATGTTGGTAATAAGAGTGAAATATTCTCAAATGTAAATATTTTTAAGGGTTAACTTTGTTTTTTGCCATGCCAAGTAATTTTTTTTTACATTAGGAATTTTTTAATTTAATATTTATTTACATTTTTATATTTTATTTTTATTTAAATTTAATAAAATGTTATTATTATTATTAATTATAATATGTACTCTCTTTTTTTTTTTTGCTAATATAATGTGTACTCTTTTTAAATTTACAAAATTTATTAAATTTAAAAATATTCGCATAATATATTTTAATTATTTATTTTAAAAATTAATTCAATAACAGTGTAAAAAATTACAAATTTATTTAAAATCCTGCACTAAAAGTGGTTGGATAAAATTAATAAGCAAATATAATTCAAAGGAATTGGGAAATTCTCATCTTGAGTAATTCATTAAATGCATCAACATCGTTTGCTTATTTGTGCCATACATGCATGTTTGGTTTTTTCCTTTATGAAGTTCCAAGCCATCTTTTAGTTTTAAAAAAAAAAAATATTCCTCGTAACTTTTACTCAAATCATAATTTGAAAATTCTCAATAAAAATTAAATAAGTCCCCGGCCAGATCCATAAGAAGTTTTTTGAAGAGTAAGTTTTACAGGAGAAGAAAAGACATTTTTTTATTTTAAATAAATATATTTAAAATTAATATTTTTTTCAAAATATAAATTAATATATTAATCATGCATCTATCAACATAAATAATATATGTCTTTTAATTTAAAATTAAAATACATATTCTCCCCTCGCATAGATTTTCAGCAGCTATAGTAACCAAAGCATTTGCTTAACAGATGATAATGCTACCCTCCCATCAAATATATGCCCACCGAAGAACATTTCTTCTGCTGGAAACATTGAAATTCCTAAGGGAATGGAATTTCTTTTATATACCTTTCAAGAAGAGTGGTAAGAACACTTTCTAATACCCTCTTGCACTCTCTAAGTTATTAGTTACACAAGCAACAACCACCAAATCTTATTATCAATGGTTAAAAATTAATAAAAATTATAAAAGTTCGAGAAGCACGGGCTGAATTAGAAGAGAAATTTACAAAACTTTGGTAATTTTGAATAAACTTCAACCAATAGCTTAGTGACATTTCATGCCTTTCAATTCCCCTCTCACTAAGACTACTAGAATTGGGGTGCAGGATGTTTCCACAGTACAAGGGACATGAATATAAACAAGGATAAAGGCTCATTTAATCTTACAACCACTAAAAGGGATCTTAAAAATTACAGACAACAGCATTATCTTACAAGATAGGGGAACAACAATTCAAACAAACCACATACAAACAAATATGCATTTGCTGAAAGCTTGCCTGTATCCAGGAATCATTCAGCGACCTTCATACCTGAGAGATAGACTTTACTCTGAATCACACTTCCCCCAATCCAAAATCCAGGCATAACCATCAAACCAACTTTGGGTTTCTCATCATTATCATCCATTATCAGATTCTTGACCACGCTTTCCATATAAACATCAGAGAACTCACTCCCTTCTTTAACCTGAAATACCTTCACATTTGGCTCAAAGGAATAAGCCAACCTGTGTAAAAGCCAAATTGACTTGGCCAGTTTAAGAAAAGCCTGGTAAAAAGGAGTCCTTGGATGCCCTCCACCCATCACGTAATTTCGTTGATCTAAATTTCCAAAGAATGATGCCTCCATCTTGGGATGAACTACCACTAGGTATTTGCTCTTGCAAAATTTCCCAAAAATGGAATCTGGATTTTGCCCTAGAGTGTCCAAGGGATCCATCTCCCTTAACGCAAGAAATTGGTGGAAGAAGCTCTCTTTAGTGACAGTAATATTGTCTGATTTTACAGAGAAGCTTTCCTGCTCAAAGCCACTGAACATTCTTTGGCATATATAAGACTCAAATGCATATTTCTTATGAGCTCTCTTTGCATAAACAACATCAGGTTCAATTGAATTGGCAGCAGCATCAAGATCCCACCCAGCTGCTTTCATCATGTTGATCAAAGGTTTGGAAAAATCATGAATGGCTTTTGCAGCTGCTTCCATAGAAGAAGTGAAGAGATCTGGAGTTAAATCAACAGGGAAAAATCCATTTTCATCTCCTGATTCTTTGGTTGATAAACCTCTAAGCTTCAGATTTTTTTCAAGTTTTGCGCGCTTCTGGCTAGCCTCCTCAATCTGCTGCTGCAATTGATGGATCTCTGAATCTTTATTCTGGATTTCAGATTGGAATTTCTTCACCATGACCTCATAAGTTTTCAGAAGGCTCTGTTGTTCTTGAATTTCTGCAGCTAAACGCGAATCTTGGGGAGAAACACACACTGGTTTTGGGTTGTTTTCCCTGTAGAAATGCTTGAGTTCAGACAGATTTTTCAGCTCGCTAATAACAAGTTTATCAGCAGTGTGGATTTTATCAGGGTCATAGGGAGTATGAGCAGCTTGCAGCTGGATATAAGCAGACTTCAAGGAAGAGATATTTGCAAAAATTTTAGATATTAGGGTTTCCATAGCTTCTGGATTCTGATTCATGGCATCTTCCATGGGTTGAGGATGGACCTTCTGACTGTTGCTCTCACGTAATTGAGTCTCTTTTGCTCCAGTGGGTAGCATAGCTAACACCAAGAAAGGGACAGTGGAAAAAGCTTTCTGTCAACAGAATCAAAATTAAGAGAATTAGGTGCCAAATATGTGAGAGTGGGTGCTTCAGCTCCAAACACAACCCGCAAGCTTTCAAAGAAGTTCAATCAACCTGTTCAGTGCAGAAATCACTTATTTTTCTACATTACATGATTGTTCAATACATATTTCACAACTACCGTGCTTACAGTCAGCAGGTAAAGAAAACAGATTCCATTACAATATGGCCAAAGAAGAGACTGAAAACACATGTACTATGTGTGGGTGACATTCAAAGGAAATGTGCACATGCTAAAAGCAATGTGCAAATGCAATCCCATATTCTTCTTTCTAGCAATTGAAAACTTATATCATTTCACACAATGCTTCATGCCCAGTGGATTTAGGGTAGTCGTTAGGGGAAAGTTAAAATGTAAAAACTCATCCAACCATGTCCCAGGCCTTCAAAGATATTTCTGAATATTTATACTAGGAAAATAGGAGCACCCTAATGTGAGAAAGAGAGATAATAATATCACACAAATGACAATTAACACAAAAAGAGGGATAATCAATTAAGCAAATAATTACATTACATCATTGTTGATAAAGTATATAACAAATCAAGAACACAACATGTAAGCAACTACCAGTCTGCCACTAATGAGATCAAAGTTTATTAATAGAAATTTTATTCTGCAGCTTCTGATACCATTTAGTACGTTACTGTTTTTGATAGAATATCCAAGGCTTTCTTCTCCACATCTTCTTAGACCTATAACACTCTACAACTACAAGTGTACAATCATTCAATCCTCTCTCTGTGTATAGCATGTTTAAAACTGAAGGTTCTAATTGTTCTATGTCTTACATTACAACTTCCAGTATTTAAAAAATGTTCATTCCAGAAATATAATATAGAGAACATATGAAGTTCTAAGATTTCATAAGTAATTTGATTCAGGAGGCAAACTCAATGGATCATTTGCCTATAGAGTGAAGAATACATTTCTAACTACTAATTGGCAACTAATAACCTAGTTCAGTCATATTTCTCCTTACACCTATCCACTTCAAATTGGCTATGAACTAGTCATATATCCAGAAGTCTTGGAAGTTGGAAGTATATCACCAAAGATCTCCTCATGGTCTAAAGCCCATTTTGTTAAACTTGATAAAAACAAAGTCCTTTTTCAGAAGCTACTATTTTCAGCTTTGGAGAAACACACAAAACAGCTTTTTTCAAGTTTTCTTTGAAAAAAAAAAAAAACTTGGGTAACTTTTATAATTTTTTTAAAACATACCTATTAATTATAAAAGCACTTTTTCATTTAAAAAAAACTGAAATAAACGGACCCTTGGTCTTTGATCCAGTGACTCAATATTTCAGCTACTAGCATTACTATATTGAACTAGTTGAAAATGCAACAATTAAAATGAAATTGAACATAATGTAGGGATAGCTTTGGGTACAAATATCAAATTTACTACCCACAAGTAAAAATCTAGTTTCTAATCCTAAGGCACGTGAAGTTCATATTTAGAAAGGCCAATTAGTCAGAAAAATTCCAGCATTGCACAACATAAAATTGTAAATATTCAAAATAAAATACCAAAACATCATATAAAAAATGAAAGAAAACAAAATAATATACAAATGAAGTGGTGGGAACGAGCTTTCTACCTAGAAAGACTGCATTTCAGCAAGAGAATGAATCCAGCAAGCATAATACCCTCGAACCTAAGAAATTAAAGAAAAAAAATTAATAAGAGGAGATAGCTATTAGCTACAACCAAACGCTGTAAAGAATCAATGAACCCTAATTCGCAAGCAAAATAAAAATCTATAATTATCAAATGTCACAAGAAATTCCCAGAAATTATTGTGGTTTTATCACCACACCAAACCCTAAATTATGGGGAGGGGGAAAAGGGGTAGACTTTGGAGAAGATAACATGTGGGCACAAAAGATACAACCTTAAACAAACAAAAGAAACAAAAGGGAAGAAAGATCTGAGATTTGAAATGGGGTACCTTGTTGGAAATTTGAAGGAGTAAAGATGAAGTGCTGATGCAGTAAAGTAAAAGCGTGTTGGTGACAATGAGTAACAGTACAAAACCCTACTCCTTCGCGGAAGGAAACCAAACAAAACATAACGATTACGCAGTTGTCGTTTTATTTTTCTTTTATTATTATTATTTTATTGCACAAAACGGGTAGTTGCTTAAGAATTTTGATTTTTTTAACGTTGTCTAAATATACAAAATTATTAATATTTATAATATTTAATATTATTTATACATTAAATTATGTGATATCCCATTATGTTTCATAAAATTTTATCATACATAAATTTTTATTGCATACTTTTTTTATGAAAAAGTGGTATATTTTATTGCAATCAATCTTAATTGAATTAGATAATACTATTTGAGTTAAAAAATTATTTTATTATATTTTTGTTGGATAAAAAAATAATAATTTTTTTGTTGAATTTGAAAGGGAAAAGAAGTGCATGTAATGATAAGAAGAAGAAGAAGAAAAAGAAAAAAATTTGAAAATTTGTTTATCACAGTTCAAAAATGGAAAAGAAAATGACCAAAAGACATTGATGAAGTGTGAAAGAATGAAAAAAAAGAATAGAAATATTAAATTAATAAATAAATAATTTATAAGAATATAATGTGTTTTTAAAAGAATTTATAATGTGAAAGAAAATTAATAGTAATTTTTTAAAAGAATTAACATTTTATAAAAAATAACTTATTTAAAGTACTTTTATAAATTAATAAATTGAAATAAAAAAATTAAAATTTAAAAAATCAATTTACTTCAATAAAATATGCTTTTAAATAGAGTGTGTAATTTTTTATAGGAATATAATATATCACTATTTTATTTATTTATTTATTTTTATTTAACAAACTAAATTGTCAATGGCTATTGAGTTAATTTTGTGATAAATATAAAAAAATTTTATATAAAATAAATATTTAATAAAATAAAACACGCATTTATAATTAAAAGTTAAAATATTAAAAGATAAGAATATTTTATTAAAAAAACACATTTGTTATTTAAATATTTTAAAATATGATAAATGTTTTTTTTAGTAAGTTTATTTTTACTCTAAAATATTTATTGTCACACCTCCTTAAATAATTTTTTATACAATAATTTTTTATAAAATATTTTAAATGAGGTGATGATAGACATTTTAGAGTGATAATAAATTTCCTTTTTTTTTGCTATTTTTAATAGTTTAAAATAAAATTTAATAATGAAAATTATTATTTTAAAATATTATATTAAAATCATAAAAATAACTGTCTTCTAATATTTTATCTTAATAAAATATACTTTTAATTATTTAATTGGTACTTCAATATTTTTTTATTATTTTTAATAGAAATTAATTTTCTGATTTGATAATGTGATACATTAGATGTAGACCTTTTATCAAAATAAATTTTACATTTTTAAGAAAAAAATTATTAATATAAATTTTTTATTATGAAATAAATTTTATGTCATTTTAGTATATAAATATTAAGGTTTATATATTCATATAAATTTCATTTAATTATATAAAAATATTTTTATGTGTGTAAATAATATTTTTATTTCAACAATATAATTATTTATTTTTTAAATATTTTTTATATATAAATATTATATATTTTTTAAATTGTGTTTAAGAATATACAATAAAAACTTATATATAATATTTTTTATAAAAATTATAAAATTCAACACATTAAAAGTTACATAATAATATTTAAGTGCTATAATTTTAATAAAATTTATTATTTATTAATTTAATTATATTTGTAAATAGTAAAAAAATGATGTTTTATTCTGTGAATACATTAAAATTAAACTTTAGAGGATTTTTCATCAATACAATAATATTTTCAATAGCCGACCGGGACCACAAAACATGGGTTAGCTCTTGTTCTTCTCTTGTTCTTGGTTCCTTATTTCTCTCTTATTCTCTCTCTCTCTCTCTCTCTCTCTCTCTCTCTCTCATCGCATTCCACGCCATTGGCGCTATCCCCCACTAGATCTACACTCTAACGGGTACGGATTCTTACGTTTTATGTATGATTCATGGGAACGTTTTGCTTCTCTTGGTGTCTTTTTTCTTATAATACAATATGCAAGTTCTTCACTTTTTCCTCTTCTTAGTGTTTCTGTTTAAACCCCATTTCATGATTTTGCTCAAGGTGTCCGCTATATTATATTTCAATTGAAGTAGCTGTTGATAATGCAATTAGTGTGTGTGGATTTGTCCATTGCTTGAATTCTCTAACTGGGTCACTTTCTAATACACAAATAGGTTTTTAAAATATGTCACTTTATGCTACATGATTCTATATAAACCATAGATGGAATTTTCATTCGGGTTTTGATTTAATTCTGTTCATTTTTATGCATGATATGTTACTTAGAGTTGAAATTAAGTAAATTTTTATGCCATTCAATTAGGATTTCATTGCTTTGTGGTTCAATTAGTAGCATTTAGGTAATTATAATTATAAATCTATTATCCCTGAGCAAAAGCATGTATACTTAGTTTTGATTTGCCTGCTACTGCTAGATTCATAGGCTTGGACTAAGAGCTGTAATCAGCCATAGATGGCACTCTCAGCTTCGCGGGCTATGTCGAAGGGTGTGGTGATATCAGTGCCTGTTCTGGTTCTATCTGCTTTGGTGGCTGCTGTTTTTCTGTTCTTCCTTTTGTCCTCTCTTTCATCTTGCTCCTGCCCTTCAACTTCAGACATTTCTGCCTCTGATGCAAGGAGTGTTGCTATCGGTCTTTCCGAGTCTAGCCGTATTAATGTTCCCTTATCGACAAGGAAGGAGGATGTTGAGTGGGTGAAAGATCAAATCCGAGCAAACGGGCTTCATATGCATGACAATGTGCTTCGCAAGGGTATTAACCCTCGCACCAGGGCCCAGCAACTTGAGGATCTTAGACAGTAAGATCCTTCCAAGCTCTCAATTTGTTTTATCCACTTGTTTGTTAAATTTGTATACTTTTGTTTTGGGATTACCATTTTTTTAATCTTATTCATTTTATTAAGTCTTCAGATTTATAATTTCTGAGAATTCATGTCATTTCCAGTTTGTAATGAAAGTTGCTGTTTGGTAGAGAGAGAACATGGATGGGATGGGAGGATTGGTTCTAACGATTTGTATAGCACATATTAGCCAATATAGAAAAGTAAATTAACTGGATGAATTGTATGTAGCACTGAAATTGTACTGGAGTCATTAAAAGTGAGAGAAGATGCAAGAGAATGAGTGAAAATATAGGTGTTCCTAGAAAATTCAGTCCTTCTGCCTTTTTCGTCTCTGCAGTAGTGTAATGTAATCCTTTCAGTACTTATATGTTTGATTTTGAATAATCCACTGGGCTTTTCAACTTCAAACACTGTATAATATAGTTCTGACTCAGCTTTTTGTCAAACACTTTTTATCAAAATGAATGAGCAAATGTACTACAGCATGCTATATTTTTGCATTATGATCTCTTTTTAACTTTAGAAATCGCGTTCCTTGTCCTTGTTCATGACCCTGTCTTTGTCTCTTTCTCTTGATAAGATACCAAATAAAGGACCTCAATGTTTTGGTAGCCTCTTAAGTGATACATATACGTTTGTTGCTTGGTTGTGGTTTCTAATTTCATTTTATTTAGCATTACTGAATGAATGTCCTTTTGGGTTTTCTGATTTCAATTTCTTCCAAATGTAGATTTAAGGGCATATCTCACTATGAGGGACCTGAATCAAATAATCACACGGCCTTGCCATGCCCTGGGGAACTCCTAGTTGAAGAGCACCATAGCAACTATGGTGAACCTTGGGCAGGGGGAAGAGACGTGTTTGAATTTCTTGCTCAAACCACTCACCTCAGACCAGACTCGCAGGTGCTAGAGATTGGTTGTGGCACACTTCGAGTTGGATTGCATTTCATTCGATATTTAAATCCTGAACACTTCCATTGTCTTGAAAGGGATGATCTTTCTTTGATGGCTGCATTTAGGTACGAGCTTCCTGCCCAAGGCCTCTTGCACAAACGGCCTTTGATAGTTAAGGGGGATGACATGGATTTCAGCAAGTTTGATTCTGGTGTAATGTATGATTTGATTTATGCTAGCGCTGTATTTCTTCACATGCCTGATAAACTTGTGTGGACTGGACTGGAAAGATTAGCATCTAAATTGAAACCTTATGATGGACGAATCTTTGTATCGCACAATATAAAGTTCTGTTCAAGGTTAGGAGGAGAGGAATGCACAAAGAGGCTTACAAGTTTGGGGCTTGAGTATCTTGGGAAACATACACACGGTAGCTTGCTATTCAATCACTATGAGATATGGTTTGAATTTAGACGATCAAAGGTATAAGGTCTGGATTGATTCTATAAAGAAGCACGAGAAATTTCTGCAAATGGTTTGAGAGCACTATATATGTGCTTTGCACATTGCAACAAATCTTCAGCTACTCAGATGATATTCTTGCTTTGAGTCCAAACAGGTGGCAGCTTTCTACTCTGTTTCATCAACTTGTGCCAGAAACCTGTTCACGCTTTTGACACTTCCAAAGAGAGAAGAATTGTATGTAATTTTGATTGAGGACTCAACAAAAGCAACAAGATTTGTATTATTTTTTGGTGTCCTTCTGTAAAAGGACTGGCTTAATATTTACCTTCTAATTTTGTTTCCATATAGATTCTTATTATATGATGATTGTATTTCTGCTGAATGTTCCATAATGCCCTCTTTTTCTTTTTCTTTGTTTTTTTATTTGAGGGAAATAGGGCCAAGATGCATAGCTCATGAATATTGTTGTATGGTAGAAGCAGGACAGTAGATTGATCAATATCTTGTTACAGGTTCACATTCTCCACATATACTTAGCCTCCCATTTATACTCAGAAATGGCATAGAAATATGTATTATTGATTTTTGGCAATGGAAGTGATCTCGTATAAATAAATTTTATCCATTTTTTAAGTGAGCAACTAAATGCAATATAGCAATCAGAAGTTGTGTGTTTAAAAGATCATTTCATTTCTACTTAAGGAAATGCTTTGGAAGGAATTTTGTTTACAAACATTGATAATATCATAATATATGCTTCTCCTATTCTCGTTGGAGGATATAAATGATGCCTCCATTTATATTTTGGTCATTAAAAAATTGGGAATCCAATATAAACAATTGTTTTGGAATACATTAATCTACTTAAATTTAAAATAAAAAGTTAATTTTTCTTCTTCTTTTTCTTCTTATTATTAATGATTGTAGACAAATTGATTCAAATTAGAATAATTTCTTGTTCATTTTATTTGTATAAATGGGTACATGTTAATATTAATCACGGTTAGTTTATTAGTGTACATATGCACGTATTTGTTTTGAGATGATCATATTTGACTAGTGTAAATTGTTTAGATCATTAAAGCAGGTGTCACATTATTGGAGTAGTTAAACAAATTCACTTAAAGAAAGAGTTTTATTTTTAAATAATGTTTAAAATTTACAAATGAATCAAGGTTAAATCTTTCGTTAACATTTGCTTAACCTAAACATACAAATCAATTATCATAGGCCAATTTTTTTTTAAAATTATAAGCTTAGTGAAAAAAGTATCACTGATATGTCACAACTTCATTGTTAGAAGGAAAAAAAAAATCATCATACCATCAAACATACCCATATTTATTATATAATACAACATTTTAAAAACTGATATATTTTTTATTTTTAAGTATGAAATTCACACCAATTACAGATGAAAATCCTTGAATGAACCAAACATAGGGCTGCAAATCACAAACCAATGATTAAAAAAATTGTTTACTATCACTTTGATCTAATTAAGAGATTTTTTTTATTTATTTTGATTTTTTCTACTTTTGTTTAATAATTAAAGATGCCAATGTATCAACAAAGCCTAACATAATACAATATAATGTTTTTTTGTATATGATCACAATAAAATTCATTTTATCGACATTTTGTACACTTTAAAGAAAATAGTTTTACGAGAAAAGAAAATAAATGAACACAATAACTTGTGTAACTAAACCTGCTTTAGTTAAAAAAAAAAAAAAAACTTTGTACCAAAAAAGTTTTAATCATCAAAATTTTATGGATATTAATTAAAGAATTAATAAATATTTTTTTATTAAAAATTATGTAAAAATACATTAAAAACATAAAAATAGTACTTTGAATTGAAATGAGAGAGTTGTGGCGATGGTGGCACACACGCACCAGACCAGCAACATTTTCCCCCTTCCGAAACGTATTTTGTGTTCAGAAATGTTAAGAGTTCAATCGATTGAAAGAGTAAAACCAAAAGAGTGTGATGTTACTGTTATCTGAACGAAGTGAGCGAAGCAAGAACCCCTTCATAACCTAATTTTCACACTAAATTCTCACCAACACTACGCACAGTAAGCTTCTAACTTTACTTTTTTTCTTTTTATTTCTCAAACACCCATTTGCTGCGGTTTTCAATTTGGGTTTCAATGACTTCATTTTTTTTTGGGTCTTTTTTTGGTATTTTAATCAAGCAATGAAGATAAGCATTTGAATTGAGTTAGATAATTACACAGATATGATGAAAAAACACCAATTAAAAAGTTGAAAGGCACTGTTTGTAAGCAATTAAATTCACTCTGTTATGTTCATTGTTTCTGTCATAAACTCATTACAGAAAAGATTTGCAATTCCCAGTTATTTAATGGTTCTACTTATTGTAGGGATATGCTAACCAGTGTCAAAAGTGAATTTTGTTTAATTAAAAAAGTGTAACAATACACTCCTTCAGTAATTTTCAATACATGCCTAATGTGATTTTCAATGAAGGCTTTTTATTTATTAGCTCAAGTGGTACATGCTTGATGTCTCTTAAAGTCAGGCCTCGAGTTTGAATTTTGTGTATGGAAAAAGTCCTCGCTGGAAAAGCTAATCTCAACATGCTGAAGATGTTCATGACTCGACCAAATTTACCTTCTACAGAGGATACTTATAGTTTAGACACACAAAAATAATGTCTTTTGGACACTGGTCTGCAAGACCCTTAATTGTATCCCTTATAATTAATGAAAGTTGATTTAGGTATTTCAATTGTTCATGATTACACAAATTGTCCTTGTATGTATCTGGTGGTAGTATTGTTCCGATTGATGTTTCTTACATTTGGTATCATCTCTAGGAGTGACGACACCTGTGTTGTTTGCAAAAAGAATGACATCATCCAATTGTATGACAAGTGCCAAAGTTGTGTCTCTGGATTCTATCTGTTCAGGAGTTTCTAAAGTTAGTCTCTCTGCATTGTTTTACAAAGCCACATTTGGCCAGAAGCAACGCTCTCCATGCTTCTCCTTCAGTTTTGCTCAACCTTGTTTAATAGTAAATTTCAAGTAAGTCCAGTGGCAGTTTATGCTTATGATATTCTATCCCAAAAAGAGTCTGGGACATATAATGAGATAACTTTAGAAATATGTAGCATAGTTGGAGGTTCTGTAATGAATAAATGCAGAGATGGAGCTTGAGATGTGTGGGTGTACACTATGGTATTATGAACCTGTCTTTGTTGTTACAGTTCTACTCTAGTATTCAAAGTAATGAGAAAGGGTTGTTTTTAGGTCTTTAAGCACCATTCCAGATGATGAATAGAGATTTTTTAATATGTTGGAAGTTATCTTCGCTGGATGGTTGGAATGTATTTCATTACAAAAATTTTGATAAATTTAATTTGATATGAAATTATAAAGAAGATAATATCTGTGTTCTTCCACAAAATTGTATTTAAAAGGGTAGGCTATATTCAAAATGGTTGATATTTTCAGTTATTTTGGGATATGAATATGAACATGAACATGTACATGTGTTTGCACATGCATATATGCTGTTTGAAACATCAAAAGTTAATTATATGTAGAGAACCATGTATTATTGTGTGAACATTTTCTTGAAATGTCTTTTTGTTCCTCTTCAGGAGGATGACTATGTCAGTTAGAAGCAGCATAAATGACAGCAGTTTTAGTCCTTCCACGTCAAATGGCACTAATGGAAGGACCCGCATAATCAGAGTGATTCAAGAGTTTCAGACCAAGTTAGGTTCTAAAATTCAGGAGGTAAAGAAAAATCTTCCGATGAAGCTTCTTTTCTTCCTGGTTGGATTTTATTGTGCAACTGCTTTTGCCACTGTTATTGGACAAACTGGTGACTGGGATATTCTATCTGCTGCTTTGGCTGTGGCTGTTGTGGAAGGCATTGGGGCTCTCATGTACGGGGCTTCTCTTCCTTTTGTTGGCAAGAAAAGGAGCATAATTTCCATGTTTAATTATTGGAAGGCTGGCCTTACACTGGGACTTTTCTTGGATTCATTTAAATATTGATTTGGTTCCATTAGTGGATGCTGTAATCACTTCATGTGAAGTGGAATTTCCCAGTGTTCTTTTGAGACTTGGCATTTTTTATGCGATTGACTCATTGCTGTTGCAGTTAACCATCACCAGTCACCATCACCATGTGGAAGTTACACTCTGCAGATGTAAGTTGGAGCTAGTTAAGCTTCTAAGTTTAAAGTCCCTGAAAGTCAATGCTCATATCAAGAAGCTAGGACACTCAAGCTGTGAGGTGAATCATACATATTGATAATAAACTTAGCACTGGCTTTGACTGGGGAACGTAAATGCACATTGAAACAATTGGCAACTTGAAATTTTAGAATACACCTCCACTGAGTTCTGTTCTATCAGCACCTCCTTCAATGTGCAACATTTCACTCCTTCAGTCCCTTATTCCTAAGCTTCATTCTTTCATACATCTTGGCATTGGATTTGCTAGTGGAATCACTAGTATTCACTCTGCAGGAGCATCCTGATGAATTGGAATATTAAGAGGTCACTTTACGCATTGACTAGCAGCATGGATAGCAATATACAATGATTTATAATTGTGAACCTTTTTGCAAATAGCATACCCCATACTCTACAACATGAAAGATGTGACTCTTCCAAATAGAGGAAACTTGGACTGCCGCCTGACTGTTGATGTCAAAAATAATTTTAGTTCAAATAATGCAAAATGGAACAAATATGATCTTAGTAGTGTGATCGTGGATCATCTTTTCTGCAGGAACTACAAATTTTTTTAACAATGCATCAGGTACATGTGTTCCTGGCTCCATCAAGAATGGCAGATAATGTCATTCATCGATTATTTGTCGATATCAGTGTACTGCTAGAGGATTTGCTGAAAAGCTATCCATCATGTCTATACATAACTTTATTTTTTCAATAAGAGAATTTTCATTTTGTATGTACTTTTACCTCTTGTAAATTCATGACTTTGATGAACATACAGAAATGCACGGAAAAAATGTATTGGGACTATTTATGAATATGTACATATGTCAATTTTCAGCTTAACTTGATGATCAATTCTATTCTTAGCATGATGAAAGGCAGTCAATTTTCCAAGGGATGACAACTTTACGATGTACAATTGAAGCAAAGTCAACTTGAATCTTAAACACTGCATTGTTCAAGTAGGCTCTCTTCCGAGTGTTGTTCTTATGAGGGCAAATTAGGTGAGAGAACAATTTTCTCTTTAATACGAAGTTTATTACGTTTGCACCACAATTTTTGTTAACAACATCACCAGGTTTTTGTATATTTTGGATAATATATATAGGTATTTAAAGCTTGACAGCCAGGTGATTCATTACCTTCCTATTTGCCATGCACAATTTTTTTATGTGCCAAATAGAAAGGTAATGAATTTTTTCCTTTCAAATCTCCAATTTCGTTTTCTTCCTCAAGTCCATGAATGATGGGAAAATATTTAGGCAAAAAATTTCTAATTAATGCTTCAAAGATCCACTCTTGTAAGGAATGTTAAATACTTAGCACACATTATACAACTCCAAAGGAAACATATGAAGAAGTTAATAAATTTGTTGTGGGATGATGCAATAGGTGTACTAGTTCAGTCTAATTCAGAGTCTTGACTGTTTGTTGATGGAGATGTGTATATGTTTTGTTCTTTATGTGAATTAACCTTCATTGTTAATACTACTTATTATGATAATCATTTTTTTTTTATCATACACTTTGTTGCCAATGTGGAAAAATGAGACAGATTATTATTCTCGGTTTGGAGACACTTGTGATTTTAGAAAGAGAATTTGAAAATTTAAGAAGAAAAAAACGATAAACAATGCACCTATTTGAGAAAAAATAATAATAATAAACAGTGTAAAACAGTACATTGTAGCATAAAAAGATAAAAAAAATATTAATAGAGTTAACCGTTTTAACAGAAAAAATAATTATTTAAAATATTTTTAAAAAATAGAAAATTAAAATGAATCAAAATAAAATTGGAGAACCAATAAAATTTTATCCTAGAGTTAGAAAATGAAAATACTAATTTTACCAAAAATAAAATAACATAATTATTTTATTTTTTTATATTTAATATAATAAATTTATTTTATAAAATTTTTCTATTATATTTTTTAATATAAAATTTATTCTATAAGATAATTAAGACAAAAATAAAAATAAAAACATAACATAATGTAATTTAGTCCATTGTTTTAGTATATTTTAGTTATCAAATAAAATATAAATTTATTTTACTTTTATGTTATCTTATTTTATTTTATTTTATTTAAAAAATCATTTGAAAAGAAAAGTTTTAAAAGAGAGAAAAAGGGAAGACAAAATTTATATTTTAAATAAAAATATAATTAATATATTAATAATATATTCATTATCATATATAATATATAATATTTTTATTTTATTTTATTTTTTCAAAATCTCTTTCAGTAAGATTAAATAAATTTATATGAAAATAGTATAAACAGTTATCAAATATATTATTTATTTTTATTAAACAAAGAGTACCTGTGATCTAGTGGTATAACTGTACCTTGCCACGGTGCAGATTCGGGTTCGATTCCCGGCTGGTGCATTTGTAGGGAGTTATGAGGAAATTCCTGTGATTGATGGGTCAATCACTCTCATCTTCTGGATAGATGAGATATGTGCATCTGAGCTCTCTGTTTTTTTCTTTTATAATATTTTTATGGTATCAACAATTTATATTGTATTATAAATAATAATTTTTTTAATTTATGTTAACTATAGATCATATAAAAACTCACTTAAAATATTTAATAAAATAAGAGAAAAACTTATGTAACATTAAAATAAATTTTAAAATTAAAAATGGACAAGTTAGTTAACTCAAAAATTTGATAAATCAAAATTGTATATAATTCAGATTAAGAGAACCAAAAAGTATAATTAAACATTTAATTTGACATTTAAAGATAAAATAAACAAGAGTAATAATTTAAAAGAGTTATATATTTTTCAATTTAATTAAAGCATACTTAACTATGTATATAAGAAAGTGGCTAATTCCTCTTTGTCACAAAGAAGGGTTGCAACTTTCCTATTCTCTTCTTTTTCTGCATTTTTTTTCTTTTCTCTAGATTTTATATCCCACATAAAATTTCAGAATGTATTAATCACTTTCGAAAAAAAACAAGAAACTATACAACACAAAAGCATAACCAATAAAAAAAAATCAAAGATAATGTATGTTATTTCTCATCTAGGGATTATACTACCCTAGATAACAAATAATTAAGAAAAAAATTATAACCACTTGCATAATGAGAAAAATGACAAAGTACATGTATCTCAGAAGTATCGAAAATTAAATTTAAACTTGATACAGTTATAAATAGTCTAATATGACTCAAAAATATGTCTAAATTGGCTCAACTAAAAACAATGGTCAGCTTGAGTAAATTTATAATATTAAAATGAGAAGTTTCAATCTGTCTTTCATTTCTCCATTTTCACTATTATTTATGAGTTAGGAACAAAACCAAAACTCACCCAAAAATCAAAAATCAACTAAGGTTCAGAACTCACTCATTTCTCCATTTCTGTCATTGTTTTGAGGTTTAATTTTAGGCTTCACAGTTCCTGAACTTTGGAGCCGTATATCAACATTGAAATGGAAGGTACCTAAAAAGCAAAGCGAAGAGGATAACCCTGCACAATCATATATCAGTCTTCGACCCATCATATCCTTTCTTCTTCAACACCTCTAGCACCACGTAAGTCGACATTTCGCACTGTGTGAGGAGCATCTCGTTGGATCTTTGTTGCTCCGACAAGATAGAAAGGGCGCAAAGTTAGAGACTTTGAGTTCCTCGTTCTCATCAAGGAGAAGATTTTTGGGCTTCAGATCATAGTGAGTATATTATGAACTTTGTTCCTCTTCTCTATTGCTGTGGTGGTAAAATCTCACAAATTTACTCTTTTATAATCTCATTTTTTCTATTCATTTTACAGCAATAAAGTAAAAATGTTATTCTTACATTTTTCAACTGTTGTTTTTTATGACAAAAAATGAGTTTTAGTTTTGACTCTATTTTTAGAATTTCAAGTAACTTTGATTTATTAGAACTTCAAGATTATCATGCTCTATTTTAAGCATTTGTCACTATAGAGGAGACATGTATTTTTTTTTATATATAAAACTACTATTTCTTTTATGAAATTCTAACTTAGAATAAAAGATAAAATATATAATTTTTTGATGTGTTCATAAACAAGAAAAAGATATGATCGTATATATTTTTTTATAAAATATGATCATTGATATGTAAATGACATTAATATAAATTAATTATTAAAATTTTTTTATAAATATTATTTCTTTAAATTTATATTTAAGTATCTAAATTGTATCATATCTTAAAATTTAAATTTTTTTGGTATTATAAGTATATCATAACACATCACATTACATCATTGCTTGTTATTATACATGGCTATGTTTGTTCTTTGAGCTGCCACACAGACAGTTTATTGGTTTCATTGATTTATGGATCTTAAAAACTATAACCATAATTTTCATTTTGTTTAATTTAATAGCCCGATTCGTTAGAATATCATGCAGTTCAATTGATTTTTATTACTGTGCATTTATTTGAGATGTGCACATGGTTTATTTTTTGTATGTGAATCAACTTTCACTTTTAATACTAGTTTATTATAATCATTCTTTATTCCATACCATACATTTTGTTGCCAATGTAGATAATGGGACATATTGTTACTCTTAGAGTTACTTGCAATCTTAGAAAGTGAAATCAGAAATTCAATAAAAAAAATTTATGAACAGTATACATATTTAAGAAGAAATTATGAAAATTGCAAAATAATACATATAATAAAAAAATAAAAAATATTAATAGAATTAACGTTTTTAATAATAATAAAAAAGACTTATTTGAAGTATTTTGAAAAGTTAAAAGATTAAAATAAATTAAAATAAAGTTGGATGATGAAATTGAATTTGACTCTTAAACTAGAAGATAAAAGCACTAATTTTATATAAAAAAAATAACTATTATTTTTTTATTTAATATAATAAATTTATTTTATAAACTTATTTTTATTTTATTTTTTAATATAATTTTTTCTCTAAGTGCAAATTCATAATTTGTCATGTAATGCAAATTCATGAAATAATAACATAATGTAATCAAGAATAGAATTCATGTCTATATTTGCATAATGTAATTTAGTCCATTGTTTTAGTAAATATTAATTATGAAATAAAATATAAATCTATTCTACTTCTATGCTATCTTATTTTTATTTAAGGAGTTATTTTAGAAGGAGGATAAATTTATATTTAAATAAATATATTTTAAATTATATTAACATAAATTTAATATAATAATAATATATTTACCATAATAAATAATACATAATATTTTTAATTTAAAATAAAAATATATATCATCCTTTCTTTTTCTTATAAAAATATTTTTCAAAAAATTATACGAATATCACGTAGAAAAATAATAAATATATTATTATGTAAACAGAAAAGCACCAGTGGTCTAGTGGTAGAATAGTACCCTGCCACGGTACAGACCCGGGTTCGATTCCCGGCTGGCGCATTCATAGGGAGTTATGAGGAAATTCTTGTGATTGATGGGTCAATCACTCTCATCTTCTAGTTAGATGGAATAATCTGCATCTGAGCTCCCTATTTTTTCCTATTCCACTTTTGGTGAATATTATTAATAATGCATAAAAGTTATTTTATGTTATTATTTTTATATTATATTATTAATAATTTAAAATTATTTTTATTTATGTTAAGCGTATATTTTATAAAAAATTAAAGTTTACTTAAAGAACAAGATATAAATTTATTTATTTAGTACATATAAATTTACTTGATATTATTTTAATTGTAAAGAAATTATAAAATACACAATAATAAGTGAAAGATTAAAAACAAAAAAATTTAATGAGCATAAAAATGAAATAAAAAAAATTATTTAAATTAATCAATATATTTTAAAAATAAAATATATTATTTTTTATAAAATTTAATGAAAGAATTTAAAAATTAGAAAAATGCCACGTGACATTTTACTGGAAATAATAATAATAATATAGATAGTAGGCATTGATCCTTACATCAAGCATTTATCTAGACTACGTCCTCTCTTAACTCTTTTTGGCCTTTATTTTTTATTGAGGGCTATGTTTTGTTAGACTTTACATAATCTGTCAGTGGGTAATAACATGTTTTGTTAGTGAAATATTGAAAGCTATAGGAATTGAGTGATGGATTATTTTCGCTGGGGTCAGATTTAATTTGAAAAAAAAAATTGTCAGCCCTTAATTTTCTCTACTTTGATAATTTATGTAAGGGTAAATGCACAAATTACTTGGTAATAATGAATAAACAAGTCAAGAGTACAGAGATTTTGGGTGTTTCATTTTAGTCCATGTATTGTACATAGATGATGGCTCCAATAAAGTGTAATAAATTTCTTTATAACCCATTTATTTGACGGATAACCCCTTTTTGTTTATATGAATTTAGTCTCGCTTTCATGCCACCAATGAAAACAAGTAGAAAGAGAACTGTGAAATTTGAGAAACTAATGAAAATGTGAGAAAATTAAAGGATAAAAATTCGTGTAGCAGGAAAAAATACCTTCAGGGTATAGATGTCATCGCCATGATACCAGGTTAAACAAGGTACGAATGAGAGAAATCTAAGAATTATACCAAACGCGAAAAATTGTGATACAAAGCCATTGTGGCTCATATATAGCAGAATGATGTTGCTGGCTACTATACAGCAGAATGATTTACCAATTATTCATCATTACATTTGTTACTCTTTAACTATAATAAGAAATCCAGATTTATTACACATTTACTAAACAACAATGTAGATTGTTAGCAAAGTTACCAGAAATTATCAAATATGCAGTTGTGTATGCGGACAAAATTTTACCTATGTGGAGGAACTCACATATACAGAAATATACACAGAGGTTTATAACTAGTTAAATGAAGTGTTTTGGTAAAGAGATTCATCTGACAGGCCACTTGTTATGTAAGTTTCTGTAAACATTGAATGGAAAGTTGAAGTCATCAAGCATCAACATCAGGGCCTGGATATGCTGGTAAACTCATAATACGCTTGTCTAAGACAGGACCTCCAATAGTAAAATGATAGAGGCTCTGAAAGGCTGATCCTTTTAACCCAAGCAACTGATGCACTGCAAAAGAACACAAGATTTTCAAATACTATAGACTTGTCAATATTTGCATTAGTACACTACAGGACACCATTTCTCCTGAGAATAGGTATTTCTATTTAGTTAAATGGTCTAGTTGATGGAGAGCTTTCAAATTTTATTCTCAAAATGATGAGAAGTAGTGTTCTATGATATTGCATGGATGTTTAGCTTCATTGTTGATAATTTTATTTAATTGTGGTACTGTATTCTTAATCAAAATCTAACTGAGTTCAACATAACATTAAAACGAGAAATGGTTGTAGAAAAGTGACAACATAATAGTAAATTGTAAAGCTGGTCAACATAATGGAACACGGAAAAAGGATGCCAGGTTATCAATGCTCAGTTGGTGTGAAACTACAATTGCCCTAACGATGATTAGATATAAGAAAAAATTCATTTAGAACTCAGTATAAGCACTTATCTTTTTGAGGACTAAGCAAAATAAGAAACATTTATCACAAATAACTGCCACCAACCAAACCAATTCTAAAAGCAATGATGAGACAAAGAATCATACCAGGGTCATCAAAGAAGCAACCAATTCCAGTAGCAGAGATTCCAACAGCATGTGCCTCGAGGTACAGCACCTGTCCAAGGACTCCAGTCTCCCAAAATAATCGTGGATACATCCATACATTCTTCTCACGCAAAGTGGGTTCCATACGGGCCAACATACCAAGGCTGAAGCAACCATCACTTGCAATGTCCTGCAAGTGTGTGTCACATTTAAAAAACAAGAGATGGAAAATGTTCAGATTCCAGTTGCGGATAAGACCATTATTTATTAGTGTCTATTAGTAAACTTACACCAAACTCACTCTCAAAAGCTAACTTGTAAGAAGAGGACTACTAAACCCTTATAAGGATCATTTTGGCTCTATTCCTAGCAAACGCAAGACTTATTAATAGAGTCATTCAATGAATGGAATAAAGTCATTTTACATTAGAAATGTTAATGGTCAAAATAAATCATAAACCCTAAATCCTTTCTTTTCTTCAAAATCAGTAGCTCTTGAATAATAAAGCAAGAAAACAACTTAGTCTTCACACCCACAGATTCAAATTCCAAACTATGATGCTATTAAGAATAAACAGCAGCTTATTCACTTATTCAATAGTAGGGACAAGACTACCAGACGACTAGCTTGTGTGAATTGTGGCACAGTTAAATATATTGCTAATCCTGTAACCTGAATTTCAAAAAAGAAAATCTCTCTTTAAAAGCAAAAGCCAAATTCAAAACACCTAACTATTAAAAACAATAGGAACAAACCCTTAACACTGTCATCCTAAATATTTGGTTCTTTTTTTCTCTCCAGTAAGCATCTCACAATTTAACTAGAAAATTGCTTGATCCTGTAATAGGTAACAACATAGTTTCCAGACTATAAGAAACTCCATAAAGCAATGCACTAAAAATTGAATCACTAATCATCACGTACCTGGTGGCACGAAAGCTGCTTCGCAAGCTGCCGACAATCGGATCTAAGTAGTTCATACAAAGGAAGATCATCAGGACAGCCCTCAGGTTTGGTCCACGAAAAGTCAGGGAGCATAGATTTCTTCAACTCATTAAAATGCGTCTGATTCCTCACTAACAAATATAAGCCTTGTGGCAACCCTTCCACTCTATGAACAAACAAAGCAGCATGCACCTCGGCATCCCACGAAAGTGCCCGAAACGGCAATGCAAGTTGTCTCCTTTGCTTCCCTTCAGCTTGGCAACCTGAAGGGAGACAATGTGCTAGAATCTGATAAAACGTATCCCTCTCAATACTAGTAACTCCATCCATATCAACAGCACTTCTACGCTTCCTGACAACTTGCCTAACAGTAAGGTCCTTATAAGAACCTTCACTATAAAGACCACTCCTTTGAAATGGCTCAACCAAGAACCTATGCCCCAATGTCAAAGGCTTCTTCACAACCTCAGCAGTTCTATAAATAACATCCCAACACACATGCTCTTTGCTAAGGGAATTAGGCTTCCCTTTCCACTCTAACTTATCAAATTCCAACATGGCACAACTTAACTCCTTAAAATTCACATCAAACCCACCAACTCCACTTGGATAAACCAACATAACACAATCAGGGTGCTCAAACTCAATCTCTGGAATCTTCCCTCTAACAGCACGTGACGGGATTTCAAACTCGGGAAAAACACGAAGCCCCATTAGACTCTTCAACTCCTCACACCCCAGTGTGTCCAAAACCTTAACATCCCAACCAAGACACGCAGCAGCCATTGTAACAGCACCAATGGCGTGACCAACATCATGGTTACAGTACCTGAAAGCACGTTCCCCATATTTCCAAGCCTCGCGCCAGAAAACAGAGGTGAACCCAACAAGGAAGGAATTGGGGGGAAAATGTTTGGGGAAAAACCCAGATGGGATTTGAGCTCTAAGCTCCAAAGAATGCTCCTTTGGAGCATAATGAGCAACAAAAGGTGAATCAGAGATAGAGGGTATGGGTGGAGCAACGATGTAGGCTTCAGTGGGGTGCAAATTGCCGCTGCTAGGGTTAACCCTAAGGGACCAAGTGGAAAAGCCAGTGGTTTTCCAAGCGGAGAGAGCGAGGGAATCGTAGAGGAATTGGGATATGGTGGATTTGGAAACGGGTTTGGGAGAGGGGAGAGAGTGGAAGAGGGAGTGGTAAAACGGTGCGTTTTGTTGTGAGTCAGAGTCTGTGGGGAAGTGAAGGAGAGAGAGGAGAGGGGAAGAAAGGTACCTGCGAAATGGGTTGGGCTGGTTGGCCCAATCGAGCCCATGAGGGCCTCTGGCGTAGTGGTTGAAAGCGTGTTTGGTTTGGTTGTGGTATTTCAGCACGTGCGAGAGTTTGTGTTCGTCGAGGTTGTTTTGATGTTGTTGTTGTTGGGTGTAAGAAGAAGAAGAGGAGGAGGAGGAGAAAGAACCCATTGCTTGTGATTGGAACGAAACGAAAGGGGTTGAAGGAAGACAATGGAAGAATGGTGACGGTGAATTAAGGCTACGAAGAGAAAGAGATGATGGCATCTTTTAAATGGGATTCTAGAATTTCTAGTTCTAGAGACACACTGTCACTCGTTTCATTAATAAACAGAACAAAAGCCAACTGAATACACAGGCCAAAATAGTGTGCTTTTTAGCTGACGTGAACATAAATAAATATTTTATACACGATAAATTATGAGAAATAATACTTTATTTTTTAAATTAAATATTTTTTTGATGAAACAAAGGGGAAATTTTAATATAATAGTTTTTGTTTTTTTTATTTAATTGTATTTTTTCTTGTTGTTATGACTGTTAAATAGATAAAATATATTTACATGCAAAACTTATTTTATACAAGTAACTGTAACATTTACAAATATAATTAATAGCTTCTCATTTTTTATTAAAAGTAAATAATAAATTTATAATATATTTTAAAAATATCTATAATAAATAATAAAATTTGTGACTCATACATTAAGAATATATTTAATTACATAACTTATTTAAATATTTATTTAATAATTTTATCTAAACAATAATTTATTTCTTAAATTTAATTAAAATTTTATTAGAATAAAATGAAATAACTTAATTTAATAAGTTATATCGAGAAATTTAATAAAAAAGTTAAAAAGAAAACCAACGACAATTATAAGCTATTTATATAAATTATCTACAAACATTTTTTAACATACACTAAATGAATAAATATATATTTATATAAATAATAAAATTATTTTATTATTATAAATTTTACAATAAATATAAATAAATAATTAACGTATTTAAAAAAATTATTTCTTATAATTAGAAGAAAAATGCCAATGATAATTATTTTTTATAGAAGTAATTGGAAAGAGTAATATATTTCTTTTTTAACAACTGACCTAAACACACCTTAATTATTGAATGGCTTCTTAAAAGAAACTTCGAGTAAATTTTTTTAATGTAAAAGCATTTAGGATTTGTCTGTTTTAAATTTACAAAATTAATTCTCATCCTTTAAAAAAAAATACATGTTTTAATACGAATATGCAACTTAAATTAAGATATATGTTAAATAATGTTTTAAGAGCACTTGTTAAGGAATAAAAAATGAAAAATGAAAGTTTATCTGAAAATATTATTAAAATACATTTTCTCTCTTTTAATTTTTAATATATATATATATATATATATATATATATATATTATAGAAAAAAATCATTTTCAATTTCTTAACTAATACTCTTAATTAATTTACACATATCTCAATCACAAAAATTAATTTTATTCAACTTTAAACTAAGAAAAAAAAACGCATGCTATAACACAACAATATTGATCTTTCTATATTGTAAATTTATGCATAATTGAATGTTGAGAACCTGTCTTAGAGAAAGACCTCCTCATTCTCTGAGACACTCCTGGTGCAAAGGAAAGTGTAAGCATTTCATGTCCTATAGCTTGTTCACGCACTTCTGATGTTGATGATCTTATACCAACCTGAAATAAATTAAGGAAATAAAACATGAAGAATCAACATATCATAGAAGAGACAGAAAGACCAGGATGTGCACCAAAATGAAGAACATCAATTGATCCTCTGAGCTTCTCACGGATTGCTCTAACAACTGGAAATGATATTGAGGGATCACCACCTAAAACCAAGGGACGCAATGGATCCTGAAATAATACAGATATATGCCATGCATGAGATATTGAGAGCCTACCTAAATTTTATGAGAAAAATGTACACATGATAATTCAAGTTATGCTAGATTTCACTCAAAATTCTTTTACTAGAACTAGTAAAATGTACTTGTTGGACTTGGTCAACTCAGTTAAACATGTTAAAACTTAAATTTTTAGTCTTGAGCTAGAAGCAATTCTGAATTTTGTAGTTCATTCTATCTGATTTTTTCTTCAATCAAATTCAAGTTAAGTCAATTTATTTAAATATAAAGTGCAAGTAATTGAGTTAGACAAAATTTTTGGTTAACACCTCTAAGTATCATGAATCCACACTTATTGTCAAATACATTATATTCTATTTGTTAGTGTAACTGATTAATCAGGACTGAGGACTTACGGATCTATCTCTGTCATGTTGAAAGACCAGAGCAAAAGCAATTTTTCTATGACCAATGACTTTGTTAGAAAAGTAAAATACAAGTCATAATGCAATAAAAATAATTTAAAAATTTTGAGTTATTTTAAAAATAATTTAAATTTTTGAGTGATTATCATGCTACCATAATTAGCTCATGATTATCATACATTACAAGCCCTTAACAAGAAGCATTCCCTTCGTGATTTTTATTAGAGAAAAATAATAGGGTAAATTTTAACTGGAGAAGGAATTTGGAGAGAAGAATCACGTCCTTTTTCACTTTTTTAATTTTTCTCGTTAACATATTTAAATTTTTTTTTCTCCCTATTTACTTTCTCTCCATGCATAGACACTAGATTTACAATGGCTTAGAGAGTTATATCATGTTAAATACGTGACAATTTTAATTAGCACCAAAGACAATGAATAATTATTAAAAAAGTAGTTTTCTAAAGAATCTTTTAAGTTTTTTTTAATCAAAATTAAAATTTTACTTCAATAATTTACTACAACTTTAAATGATCACTATTTCATAAAAAAGTTTTAATTTTATTAAAAAACGACAAAAAATGCTTAAAAGTAGTATACTTTGTTTATAATTAAATTAGTATCATTAAAGGAGTTTTAGTTATTTTTTTAAAATTTATTTAAAAGTTTGGATAGAGCAAAAAAGAAAGCGTTTAAAGAAGGTCAAAAAAATTAAAGAAAAATAGTTAATAAAAATTATTTAAATTAAAAAAACTTAAAAATATAGACTTAGATTTTGAAAAGTTTATAAAACATTTTATCCTTGTTTAAAAACTTTTACATAAGAATTATTATTATTAATTAAATTTTTTCTCTGTTTCTTTTTCTCTAAAAATTAATTCAAATTTCAATTAATAAATCTGAATCTTCTCTAAATGTAATGGAAATTGGACATTTAGATTCATTTTTATTAAAACAAAAATGAGTTTTGTTAAGTAAAAAAAATAACAAAAAAATTTTACATTGTTTTTGTTTTTCACTTTTCTACAACTCTCCTTCTCTAACTTCTCTTTTCCTCAATCCCTAACTCTCCCTCAACTCTTAATTTTCCTTCTTTCCATATACCAACTTTTATCTTCCTCTCTCACCCTCTTTTTTCCCTCACTCCACGCACCCATATCTAACCCCCATCCGACTCTCCTTATGTCCCACATCCATTCAAATTTAAAACATTCAAATTTTGTTAAGTAAATTTTATATTTATTTGAATAAATTTTTATTATTTTATTAATTTTTATTTAAATAAAAATAGAACTAAACGCCTAATTCATATATTAATAGGAGAGAATTAAAATCTTTAATTAAGATTTAAAAGGTTTATATTCTAGAATTTTTTTTAATACAGAATATAAATTAATTTTTATTTGCTAACGAGTTTACAAAGAAAAAAATTAGCATATTTAAAATAAAATATATTGAAAAACTTATAAACGTCAATGAAACATATAAGTTATAAGATAAATGTAAATTCACTTTGATTCAAAACTAAATATGCATTTAGAGTAAACTACGCATGACTAATTGACAACACAGCCCTTTAAGGAACAACGAATTTTTGCTGCATATAGTTTCCGCATGGAATGCATGCCTCTACGTCCTATGCTTGACATTTCTGCATCACAAAAACAAAACAAGTAATATTTATATATATTTAGAGTCCAAATAAATTATTTAAAATACTCTCTTTATTATTTTTTAACATATTTTAAATTATTAAATTAAAATTTATTAAAAATTATAAAAATGTAGAAGAGAATCGTTAAATTAAAAATGAAACTCGTATAATTTTTATTATATTATATTATATATCCCTTTGGTTTTTGAAAAGAACAGAGGACACTCGATATAGAGAGACTCTGGGAGAAGTGATTAAGTTGTGCTCAGAAGAAAGGGTGTCATTTCTAAGTATATGGCTTTATATACACATTTTCATATTATATATTTTCATTTTATAGGAATTTATTGGAGTAGGGGTATGCACAAGGCAAAGTGACTCCCACCCACCCCTCACTTTAACTTTAAAGTAACATTTATTTTGGCTAATTTGACTTAAAAAAAGTTTTAATTATATGATTTTATATTATCAACTCTTAGATGTATAAGTTATTTCAACCAATTAAGAAGTTTAGTTAATTAGTTATAAGTTTGTTTTGTTAAAAAATAAAAAATGTTTGATAAATAATTTATCTCACTAATCTGTAATCTATGTCAAATATAATTTGAAGTAGCACTTTAATTTATAATTTATTATTCTAAAGTAAAAATTATTCTTTTAAAAATTAATATCTTATTATATTTTATATATTTATTTAAATTAAATTTAGATTTTTTTATAATAAGGATTTTTTAAAAATTTTATTTGTGATTTTAAAATTTCGTATAAATTTAGAAGCAAGTATATAATATAATAACGCAATACTTATTAATATAGTAAAAATAGAGAGTAGTTTTGTGCATGTTATAAAGGGAAGGATTTAAAAATTTTAGTGACAATTTGTTTTAAATAGGGAATATAATTAATCTTGGTAGAATTAATTTTGAGCCACTAAACAAAATTAGATTATGTGTTTAAAATATTTTAAATTACAAATTCATTTTATATTAAAGCGTATATTATAATAAATAGATTTTTTGAATTATATTATATTTTGTTCATGTATCACATTTTATAGGGGCGAGTATAAAAAAAATAGAGGGATTATGCAATGTGATGTAGGGATGGCAATGGGTAGGATACTATAGTACCCATCCCCGTACCCGCGTTTTAAAAAAATACTTATACTTAGTCTCATACTCGCATGAGTATAAATATTAATCTCCGTGCCGTATCCTTTGGATACCCGCATATCCATTTTATACCTATTACCCGCACTTGTTTGAGAAACAAATATTTATAAAGAAAAATATGTTTATATAACTTCACATAAATAGCATAATAATACAAAATTTCAATATGTATTTGCTGAATAAGGTACAAACATAGATAAAAAATAAATATTCAAATATCACAAGTGTTAAATGTATCTTAATACAATAATTTTTTAAATTAAAATTCTTAAAAATAATAAGCGAAACTAAACAAACAAGTTTTTTTTTATCGGTAATGACCTTATCTTATTTGAGATTCGATCGATCGGCAATATCAAAGCGACAACAAAATAGATCTGCTTGAGTGACCCTTCGTGTGGAATTACTTTATGACCTTTGTGGCGACATTGTCAACTAACTTCAATTCATAATTGTTAGATTTTAATGAAACAGAGAGTAGAGTTAAGGTAGAGAAGTTTAAGTACTAACAATGAAAAGTGGATGTATAAAATATTTTTCAAAATTTTTGAATTTGAAATTGTAAAAAAATAATAGATTTAATTAAAATAAAATAATATAATTAATATATATATATATATATATATTAATACTAGTATTTTTAACTCATATATTATATGAGAGTATTTTGTCAAAAATATAAGTTTTTGAAATATTATTTTAATAAATTAAATATTTATAATGTATATAAATTTAAAAGAAATAATTTAAATAAAAGATAAATGGTTACAATAAAATTTTATAATAAAGAAATACATGTGTATATAAAAAAAAGTATACTTTTTTATTGAAGAAAAAATTAACAAATAAAAATTAACAATAATTTTTTATATTTTATATCTTTTCAAAAACTTCTTTAAACGTAAATAAATAGTAAAAATAATATTATTTAGATTTAATAAATTATAGTTGTACTTATAATGCATATGTTGTATAAGAAAATATTATTTTAAATTAAAATATAAAAAATAAAATTTAAATATTATTAATAAATAATAAATTTATAATAATAGCAAGTGATTGTAAAATTTATAAAATATTTACAATATGTTTATTATTTATCATTCTATTTTATGATTTAAATATCAATATAATTTTATTAATAAAAATATTTGTATGAAAATATTTTATATATCTGTCATATATAAATAATATTTTTTAAAAAAGTTAATATCATATCAATTATATAATAATTAAATTGTATTAACTTAATTAAACGATATAAAATAGTAAATAAATTTTTTTATTAAAAATATAAACTAAAATAATTTTTTTAGTTTATTTTATTATTAAATATATTTTTATATTAATCTTATATAATTTCTCATAAATTAATATAATAATATAAAAATTTAATACATAATTTTAAAAAAAAATTCAAAAATAAAATAAAATAAAAATAAATAAATAAATATATATATATATATAGAGTAAGATGAGCACTTACTTATACCCGTATCCATCACTATTTATATATTTTTATTCATACTTATATCCTTACCTATATAATAAATAAATACCTATCGATTATAGGTAAATTTTATGAATGTCCGTTGGATACTTTTTTCCGTTGCCATTCCTAATGTAATGGGCTCATGGGCATCACATTTTACGATGTTAACTGCAAATTCTGTCCGTATCTGTGGCTTGCCAAATCCTTCTACAAATTCAATGAATTCGCTGTAAGCCCTTTTATTTTTTTTTCTTGTATTTTTATGAATTTCTAGTTTTAATTTTAGAGACTATTACATGATCATTTTTTTTTTATGAAACTACGTCAATAAAAAAATACTAAAATTTTAAAAATATAAAATATAGAAATTAATTTTTTTTAAAAATTAAAATAAAAAATCACAAAATACAAAAATACAACAATTAAAATATGTTTAAGCTTTTTTAATAATTAAAATATTTTTTTAATATATATAAAGACATGCATTAAAGCACTAGAATTTTTTATTAATAAAAAAATTAATTTAATATATATATTTTTTAGTAATTTAAAATATATAATAAATTATATTTAATATTTGTTTTTTGGTAAAAAAAAATTTACATTTATAAATCATCTATGGACATTCATGTGCATTAATATCTGTGTATTTTTAGAAACAAAACGCTGTTTGTATTTGTAAGAGAATTTTAAAAATATGAAATAAATAATAAAAAATAATTTTTAAATAAAAGTAAAATATTAGACTAACTATGAATAATAATTATAAACCTAACATAATATTTTTAAATTTTTTTAATAGTACATAATTTATTAAATATTATATTAGATTTTTTCTTACTATTTAAATATATATTATCTAATAATTTAGAATTATTTCATCTAAATACAATAAAGTAAAATATTTAAACAGCAGTTAAACAAATTATTTTTATAAGATTGAATGAAATGATGGCTAATGATGGTTATGGGTATCAGTGCATCCCATCAAAGTTAAATAAATAATCTATATAAGTGTCCTCTTCCGATTTATGATTAGCGCCACTTCACTTCCCACAACTCTCTCTCTCTCTCTCTCCAAGTGGTTTCCTCCATTCTCTTCCAAGTTTCCAAGGTACTCACTTAAATTTTTAAACCTGAATTGGTTTTTGATGTTTGAATGTTCTGGGAAATTAACGTTGAATCTGTCATCTGGGTGGTAAAAGGATGAAACTTTGAAAAATCCTCTATTCTGGGTGTGCCACAATTTAGTATTTTTTATTTTGGGGTTGCGAAAATGAAGAGAAAAGGGAAGATCTCTTTGTTTTTCCGATATTATTATTTTTTTCTTAACAAAGTGTTTCTTAGAGTAGTTGAAGTTATAGTTTCATTGCTACATGCAAAGGAAATGGTGAGATCAGTTAATGTTTCTGAATCTGATAGGTATTATGCTTTGTTATGATTAAAGAAAAAAAGAAATAAAAGAGCAGTGAACATAAATAATCTTTTATCTATTAGTTACTATTTTGATTTTTATGTTTTACAAAAAAAATAAATAAAAAATCACATTTTGATTTAGTGTTTTTACATTAAAGTTGAAGATATTGCTTGATGTATACCAGGGGCTGAATCACTTGATTGTGTTTGCTGGGTTTTGTGTTGTAGGAGAGGTTAATTTACTGTGTTTCAGGGTACTGGGTATGTGTGCAGTATCATTCACATTGATAAACTCCAAAGTCCAAAATGATTTTTGCAAAAAAATTTTTCAGCTCGATCATAGAAGTCTTTGGTCTCTAAATATAAATGTCAATTGTCAATAGTTTTGTTCTTTTGATGCAGAAATGTCAATTATAGCACGCAGAGGCATCCGTTACATGCCGAGACTAAATGCAGCAAAAGTATCTGATGCTTTGCTAGAGAAAGGCCAAAGTCGTGTGATAGATGCTTCACTTACACTTATTCGAGAGAGAGCAAAGCTTAAGGCATGTTATATTTGCTTCTATCCTACTTGATTGAATTTGTGTTTATTTAGTGTTGTGTCCTTTGATCCATGATTTTAATTTGTACTTTTATTTTGGTGATTTTGATTTATGCTTTGCATAAAAATAATATAAATCCAGAAGTTGTTTTTTCTCCAGGGAGAACTTGTGCGTGCTTTGGGAGGTGCCGTAGCAACTTCATCTCTTCTTGGAGTTCCTTTGGGACATAACTCGTCATTCCTTCAAGGACCTGCATTTGCACCTCCTCGCATTAGGGAGGCCATTTGGTGTGGTAGCACAAACTCAACAACTGAGGAAGGTAGTCATATAGTTTTCCTTTGGTTTGTAGAAGTCTTTGAAAAGATTTTTTGTTTTATCCTAATCTAAAATTTGCTCTGTAAACTCATCTGCATATGTTAATTGATTCTTTGCATCAGTTCTTGGTAGTAGAAAGATTCAAGAATACAAACCTCTTATCTAATTGGAACTGTTGATATTATTTCTTTAGATTCTTAAAAATACTGGAATTTCATGTTGTTAGGACTTAAGACTTCAGTTACTGTACACATCTTTTCCCTCCTCTTCTGGTTGTATTCTCTGAGTATGATATGGACTTCTGTAATGACTCCTGCTCACCTGTATGATCTGTGTTTAGTTATTTATGTTTTGTGCCTTTACAGTGGTTGTGGAAGTGACTTATTCGATGGAATACATCTTGCAATCTCACTTCACTGTGCTTTCCTCATTCTTCGTCTGGGCCTGTAGTTACCCGTGAATTATGATACTAAAGAGCTTATAGTAGCATGATTTTGATTATATGCAGGCAAGGAATTACAGGATGCACGAGTGCTAACTGATGTTGGTGATGTTCCTATCCAAGAACTTCGAGATTGTGGGGTAGATGATCACAGATTAATGAATGTTATTGGTGAATCTGTTAAATTAGTGATGGAGGAGGTAATTTGTCAATTGTGAGCCTGTGCTTTGAATGCTGTCACCTAATGTGAAATTAAAAATTTACACTTTCTGTTACATGCAGTATATGTCATTTTTTCATCCAGTTTTTCCTCATTATTTTCAGTACATTATGATCAACATTTGATAAAGTTTATATAGAAAAATGTGTGAAGTGCTTTAATTTTCTAATATTAGCATCATTTCCAGAAGTTTTATTCATAGGTAGCTTGATTGCATTGTCCCTTCTCCCTGCAAGTAAGGCTTTCTGAAGCTTGATATTCCTCGGTTTTTCTTTTGTTCCTGTTTTTAGTTTTTGGTACTGAAGATTATTAATTAATCAAATATGTAAAAGAGGAATTGCTGTTGAGGTCAATTGACACTCCCTTTTCTAGATGCTAGAGCTGTTGCTATAAGCTGGCCTGTAGTGTGAATACAGAAGTAACTTCCTGCACACTATTAGCTTGCATCTTAACTTTAACGTTGGCATTAAAATCACTGTTATTAAGGAAAAATGGCTATTTAATAGAATAATAGATTAGTCATAGAAATTGTTTTTGCTTAGGTCTTAATTCCGTAGGTCCTCAATCCTGATTGATCAGTTAAACTAATAATTGTAATATGTTTTGACATGAATTGTGGCTTCTTGGCAATAGTTTGAACATGAATAGGGAAGGATCCATGTGTGACATGACAAGACCTAAGCTTTGGGGGTCCCTTTATTTCATTATTGGATTTATTTCTCTGAAAAATTCACTAGATTGGAAAGCTCTGTTGTGAAAACAACTTTTTTTTGCATCAATTCTACTATCACTTGAATTATCAAAATTTTCTGATAGCGTTCTGTTTGAACATGATATAGCTTGATTCTCATAGTGTCTGTATTCTTCCAGGATCCATTACGTCCTTTAGTTTTAGGTGGTGATCACTCAATATCATTTCCAGTTATTAGAGCCGTCTCTGAGAAGCTTGGAGGACCGCTTGATGTTCTTCATCTTGATGCTCATCCTGATAACTATGATGCCTTTGAAGGAAACATTTATTCTCATGCTTCATCTTTTGCTCGAATCATGGAGGGTGACTATGTTCGAAGACTTTTGCAGGCAAATTTTGACATGTTAATAGTGTTTGTTTCCTAAATAGTTTAATTTAATAAGGAATTTCTAAAACATAAATCATGGTTATTCTCTGTGATAGTGTGACATTACTTTCATCCCATTTAGCCTTTTATATTCTGTTATTAATTTATGGTTGGCCACTTGGCCATGCATTGCACTGGCTGAAAGTCATTGGCATAATAGAGCTGAATTTTATTTACATACTAAATATAACTTGATAAGGACTTGGGGATTAATCATCAGGGACCTTTGCAAAGAAGGTGATCAGTAGGACATATGGATGATGTTGCTAATCTTTCTATGTATCTGGTTTCACAAATGAAGAAATCCAATTTCTGTTATATTTAGCGTAAGATATTTGTACCTCTGCTCATGTCGTTATGATTTCTTCTTGCCATATATTATTGATTATCAGAAATCATTTGTCATTTGACTAGAAAGTAGTTAGAACTATGACAGTTGAATTCCTCATAGAATCATGCAACTGCATTTTGTTGAAATATGGTTCGATTATATTCAACCACTCCATAATCAAAATGATTCCATCATTTATACAAGCTGAATTTATCAGGTTGATGGGAAAAAACAGATGCATGGTTTCTTCAGCTTTATTTCTTTCACTTTGTCTTGATCTGATGACTTTTTTTGTTATTTGTTTCACTAGCTAGATTGCTACAATTCTCTCTTTTGTATAATATCTGATCTGATATTTTTTTTAGTGGTGGTGGCAAATATTTCGATCTTCACCCATGTTGTGCTGATATATCACATTCTTCATTCTTTTATTTCAGGTTGGTATAAGATCAATTACAGCTGAAGGGCGTGCACAAGCCAAAAAATTTGGGGTAGAGCAATATGAAATGCGGACATTTTCAAGAGATCGTCACCTTTTAGAGAACCTGGTCTCTCTCTTACTCTTCACCTGTGTGTGTAATTTAGCATTATCTTTTGTTTTGGTATTTGGTGGTTCTTTGATTTTTATACCATAGGGATTTGCTTTTGCAGAAACTAGGGGAAGGTGTTAAAGGTGTATATATATCAATAGATGTGGATTGTCTTGATCCTGCCTTTGCTCCAGGAGTGTCTCACATAGAGCCAGGAGGTCTCTCGTTCCGTGATGTTCTCAACATCCTCCACAATCTTCAAGGTGATGTCGTTGCAGGAGACGTGGTTGAATTAAACCCTCAACGAGATACTGTTGATGGAATGACTGCTATGGTTGCTGCTAAGCTGGTGAGAGAACTGACTGCAAAGATTTCAAAATGATAATCTCCTGCCTCCTGACATTTACTCCCAACACACTTCTCATTCCCTAAAATGTTTTATTTGAAGCATTCATAGAACATAATCAATAATTCAAGTCTTTGTGGGAATGCTGCATTTCTATTGGGGTGTAGTTGGTCATGCTTTTGCAGTTTCAAATTTCTGCAGAGGTTGCAGTTTGTTTTTCTATATAGCCTAATAGGATGATTGATCTATGTGACTCATTGCACCTCTTGATATAAATTTTGTAAGTGCAAGTTATGATATACAAAACTATCTTCTTAGTTTGAAAGACTAATAAAGAAGAGAATAACATTAATTCTTATTTTTCCTTGCGATAAAAAGAGGGTTAGTTTGAAGTTTGAATTTTTAAGTATAAAATTTGTAATGGTTGACACAGTAATTCTATATGAGATGTTTGCCCCTATGCATTTGATCTCATCCATTTGGACTTGTGCAGTCCATTCTCTACAGTTTTGTGTGGGGGATTAGGATGAAAGCAAAATTTGAGGTTCATTCCTTTTGAAATCCCACCTCAACTATCGATGTAGCTTAAATAGAGTTTATAAATGTGAGGATAATCTTTATTTCATGAGTTAGCTTTTAAAGTTAAGTTGATTCTTAACTCAAATTTAAAATGATGCTAGAGCCTATCATAAATTTGATATTAGGCCACTCTAAATTGAAAAAAAAAAAAGGTTTCACAAATCTTTTTAATGCAATTAACCTCACCCATTTAATAATTTTTATAATTGCCAATATGGCTTAAATAGAGTGTATAAATATTAAGATAATCTTAATTTTACGAGCTAATTTTTAGAATTAAGTTAGTTCTGAATATAAATTTAAAAATTCATGTGTCATAACAATTTGCACATTAGAGTCATACGATCAAATAGTGGATCCAAGTTGAGATGCCTAATTTAAATGTTGAACGCGGGATTGATTACACACAAGCCAAGACCATCATAGCAAAATGGGAGGATAGAAAGAACCGAAGCACTAACACATTAAATGTCAGTTGTGCATTACTCTTTTAGTCCATTGTAAATGTAACATGATCCAATGCACTCAACAACAAATCACCTTTTCAATGCTTGCACAGTGAGGCACTTGATCCAATGCACTTAACCTTTTTTATACTTTATTCAATTCAATAGCCAAACCCCTTGTCAATTTCTCTTGTTCCTAAACACAACATACAAACAACCCAATATCATTCCTTCAAGTTTTTATTTACTCGAAAAAATGCCCAACTTAGCAAATTTTTGCCTGCCATTAACAATCAAAATTTAGTTTCATGTTAAGCTCTATCTTTCCTTTGCCACTCAAAACCGACTAAGGGAAATAAAATTGACAGGACTAGAGAGAAAGGATGAATTAGATTTACACATGACAAAAAAAAAATGGTAATAAGATTTATAACCATATTATGGAAACAGAACATGATTTCTAAAGCAAAATCAATAGTTGAATTGAATTTGACTTGAAATACCAAGTGTGTTAAATGACAACAAATCTTTTTTAGTTCACTGAAGATCGATTCTTCACACTTTACAAATGGGGTCAGAATATAATAAATGCCTTGAAAATCAAGTTTGAGTGAGTTTAGCACTAGTTGAGCATTTTCTGCATGTACATAGTTTTTAAATTCAAATTTTAACCTGTTAATTAATTGATGTCAAATCCTACTGAATATCCTTAACTATGAATTTCCAAGTGATTGCATATATAATTTATCTTTAGCATATAAATTAGTAAAAATATAAAAAATTAAATCAAATATTACTCAATCCTAAATAATCATTCACAAGAACGAAATAAAATAAACGGGATAGGAATGATTTAAAAAAAAAGTGAAAATAAAATATTAACTTTAAAAAATGAAATAAAATAAAAAAAACTTTCATTTATTTATATGGCTGAAAATGAGAGTATAAAAAAATTATATAAAATTATTTTATAATATTTAAAAAAAAAAACTTTAAAAAATATTGTAACGATGTGGAATCTTTTTGTATATCCAATAAAAAAAACTGTAATAAAAAGAAAAAGAGAGGCACAAGCGAAGTGCTATATCTTGCTTGGTACTTTCTTCTTTCTCTATCTTCTCTGCAACAATGCTACTTTCTCTCTCTACAATTTGGGCTCCATCAACACTTTCCCGCCTAAACTTTCTCCCCAAACCTTCGCTTTTCACTGCACTCACCACTTTCCGCAGAAACCAATTTCTACCCAAATGCTCGTCCGCTCTCAACCCGGCCTCGAAACGCGACGGCAATTTTGTCGTTTTGGGCATCGAAACAAGCTGCGACGACACCGCTGCAGCTGTCGTAAGTGTTTGGAATTGGCATTCGTCAATTTTTGTTTAGTGATGTCGTTTAATGGCTTGTGTTTTGCGCGTTGTTTAGGTGAGAAGCAACGGTGAAATTCTGAGCCAAGTGGTGTCTTCTCAGGTATGGTATTGTATTATATGTACTCAATTCGAGTTGGTACTTAAAGAGAAAATGTAGAATTGATGCAGAATTTTATCCTATTCAGGGCATGTTGGAAGAGCTTATGAACACTATGAGAAACAACTTATGATTTCCATGGAGCTATTTTTAACTTAGTTTAATAAATTTTTTGGTGCAGCTTATTAAAATAAGTTATTTTTAGCTTGTCTCAATAAAATTCATTGTGAAATTTATGATACAAGTCATCATTTAAAAAGAGCTTATTGCATAAGCATTCAGATAAGTTGTATATTCAAACTCACCTCATTGTTATCATTATTTTGTTATTGTTGTGGGAGTGAGGAATATTGAGGGTTGATTAGTGCGTGTTTGAAATATAGCGTATCTGAAACATATTTTTTAGCAGCTTCCTGAAAAGAATTTTTGAATTTATTTTTTCATGAATAAGCTGAAACAGTTGGATAGGTTTGAAAAATGAAGAGTATTTTTTGAGGTAATTAGATTTTTTCCCCCGAAAGCTACTTTTTATATTATTGAACAAACAACAAGCATTTCTTTTGGTTCTTTTGCTTGTTATTTTAAGAAGTTAATCCAAGTATCTTGAAAATTTTCAGCTTACGTTTTAAAATAAAAGTGATTTTCATTTTCTTTAAGAAAGCTCAATCAGATTGGCTATTGGCCCCTGATGGATAGAGAGAAGTTTCTTTTGCAGTGGGATTGCAGCAAAAATTTGGTATTAGAACAGTTGATCTGACTGATATTAAAATTGTGCTCTAGTGCATTTTCTATGCTGCATCAGTTAAGATATCAAATAGGTGGCTGAGACTGTTCTTTGAACATGCTAATGCCATGCATATCCCAGGCAAGAATAAAAGCACAAGAATGCCGTCTCTGGGGGATGCATCTTGCATTAAATAAATCATCTATGGAAGGATAATGAGATATAATAATATGACAGAGTGAAAATACTAAGTAAGAATTTGTGGAGGTTATTTTCACTGTTGCCTGAACTATAATGAAAATCTACAGTTTGGTTAAATTGATTTTGCTTAGTCTAAAATGGTTACTAATCATCATGAGATGGTCTGAGTCTCGTTTTTTTATTAATCATTTTTCACTCAACAGAAGAATGCCTATGTCTATATTGAATGCTTTTAGAAATGTTGTTAGCATGCATCTTTTCAGTTTTATCTTCATGAGCTCAATATATATATATAACTTGGCTCTATATTTATGTCACCTTTCAACTACCAAACATAACACTCTTTCTAAATATGTAACTTCTCCAAATTAAGGCAGATCTACTTGCAAAATATGGGGGTGTTGCTCCAAAAAAGGCAGAAGAAGCTCACTTGCAAGTGATAGACCAGGTACAGCATTTTTGTCCTGTTATCAATACATCCTAGCTTGAACATGTCTTGTGTAGCATTGTAGGTGAAGCTAGACAAATCATATCATGAGTATACTTTTGTAACATTACTTTTATGAGGTGACTGGCTGACTGCACACATGTCCATTTTCTTTCTTTCATTATTTATTTATGAGTATTCAAATATTCATAAATATTAGCCCTTCAATGCCAGAACCTGGTAGAATGTAGGTAACTTTTGGGGGCCCTGGGATGATGGGTGGAGAACACCACCAGGTTGTCAAACAAATTTCTAATATGGATTCTAATTTTCTCTCTTTCTCTTCCTCTGTATTTGGATTATTGATAACCTTTTTGTTTATTCATTGTAGGTTGTGCAAGAGGCTCTTGATAAAGCTGATATGACTGAGAAGGATCTCACTGCAGTTGCTGTCACCATAGGTCCTGGTTTAAGTCTCTGCCTTCGTGGTAATACTTAAGAAATTATGAGAATAGACTTAAGAAATTAGACAGAAGTTATGTGAATTGCTTGAGTTAGAGCTCTAATCATCATTAATATTTATATACATAAAAGAATAATATTATAAAATTTGGATTTAACTCACTCTCAAAAGTTATTTTATAGAAGGTGGAATATCCAACAAGCCCTTATATGGAATATTTTGACTTTCTCATGCCCAAAACTAGACATTTGGTGTGTGGAGTTTATAGGATTGGACATCTACAGATGACCCAACAAGACTAAATAAGACTAAATACTTGTGGGTAGCTTAACATTCAAATTAGATAGGCTTTGATACCGTATTAGGAAACTTGTGTCTAACTTATTCCCAAAAGCTAGTTTGTTGGAAGAGAATTACTCAAGCCCTTATAAGGAGTATTTTGGTTCTATTTTTAGCCAATGTGTCACACTCTCCTCATGTCTAGAATTAGACATCTAGTACATGAACTTTGTAGGATTGGATATCTACGGATGACCGAACAAGATTAGACATTTGTGGACAACCTAACATTCAAACTGGATAGACTTTGATACCATATTACAAAACTTGAGCTTAACTCATACCATGTTGAATTTGGGCTTTAAGCTTAATAGTGTTATCAAATGTTGGTTATGGTGGCGCCATGATGCCTAACGGTGGCGTTTTTCCCTCAGACCGCCATGAGTATGGTAGTATTTTAATGGATTATGCATGGTGGCTCCATGGCAGCCGTTATGTGCCTGGTAGCCACGACAAAAAACATGGGTTTTCAAGAAAAAAAATGAAATGGGCCTTTGACCTAACCTGATTCAGAGTTACCCGTGAACACCAAAATCCTAAAAAAATTGTCTTCTTCTCCCTCTCTCAAGTCGCGACTTCTCTCTTGAGTTCGAACGTCTTTGCATTTTCATCCTCAATGTCTCTTTTCTTGCTCTCGACGTCTCTCAATCTCTTCTCCTTCTCAATGTTGAGGACCACCACAATTCTGTCTTTGATGACTTAAGTTGCTGCCATCTCCAGTGGCATCTAGAGTGTGAATATAGAACTGGATAAGCCGTTAGACACATCTTAGGATGTCTGAAGTTTGTAAGACTGAACATTTGCGAGTGGTCTAACAAAACTAGATATTTGTAGGCAGCTTAACATTCAAACTGGATAGGCTCAGGATGCATGAAGTTTGTACGTGTGAATGGTCCAACAGAATTAGATATTTGTGGGCAATTCAACATTTAAATTGGATAGACTCTAATACCATGTTAGAAAACTTGGACATAACTCACTCTCAAAAGCTAGCTTGTAGGAGAACTACTCAAACTCTTATAAAGAGTATTTTGACTTTATTCCTAACTGATGTGAAACCTTTTAACAAATAAATATATAAATATACTTAACATTTATAAGAATGATAATAAAATGTAAAATATTTTCCATGACTCTAATCTTTCCAACAATGTATAATTAACTCCCATAACTCTAAATGACATTATTAATCATTATCACTATTTTCAACACACAATGTCAGTTAATTTCAATAGATTTTCATCATGTGTCCCATGGCTTCAATGAATTAAGCAGGATAATGCATGTTAAAGTCTGATAATTCATTGTGAAGATGTATTAATTATTTAATATATATGCAGCCTTGTGATATTATTTAATTAAACTTTTAAAGTTAAAATTGCAATAAAATGAAGCTGCATCTTTGTGATTCTTAAAGTTGGCTTCGTAAGTTATAAAACCATTATTTAATAGGTCAAAGCAACACATAGTAGTGCCAGTACTTGCATGGGAATTGGCAGGAAGTTTTTTTTTTTCTGTCCTCCTTCCTCCTCCCCGTCAAATTTGTTGTTGACACTGCAAATCATTGACACTGACTCATTTTATAAGTTGGGTAAATAGTTGTATCTTAATACAGTCTGATGGTTCAAACTGTAGGTATGAATGTTTGTTTCTGACTTCAGTGTAATCATTAGAAGGCATATTTCAGTAATAATTACCCATTACTTCAACTTCTGATCATTGATGCACTTTAGATGAATTTCATACTATCAATTACATATTCCTCAGTCTATGTCTTGGACAATGCAGTGGGGGTGCAGAAAGCTCGTAGAATTGCTGGGGGCTTCAATTTACCAATTATTGGCGTACATCACATGGAGGCTCATGCTCTAGTGGCCAGGTAAAGCTATAGTGGCTCATTAATATGTAATTTTCTGCATAGTAGATGGATGCAGAGGCATGCTTGCAATATTTTGGATATTTAATTTCTGTTTGTTGTTATGCTTCTAGAATTTGTGTGCACCTTCTAGTATCCCATAGGAAAATATGCTTTTTGCTATAAGATGTACATATCTTTTGTTTTAGGTTAATTGAGAAAGATTTGCAGTTTCCTTTCATGGCCCTACTTATTTCAGGTAATATTCCTGTTTTTGGGTTTTATTTTTATTAGTCTTGCTTTTATTATTCCTTACAATTGATCTATTTTTGTTTTTCTTTCTTGGATCATGAATCATAGTTTCCAGTTCTAGTTCAAAATTTGAAGTTTGTGGCATTCTTGGGTAAAAAGGTCCATCCATGTGGTACAAATAAATATGAATTAAGCCAGAGCAATTTTGGATACTTCTGAGATTTGAATTAGAGCAGTTTGCAGCTTGATGCTGAGTACTTTCAATCAAGTCACATTGAGCAACTAGTATGATGATTTGTGAAACAAATGGACATGAAATATGATTGACATGCTTTTGGAAGGGACTAGTATTTGTACTTCAAACTTTCCATGCGAAATGAGTTGTTTGGAGTATGAACTACTATCATCTTACTGCTTACTAGTAATCCATTTTTGTGTATCTACTATCTAGTAGCATTTGATTAGGTGTTTGGGAAAAATAGGGACCATCATTACAATTTTCAACATTTAAGTGGGTAAAACACTTATACAGGAAAATCTTTGAAAGTTGGATAGAATTTGAATTTGGGGTTTTGTTTTAAGTGTAAGGAGGATATCTTGTTATTTTTGGTTTTTCTTATATTATTTTTTCCTTATTTACTTTAACATGAAACATATCTTGGAAATATTAGTACAAGGGATCCAGTGGCAGTTGCTTTAGCTCAAAGTAGAGCTGATGAATCCTTAGCAACTAGAATTTGTGTTGTGATGCATTGAATGTATATCTTGAAAATCTTCAGCATTGATTGGAAACTAAATGAGAAAGGAATGTAATAAGAATCGTAGGAGACCACACTACAAAAGCTAGCCCAATGTTGGAGAACCCAAGGTCTTGTAAACTCTACATCCCATACTTCCAATTGGATCCTAACAGAATGAAAATATAGGAAGGCAGAATTCAATTTTCTAGTTTACTTTATGGCTTGAAGTCATATAAATTGAGGGATTAAAAATGTTCAAGAAAGAACTCATATTTACCTATAATATTTTTCAAAATTATGGATGTAAAACAAATCTTGGGCTTTCACCTAAAAACTTAGGGCCTGATTGGGTACTTTCCAAATGGAGTTTAGAACATTTTCCAAGGCAAAAGTCTTAAACCAAACATTTATTACTTTCAAGGAAACATAATTTAAAGTGTAATACAGAGGCTTTATCGTTTCAGAGAATTGGTTGACAACACGATCAAAGGTTCATGACCAAGTGGTTAAGAGTTTCAGTGGAATGTAGAGTGAGTTTGTTCATTGTCCATACTTCCAAATAAGGACTTTAGCATGAAAGCTCATGTTAGAGATTTAAGATCGATTGTTTGCTTTCACCTAGCAATTTAAGCTTTTGGGAGAGGGCTGGCCCATGACAACTATGATTTGAAATAGGTACTTGTTTGAATAGACTAACTGCAGGTTCATGTTAAAAAAATTCTCTTCTATATCAATTTTGTTGGCTCAAGCCTAAACTTCCTCATTAATTGTTAGAATATCTTTGACACTTGTGGTAGCACATTGGGTATACAAGGTAGAATCAATGAGAAGCGATCCTAGGCAATACTTTAGGATTATAAATCTGTATAATTAGCATTGAATCTTTTCAATTCAACACTAAAGTCATTATATGCTGTATACCACATAATTTGTTATACTAACATACCATGTACCATTTACCCATGGCGAAGAAGATTGAGTGTCAGGTACGTTGATAAAAACAAGAATTCTACTGTGGAGTCATTTCAGTCAATATGGCTCAAAAGCAATTGACATCAAGTGCTTCTACAGTTTACTCACTTCTGATAAAATGTCATATTTATACAAGGCAAGTCTGTTATTACAGTTAGTGATCCTAACTGTCTCTGTTAGAGACTAGCCAACATGAGAACTGTCATATAATAGCTGGCCAACTAACAAGTAATGGAACATATACATGTACCTCTAACACAGGAATATGATTTTCACCTTCATTCTTTTCAATAATTTGCATTCCTTCCGGGTCTCTCTTCCATTAAATTTTCTGAAGTTGGGTACATAATTGCAAATTGAATTTGAATGTTTGAATATTTTGATTCTTTTAAATGTAGAGATGGTTCTTGTGTTTTAGTTTCCAAACAATCCAGCGCATTGCTAACCTGTAATTTGATAGTGACCGCTGACTGTATTCATCACATACTGATACGCCTGGCTATCTTGTGTGAGGATGACGACAATTATTGTATTTCTAGGTGGACACAATCTACTTATTCTTGCACGTGATCTTGGGCAATACATACAACTTGGAACTACAATAGACGATGCCATTGGTGAGGCATATGACAAGACAGCAAAATGGCTTGGACTTGATATGAGGAGAAGTGGTGGTCCTGCTATAGAGGAGCTTGCTAGGGAGGGTAATGCTGAATCAGTCAATTTTTCTGTAAGTTTGTTGTGCAATATCATACTCCATTCCCCTCCCCAATGCTTCGTTGCTGCCCTAGGTTGAATATCTATCCTATTCTGACATTTTTATGGAGGCTGTGCCTGTAATGGGGAATTAAGTTTATTACTATGTTTATTCTAGATTCCGATGAAGCAGCACAAAGATTGCAACTTCTCCTATGCTGGTCTAAAAACCCAAGTACGGCTGGCAATTGAGTCAAAAAAGATGTATGTAAATACTTAAGCTGTTTGTTAATAGTTATTTTATAAATAAATACATAATGAGGGAGCAATGCCATATTGCCATAACCTGAAAGATAATCTATCTTTATCTTGTCACATGCTTTGTCTTACTAATGTAGTTATTAGCTGCACAAAGTAATTAAAAAAAATTATGTCTTGAGGAGGTGGCTGATTTCCACCATCTGTTTAGTGTTACTTTTTCTTCTCATGCAGTTGGTGTTATAAAGCCATTCATGTGTCTTTACCTAACAACATAAGCTTTGGGATAGTTGGTTTATGACATGTTATGCCTATCCATTGGTCACCGGCAGATGTCTATTGAACTTCACACTCTGAGGTGCAGTCTTGGGCTTAAGGGGGTATGTTAAGATGTTCTGAATTGGTTAGGAATATAGTTAGAATACTTCTTGTAAATAAGACTTGGGAAATCCCTTTCCCCTTACCTCTTCCTCACCTTGAGTTAGCTTTTGAGGTTGAGTTAGGTCATGTTTATTCTTAATATGTTATTAGAGCCTCTATGACCAAGTGGTCTAGTGCTTTATTCACTGCTCAAGTTCAAAGGGCTCTTGCATAAGGGGGCATGTTAAAGATATAATATAAAACAAGTAATGTGTCTACAACTAATAGCTTAAGCTTTTGGGATCATTTTCATGGTTAGATAGCTGCTAATATTTTTATTTGACCAATAGTCGTCAGCTACAGGATAACTAAATGATTCATATTGCATATTGCAAGAAATCAAGTATTAGGTGATCTAGAAGTAAATTGTACTAACAGATTTTACTTTTATTATCACCTACTTATGAGTATTTGGGTGATTGGCAGTGATGCCAAAATTCCTATTTCTCCTGCTTGTACTGAAGACCGATTGTCACGGGCTGATATTGCTGCTTCTTTTCAGGTTAGTTATATTTTTGTAGGTTTTGCAGATTGAGAGTATCTTCTCTTTCTAGTCTAGTAAATGAAGTTTAGTATTTCCTTTTTCTTGTTTAAAATTTCTTCATGTTCTCCTCTTTTGTTCACCTTCAACCCATTTGGTTTTAGTATATGCATTGTTTATTTTGTTTTCATGTCAAGCAGCGAGTTGCAGTGTTACATCTTGAGGAAAGGTGTGAACGAGCAATACAGTGGGCATTGAAGATGGAGCCTTCTATAAGATACTTGGTAATTGGAAGTCTAAACTGCTGCTGGTGTCAAATACATCAATGCTTTTTCTTTCTGTTAATTTCCATTGGAAAATGTGAATGTCATTCTATGTCTTCTTGTCTGTTGCAGGTTGTCTCTGGTGGTGTTGCATCAAACCAATATGTTCGAGCTCAGCTTGATATGGTTGTGAAGAAGAACGGCCTGCAACTTGTATGCCCTCCTCCCCGGCTTTGTACTGATAATGGTAATGATATATTCTTATTTTTGTGTTAGTAATGAAGGCTAATTCTATTCATTCCACGCTGCTATGAAAACATTACATAGCTGGTCCCAAATCCAAATAAAAGACGAGGGTTGTATATTAGACATTCAGCAATCAATATTGAAACTTGCCCAATATTCAATGACATGTATCAATGATAATGCTAGGTCATTATTTGTAAGTTACAAATTGTATTACTGAGTCCAGTGTTAAATTAGGAACTAGTACTACAACTACATTGGCACATGGATGTAGTGCAAAATAGGCAAAGGGTTCTCAAATTTTATGGAAAGTTGAAATTTGTCCATGAGAGTAGGATCCATTTTGGTTATGGGAATTTTGGAACACTGACAATTGAATTTATGAAAATAGCATCAGAAGGAGTATTACCGTGCCTTCAAACAGTATATTATCGTGAATTTGCAGTGATTCTGCAATCCATTTAGCCATATGGAACAACGTTGACTAGGCTTTCTTGTATAGATGAGGTTCAATGCTCGTCCTTTCCTCCGTGTTTTAATTCATTCTCCTTGACATTTCCTGTGGAGTATATGAAGAAAAAGGAAAATGATGCCCTCCATTTCTCAATTGTAATATTGTTCATTTGTCTTTCTTGATCCGTATTAAAAATGCAAATTAGAATGCTACTCTTTCCAACGCATCATGCATGTGATATAAGAAAGTTTATTTCTTGTTTAATTAAACCTATTTATTTCTTACCAGCTTGCTTTTAAACTAAATAGGTGTAATGATTGCTTGGACTGGTATTGAGCATTTCCGGATGGGAAGATATGATCCTCCTCCCCCTGCGGAAGAGCCAGAAGATTTTGTGGTGCGTTTTCTGAGCATTGACAAATATATGGTTTAAAGCACTTTTTAATCAGACAAAAGTGCTTTCCTATTATGATTCTTTAGATGGATTAGGTTAGGATAATAATTTTTCTTAATAAAGAAAAAATATGTTTAATGCTTTTTACACAATCAACAAGATCAGTTATCACTTAACCCAGTTCATAAAAATGTTGCTTTCATCGGTGGCCGATCTGTTTTATCATGGAAAGCTATCTTAAGATGTTGTTCACGTTCTTTTCAAATTATTTTCTACATCTCTTTTAGTAATCTAAAATTCTCAGGGCTTTAGTGCTACTTACCATTGCTGAAAATTTGTTCATGTTCAACTTGAACTTCCCTCAAATTGAATTGAAGAAGCAACAAAAAATTTACCTGTGCTGTATATTATTCTTGTGTTTCATCTGTCAATAAAATTTATTAAATAATGCTTCATTTCAGCATGATTTACGCCCAAGGTGGCCACTGGGGGAAGAATACGCTGAAGGAAAAAGTGAAGCACGCTCCTTAAAAACAGCTCGTGTCCATCCTTCTCTTACATCTCTCATTCAAGCATCATTGCAAAAGTGAGGAATGAACTTTCATGTTGCTTCATTTTGGTTTATGAAGTTGTGCAGGACAAGCCTCTTTTTGGACTTGTCTCTGATCAACATGATCGAATTTTCTATAGCACATGAAAAATTGTCCAAGTTTGGTGCTTGGTTAGGGAAACTGGGCATTGGCATCACGCAGTATCACGAGAAAATCCAGCAAAGCATTGTCATTCCAAGGAGAAATCTTATGGTTGATAGAATTGAAAATAGGAGTGGGATGAGAAGAGATGTAAATTGTCTTTTGGTATTACCAAAATTTTACTACTTCTAGGGAAACGAAGTTGCAAACTTCTATTTCTGTGCCTTATTCTTTAGGCGATCTGTAAATTTAGTGGTTAAGGGTTTTTTTTTTCTTTTTCATTTTTATTCGAATCCGCTTGTATATATTTAGATTGTGATGGTTTACCGTTGATGACGTTCGTTAAAATTCTATCCACTACTTAAGAATTAAACCCAATTTATGTGTTTGTGTTGGATCAATTGATATCAATGCAGAACATCTTTGGTGAAAATGTACACTTTGAAGAAACAAATTAAAGTACGGATGATTAGACAATTATAGAAATTTTTTAGAATACATTATATGTTCATGAAGAATAAATTAAAAAAAAATAATAATTTTGATTATATAATCAAGATTGTGAAAACCAATATTTCCTTGAGACACGATATTGGAAAAGAATTTTGTCTTTTATTAAAAAATTTCATTAACGATCATATTAGGTAATGCAAATGCTTACCTATAAGATGTGTTCAAGTAGTCACTAAACTTCTAATAGACCCAAGCATTGATGTTGTTTGTTTTAATATATCTTTGTGATATTAGATATAATAGGTTTGGAGATACCATGACAGGAATAGTAAAAATTAGTTTTGGACAAAGAATAGTTTATTTTAATTATTATCCAAACAAAATTATGAATTTAATGGATAGAAATATATTACTCTTTATTTTTAAACATATATTTCCATGGTCTTGACATAAAATAAATATTCATTCTAACAACTTTAATTTGTAGGATTTAATATAAAGTAATGAACACTTGTGCTTTTAGGGTCTTCTTTAAACTAAAAAAAATAATTTTGTTTATCACGAATATGATAAGAGCTAATGTTTCTTTACCCAGAACAATAAAATGGAATAAAGTTACTCTTCTTTATATGGACAAAGTTATTCCTTCTATTCATATACCTGCTCCACAAATCTAAGAAATCAAACAAAATAATTATGAAAAAATTGAAATAACTTTCAAAAGAAAAAATTTCTTTTTTTCTAGAATAGAAGTCTCAAAACAATCTAAGCATGCATATGCAAGAAGATTATTCTCAATTCGTTCACAAGCTTTCTAAAATTGAGATACCTAAATCAATCTCATATTCTATCCTATATAATAAACCTTCAAAGATTGGATATAACATCTAGAATCCTTAGAACAACTTATCAAAGTGATGAAGAAGAAGACCAACAATCAATCAAATTTTCAACTTAGTCTTCTCTTAATGATTCTTATGATGTTATTTCATAAATTTATTATAAATAAACCATCTTTTAAAAGAAAATTTAACTCTAAGGAATAAAAACCTTAAAGATGATGATTTTTCATAATTATAAGGGAAACAATAAATATAATATCCAAAATCAATACTACAAGTTTTTGAAACAAGTTAAGATGAATATTTTATTTTTAATTGGTTTCATGTGAATACCATAAAAAATAATATAGATTATTTATTTCAAACACACGTTATAAGACAAAGATCTATTAATATTATTGCAGTTTGACATGACAAGGAAGGAGAGATGATTCAGTCTAAATCACCTCCTTCTACCTAGTATCAATTACCTAAGATAAGAGATGATGATCATATTCCTGTTATGACTACACCTTTTAAAACAAAAAAATTATAGGAAGAAATAAATTTTAAAGACATTAATTAAGCTAATTATTCTACCAAATATCTTCAAGTTATATGAGAAAGAATTAATAAAAAAAAATATTCTCAAATCTAGATAGAAAAACCCTTCTTTAAATTATTTAAAATTAATGCCAAAGTAAAATAAAAGATCCTCTCTATTATTTAAATAGAATCTCAATCTAGAGAAGAAATATGAGATAATAATAATGAACATTTTTTCTTTGCTCCTTTAAAGTAATATAGTTTTGATTAAAAACTACTATTAAAAATATTCAAAGAATTGCACTAAAATTTTATTCGTTTATTTTCTACAAATTAACACTAAACATGTTAATAAATTTGAAATTAAATAAGTGAGCAATTTTAAATATTTGGCAGTCGTGAAAATTGAGCTGGTCTAGTCGAAACTTGTGTTATCAATTGTTCTATTGTTCCGTGTATAAACTAAGTTACATGAAATCACAATTAGATTAATACAAATTGATTGCAATATGTGACAATATAATTAAGATATATATTTTTATTGTATTTCATTTCTTACATAATCAAAGTACCTAAACATACTCTAAAAAGGATACTAAAAATAAAATTAATACAATCTTGATAAAGATTTTCACGTAATTAAAATAACCCTTACTACAAATACACAAGATTAATACAACATTAGGCAAATATAATGTTGCCAAACGACATGATTTACGACGATGAAACCTTATAGCATAGCTGATCGAAGTCTTGAGTTGAGTCAAAGGATTTTTGGTTTAAGTACAGTTAAGATGCCAGATGGAGAAACAATTCCGACGTAATTTGCAATTGCAAAATGCCGACCAAATTCAACGGAAAACTATGCGTCCAGCAATAAGTCAACAGTGTTTAATGCCCGCGAATATTGGATAGTGATGTATAACCAAAAGCAAAATGGGTAGTGAGAGCCAAAATGAAAATTATCGAAGGTGGCAAGTAGAAAACAAAATATCGAAGAAAACGTAGGAAAACACTTAATTAAGCGATAACGATAAAAGCCTGCCTAAGATTGTTTTGTTGGGTGAGAAGAGATCCATAGAGATCAGAAAAGTTTAACAGATGGAAGATATAGCAAGTAAACCGTATATAGAAAGATCAAATAGAATATTAGGAGAAAAATAGAAAAGACCTTGCTTTTATGGTTTTATTCAAAATTTATTTTTTAATAAAGTTCAACTGTGTCAACTGATTCATATAGGTTAGACTTGGTTGTATTTATAAGCATTCTGAAAGCCAGGACAAAGCCAAAGCTTATAGTTGTCAAAACAATAAAGATATTTATAAACATAAACAATAAGAAAAATGCTAGTAATACACTTTCTAACACTCTTAACTATTGATTAAAATTTATTAAAATTGTGTAAAACTCCTTAATTTTATAATTATCATTCCTGATTTAATGATTCACTCTCGTATTTTTTTAATTTTCAATAAATTATAACCAATAACTAGAAGTATTAGAGTGTGTTCCTAGCACTCCTAGACAAGAAATTACTTTCTCATTCAACACTTTCGTCACCGTTGCTGCCTCGCCAATGTGATAAAAAAGGAATTTGTGCAAGCAAGGAGCTTATGAACCCAGAAGCAGATTGGTCTTCATTTACTTCACTATCCAAATCACGCCAGAACTTGATGATATGGAGACTTTCTTCCTCTGTTGATCTTTGGACAACAATCTTGGAAGCATATCCTCTCTTTCTCATTTGAAGGCATATCTCAGAAGGATTGTTTGCAGTGAGGGTGACCAAGTACAACCATCCCTTTTCTGACAAAAGATGGTCTGCAACGGGTAAAATTCTATCAATTACACTCCGGCCATTTTCGCCACCAGCCCAAGATGCCACAATACCGTCACCACCCACTTCATCTTCAGGGGTAGGCACATAAGGAGGATTCACAATCATAACATCAACCAACCCGGCTAAACGCTTCTCTAATCCTGATGCAATATCCGTTACTATCAACTCGGCATCAACCCCATGTGCTTCCATAGTCTCAAGGGTTACTCTCACTGCATGTGGGTTGATATCAGTTGCAATATAGTTGATGCCCCGACCTTCCTGCCCGAGAATAAGAGCTAGGGATGTAATAACGTATCCACTACCACAGCCTATCTCCATGCACAAAGATGGATGATGCTCCATCAGATTATTACGATCAGCTAGAAGAGCATCAACCAGTGCAAAAGAATCATCACATGGTTCATAAACCTCTTTGTGCGAACTCACAAGGCGAATTTGGGCAGTTCTTGGTAACTCCCTGTATGAATCCTATCATTAAAAAGGTAGCTGTCAGCAAAGTGCCAATGGTTCAGTGTAATTCACAAGTAAAAGGGGACCAAGGAAGTAGCAGCAACAAAAGGTTTTGCCTCCTTACCATTTCACTGTTGTCCACTTTGGCAGTTGTTTGCAAATGACTTTTAGTGACTCCAGTTCTGAATTGCCCTGGTCAATGCAAAGAAAAAAAATCCACGATGTCAGCTTCCTCCCAACTACTCCTGAGCCTGAGAGCAGAACAATTTAGCAGTTGTACTACAAATAAGTAGTGCATGGCAGCAGGAAAAAAGCATTTAAACTAAAATATAAACTCCAATACAGGAAAAAGAAAAAGAAATAAATACATATGAATTGTATCTGGAAACTAGTATGCTATATGAGGAGTCCAGCACTCCAACGTATGCAAGTATTCTCCAAAATATAAGTAAAAGCTTTAAATTCTTATGGGGCATCATGTAGGTACAGTGTTCTTTGAACTGATGACTACCGTAGTTATTTCTGGTTCTGTAACAGATCAATTAACATATGACACAGGAAAGGTCTTGCTTCTTTATCATCATAAAGGTTGACACTCCCAGACAGGTCATTTCTCAGTAAGCATTCATAGGGATATACTGAATGTTTAAAGATTTTGTTCATGGAGAATCATATAAAATTAGTCCAGAAGGACTATTAAAGAAATCATACAGGTAGATCAATACTTTGTAATGCTAACAGATCAGATCATGTTGACTTTGAAATGATAACAGATTAAGGCTGTAGGAGAATTGACCATCATGAGGAAACTTGAGGACAACAACTAGTCGCAAAAGCAAGTAGAAAAACCAGATAATTCAATATATTAAAATCATATTCCACATATTGCTTAATCTCCCCGGCTACAATGTCGGAGCTTGGTCATTCACATTTTTATTTTTGCTTTATGACAATATATTTATTAAAGTAGAATGCTTAATGAATGAATTGGAAAAGGGGAACCATGCTACTTCCAACATTGGGAGAGAGTGAACCTAACACACTCATAAATGTGTAGTCCTGTTCATCTCATCCTAGCAATGTATAACAGATTTGACACAATTTAGCAGAATGGCTGATGTCTTTAAAACATGTGGTTGGCTAGCTAAAAGAATATTTGACAACGTGTGGGACAAATATTCATGTTTTCCAATAAAGACACTGAAGTATACCAACCAATAATAATCAAATACTTACTCTGCATTCTTCAGCAATGAAGAAATTAAAAGTTATATATAGGGGCACAAGAAGATTGAAATGAGAGAAGCAAGACTGGAGAGACATGGATTCATGTTATCTACATCCATTTTCTAAGGTTGAAGCCCATGGGATAGGATGAAAATTAGGTTCAGGCTCTCCAGGGAAGAGTGTATTTAAATGAGTAGAAATATAGCAAACAGGCAGACAAGTTTAGGAAAACAGAATATCTCCATCAGCAGAAATGTCAAATGTAAATCCAAGAAACTCCAGTTGTTTTGTCAACGAAGCCAAGCATTCATAAATCCATTCAGCCTGTTGATGCAATAAATCCCTAGCCATGAACTCATGCACAACGCCATTAATCTCAATTGAGCTACAACCTGGAGTCTTTTCTACTCCTCTCTCTTTCATTACTTTCCATGCACTCCTTGCCTCCTTCCACATTTTTGCCTCACTGTACAAGCTAGCAAGCAGAACATAAATACCGCTATCGTAAGGATCCATCTCAAGAAGCTTCAAAGCTGCCCTCTCTCCAATTAGAACATTGCAATGAACACGACAAGCAAAGAATAAAGCACCCCACACAGCAGCATCTGTTGCTATTGGCATATTTCTAATGAGCACTTCTGCTTCCTCCAAATGACCTGCCCTTCCTAAAAGATCCACCATGCATGAGAAATGTTTAAGCTTAGGGGATATATTGAATTTAGAGCTCATTTGGGAAAAGTATTTGCGGCCTTCTTCAACTAAACCTCCATGGCAACAAGCTGATAAGACCCCAAGAAAAGTGATCTCATCAGGCTTTAAGCCAATACGAATCATTTCTTCGAAATAGGATATAGCATCATGAGCATTACCATGAAGTGCTAAACCACAAATAATGGCTGTCCAGGTCAAGCAATTTTTGTGTGGAATCTCTTGGAAAACCTGGACGGCCTGTGCAATATTTCCACACTTGGCATACATGTCAACTAGTGCAGTTCCCAAGGTAACATCTAGAGGGAGATTGTATCTTTCAATATAATGGTGAATCCATATCCCTACATCAAGTGCTCCTAGTTGTGAGCATGCAGACAGGCAGCTAACCATGGTTACCTTATCAGGTTCTATTTCACTAATTTGCATTTCATGAAATAGAGCCAATGCTACTTTACTATTTTTAGCTTGGATGCAACCACTGATGATTGCATTCCATGGCACAACATTCTTCTCTGGAATTTTATATAAAAGCTCCCGAGCAACATCCAGAAAACCAAATCTGGCATATCCCAAAATCATTGTAGTCCATGAAACAAGGGTCTTATGTGCCATGTTATCAAATAGAACTTGCGCAGCTAACATGTCCCCACACTTCACATACATGTCCATTAGAGCATTATTGAGAGGGATTGTCAACTCGATCCTATGTTCTTTGACGTAACGATGAAATTCTCTCCCAAGATTCAAATCCTGCAACTGAGAACAAGAAGAAACAATCCCAATCATCGTGATTTCATTTGGTTTCACTTTCTCTGCCTCCATTTCCCGATAGAGCTTTATAGCCTCATTTGCTAGTCCTCTTCTAACACAACCAGTAATCATGGAATTCCATGTTACTAGGTCTCTCACACAACCTTTATTGAACACATCGTATGCTGCCTCCAGCTTTCCACACGAAAGCAGCATAGTGATCAATGCATTGTGCACATATATATCAAATTCAAAACCAAACTTCAACACATGGCCAATTATAGTAAGACCAACAAAATTCAGAGATGGACAAGAACAAGCTTTAAGCAATAAAGGGTAAGTATGATTATCCGGCTTCAACATACCACATTGCAACAGTCTCTTGTACAACATAATAGCTCCTTCTGAGTTCCCACTCTCCATATATCCCCTAATTGTCACATTCCAAGAAAATACATTCGGTTCTTCAATATGAAACAATATTTTGGTGCAATACTCAAGGTTTTGCGATTCAGAGAGAGCACAAAACGCAACAAGGCGACTTGCAGCAAAGCCATTGCCAATCAAGCCTGCCAAGATCATTTGAGCCTGGATTTGCCTTAGCTGGACCAAGGATTGGCATCTTTCCAATAGAGAAAGGAGGGGGTTGTTTCGAACAAAGCCGTGGGACGTGTTCCAATTGATGGGCTTGGCACATGGAGACAAACAACGAGTGTGTAAACAACAAAGAAAGCCTACAAATGGGGTTGTTGGGATGAAATAGGGATATTTGTATCTGAATTTGCTGACAAACAGAATAAGCATGATTTGACAGTGATCTCTGAAAGTTCCACTGCTTGTTCAGAAAGGAACCTAGTCACTCACATGAACATAAACATGGTACATCACCAGACAACACCACTGCACTTATTGCAATAACCATAGAAAGAACAATGATTGAATTGTTTTATTTTTATTTATTGCAGTTATAGTAAGGCAACAAATATATGAATAACATTCATAATGTGAATTTTCTCCCAAGTCCTATACCAAAAATTAAAAGCAACAGAATAGAATTATGAATGAATTGAAGAAGGATAGAAGTAAAGGTGTTACCGTTGGTGAAGAGAGTGAAGGGTTTCGGCTCTCACAAAACCAAGTTTTGTTGGTTCGATTGTGTGATGACCTAAACAGAACAATTTCCTGTTTGACGTATCTACACCGTTAATTGAAAATAATTCTTCATCAATGGTTCACATTATATTTACTTAAACACACCGTTTTACTACCAAATTGCAGAGTTAAAAAAAGACATTTAACTTGTTGAAAAATTGCATTTAGGTCTATGCTTAAACTACTAAAATAATTTAGTTTTTTTCATTAATTTTTTCATATAAAAACTTTAAAAATTCATTTCAACGGACATTACTCTTCAAAAATTTTTTATATTGATTTTAAAATATATATATTTATGATATAAATATTTTAATTTTAAATAAAATGATTAAAACATAAAATATATTATTAATAATTTCTCTGATTTTGAAGTTAGTTTAATCTTATATAACATGTAATTTAGATTAAAAAAAAAACTGTATATCGCGTACTCATCTATTCCCTCTTTTTTAGGGTTAAAACTTAAGCTAATTTAGTTGACAACGTAGATAGTGATAAATATTTAATCATAATTAATTTTTAGTTTTGACTACTCAATCATCTCAAATTAAAAATTTAAATTTATCTGTTACTTCTCTGAGTTCGCATGAACTTTCATAAAGCTGCAATTACATATTTTTATTTTGACAAATATCTTATTATTTATTTAAATATTTAAATAATAAATGAAATGAAATAAATCAGACTAACTATGTGTTTGGAAATTTATTTATTTTTAAATAAATTAAATTAAACATGCACTAAATTAATTGGAGTGAAATAGAATAATAGAATATTATCAATATTACATGTATTTGTTTATGCTAAAATATGAAAAAAAAAATCCCATCTCATTTTATTAAATAAAATAAATTATATTTCATTATTTTTTTTTGTATTGTCTTATTTTAAATAATTTAAATAAGATTTTTTTTGTACAAGTTATAATGTAAACATAACTAAAAGGGAAACACCTTCTATTGTGAGAATCTTTGACACTTATCACTTTGAGTAGTTAATAATTATTGTATTATATTATGTGTTTGTTGACTTATAGACATTGGAACCTTATTCAGCCTTCTTCAATCCTCCGTATCAGAAGCTCATGCAGCCCTAAATATTCAGGTACTGACCAAAAATAAAAAAAATCAAATTCTGCGTTAATGTCAATTGATCGAACACAAACACATTCACTAAGTTTAATTTTGAAGCAGTAGATAGAATGTTAACGAATGTCATCAATGGTAAACCATTATAATCTGAATATATACAAGCGGATTAAAATAAAAATGAAAAAAAAAAAACCCTTAACCACTAAATTTACAGATTGCCTAAAGAATAAGGCACAGAAGCAGAAGTTTGTGACTTCTGTTTTTCTGGAAGTAGTAAAATTTTGGTAATACCATAAATCAATTTACATCCCTTCCCATCCCACTCCTATTTTCAATTCTATCAACCATATATTTCTTCTTGGAATGACATTGTTTTGCTGGATTTTCTCGTGATACTGCCTGATGCCAATGCCCAGTTTCCCTAACCAAGCACCAAACTTGGACAATTTTTCATGTGCTATAGAAAATTCGATCATGTTGATCAGAGACAAGTCCAAAAAGAGGCTTGTCCTGCACAACTTCATAAACCAAAATGAAGCAACATGGAAGTTCATTCCTCACTTTTGCAATGATGCTAGAATTAGAGATGTAAGAGAAGGATGGACACGAGCTATTTTTAAGGAGCGTGCTTCACTTTTTCTTTCAGCATATTCTTCCCCCAGTGGCCACCTTGGGCGTAAATCATGCTGAAATGAAGCATAATTTAATAAATTTTATTGACAGATGAACCATTAGAATAATATACAACACAGGTAAATTTTCCGTGGCCTATTCAATTCAATTTGAGGGAAGTTCAAGTTAACCATGAACAAATTTTCAGCAATTGTAAGTAGCAGTAAAGCCCTGGGAATTGTAGATTACTAACAGGGATGTAGAAAATAATTTGAAAAGAATGTGAACATCTTAAGATAGCTTTCCATGATAAAACAGATCGGCCACCGATGAAAGCAACATTTTATGAACTGGGTGAAGTGATAAAAGCATTTATTATACTTTTTCTTCATTAAGAAAATTTATTATCCTGACCTAATCCATCTAAAGAATCATAGTAGGAAAGCAATTTTATCTGATAAAAAAGTGCTTTAATCCGTATATTTGTCAATGTTCAGAAAACACACCACAAAATCTTCTGGCTCTTCCGCAGAGGGAGGAGGATCATATCTTCCCATCTGGAAATTACACCTATTTAGTTTAAAAGCAAGCTGGTAAGAAAAAAATAGATTTCATTAAACAAGAAATAAACTTTCCTATATCACATGCATGATGCGTTAGAAAGAGTAGCATTCTAATCTGCATTTTTAATACGGATCAAGAAAGATGAATGAACAATATTACAATTGAGAAATGGAGGGCATCATTCCTTAGGAAGAGTGTCAAGGAGAATGAATTAAAACATGGAGGCAAGGAAGAGCATTAGCCTCATCTATACAAGAAAGCCTACTCAATGTTGTTCCATATGGAACATTACAGCTAAAATGATGCACTGCCAAAATGACAGTAGAAGATGAATAAGAAACATCCAGAAGATCAGCAAATGACTGGAATGATGCACAGCTAGATTACTGGATTGAGCAAAACTTAATACGGCTTGCGCTAGCTTGATCTACACTCTACAGCTTGAGCATAGAACAGAATGTAGCAAATAACAATGCAAAAACAGAGCCAAACGACAATCACAAGTTCACAACCAAGAGCATCAATCCACACAAGGACAAAGCAAGACAGAATCAATTGAATCCAAATAGTACCAAACATAGGGTAGATGGTAGCAGGCTTAAAATAATGCTTTCACATCATGTTGAAATTATTGGTAAAAAGAAGAAAGAGAGGAAAGAAAAGCAACATTTCATCGAAAAAATGGATAAATAATACAAAACATTAATACCTCTTTATGTTAACAATCTTGGTCGAGTGCTACCGCAGAGCACAACTAAGACTAGGTTAATATAAAAGACAACTAAAGTCGCAAGATTCGGTTCCTTGAGTTTGATAAGCAATATGCTGCGACTTTTCAATCCCAGTTATTAGACAATGCAGTGAATTTTTCTGGCTCCCTTCTAGTCTGTCTCTGATAATAGCTTTGTAACTAACTAGCAGCAAACTATAAATAGGACGGAAGCATGTAAGAGGATATCTCTTTTGTAGAATTGAGTGGTGGGAGAGATCATGGAGCTCTTAAATCTTCCAAAGACAGTTATTGTACATTCATTCTTTATAATGAATTCAGTTCAGTTATGGAACTACCTCATTAGCTGGATAGTTTATACATTCTTGAATAAGATTCTTCTCGATTCTTGCTAATTTCTGGGTCCAGTGTGTATCAGACTGCATGTTAATATATATATAAGCTGTTGTTAACATTTTAGTTTGCTAACAAAGATATCTCCAAAATTAAAATAGATTCCAATGAGTAATTAATTAGTTCCCCATTTCCCACAACTGATTTTCTTATTTTTATTTTTATTTTTGTAGTTGAAATGACCAAAAAGTACATACATGTGCACAAATAATTCATGTATCCCACACCATATAAAAATCTCCACATCAACAAACTTCTATATTTACGGTACCTGTACCCTGAATCAATATCTTCACTGTCAAATCTCAATAATGTAGCAGCATCCCAAAAACTAGCCGAAAATCAATCTACAAATTAGGAATAGAATTTAAAGACATCCCCTTCTGTCTGCATTTATCTATGATGTTTCGGGCCTCTTCTACAAAGTCTTGCTGAACCAATATTTTAATAATTAAGTTACATATATATGAATCAGGAGAGCAACCATTTGCCTCCATTGAGTAAAACATCTTCTTGGCTTCCTCTAATCTTCCAGATCTAGACAGTGCCTCTATAAAAGCATTGTAAGTGTAATTGTCGGGATTCAAGCCAGATGTTGACATTGAATCAAAAAGCTTTTTAGCTTTCTCAACTTTATTCATCCTACAGAAGATTTGAATCAAAGGATTGTAGGAGTATGTGTCAGGGCTTATTCCTTCCTTTTGCATTCTTCTTAAAAGTTTCACTGACCTTGCAACATCCCCAACAGCACATAAAGATCGAATCAAGATATTGTAAATGACAGCATTTGGACAGATGCCCCACTCAATCATCTCCGTAAAGCATTCAAAAGCCTGCTCAATCCTCTTTATTAGACAGAGTCCATCAATTATAGAGCTAAAAGTGAAGATATCAGGTTTAAGTCCATTTTCTAAAAGCAGCTCCAGCAGCTCCCGTGCCTTATCTATTGCTCCATCCTTGCAATGGCCATTAATAAGGGTATTGAAAGTAACAAGGTTGGGTTTAAAGCCTCTAAGCTGCATGTCTCTGAAAGCCTCAGATGCATTATCCATCAATTTGGCTCTGCAGAAGCAATTAATTATCATGTTATATGAGAAGACACTTGAAATTATCCCATCGCTAATCATTTGACAAGAAACTTGATCCCCTTCATCTCTCCATCCATTCTTGTATAAAGCTTCAATAAGTGCAAGGTAAGTATCAATGCCTGCCTTCACCCCTTGCTTTCTAAAAATTTCAAATATGTCACATACCTCTCTCAGTTCTGCTCCCTTAACCAAACAAGCCATTATGACACTAAAAAAGGAATTATCAGGGACATAACCTCTTCCCAGGACCTTTCTGAGAAACACAACTATCTCTTTTGACATAGAATTATTTGCAAGGCAATACAGTATTGTATCACAAGCTAACTTAAAATGGATGTGCTCCCTATCTAAAAATTTAGATACTAATAAGTCAAGCGCCTTACTTGGATCCACACAATGAAAAATACCATGAACTAGCGTTCTTACAGTGGCTTCATTTGGATAAACTTTACTCTCCTTCATTTTCTCAAAAACTCCGAAGGCTTCATCAACCCGGGCTGCATTACAAAACCCATCAATCAGAATTGTATAAGTGAAAACATTAGGAAAATGTCCCCTATCCCTCATTTGACCAATTAACCGTAGTGCCTCGTCTACCACCCCAATCTTGCAAACCCCATGAATGAGGGAATTGTACGTAATTATATCTGGACGACAATTATCCGCAGTCATCTGTTCGAATTTCAGATATGCAAGGTCAATTGAATTCGATTTCACCAAGGCATCAACGAGAGAATTATACAACCTAGTGCTAGGACTGAGACTCAAGAATGATATTTGGCCAAAAACATGTGCACAATAATTTGCCAAACCGAGTTTTCCCCAACTTGCCATCAATACACAAAGCAGGTCCTCGGTCACCCAAAAACCTGAATTCTGAACATCCTGAAGCAACTCAACACTCAATATGACAGGGCCTTTTCGGCATAAAGTGTTCCCCAAAACACCTTGAACTGAATGAGATTTTGCCAGTGCAGGGTTGACACTCGAAAGCCACGTGTAAAACTTTATGGCATGTAAAGGGTCTTCTTGGTTCTGAAAGATGCTTACAGCAGAAGCAGGGTTAAGCAGCAGCCTCTTTGAGAACAGTTCGTGTTTTAGCAACAAGGCCCAATCAGGTCTCGAGAGTAGTTGCGAAATGTATAGATGATCAATGCTCGTCCTTGATGGTGTTGTTTTTGTGGGAATAAGGTTGGACTTGGAGGGTCTTTGAGGCTTGATGCGCCTCAAAGGTTGAAGTTGAAGAGGCATATTGGTTTCCAACAGGGTAAGACTCTGAGCAGGGAAGTTGATGCAGCCACAGCCCAACAGCTACTTCTCTCACTTCGTGCCGCCTTACACCTACAATTATACTTTTCTATTTTAAGTAAGATCTTATTATTTACTTGAATATTTAAATAATGAGTCAAATGAAATAAATCAGAGAGTGCAAAATGCAACAAGGCAACTTGCAGCAAAGCCATTGTCAATCAAGCCCGTCAAGATCATTTGAGCCTGGATTTGCTTTCACTGGACCAAGGATTGGCAAATTTTCAATAGAGAAAGGAGGGTGTTGTTTCAAACAAAGCCTTGGGACGTTTTTCAATTGATGGGTTTGGCACAAGGAAACAAGCAACAACTATGTAAACAACAAAGAAAGCCTACAAATGGGATTGTTGGGATGAAATAGGGGTATTTGTATCTGAATTTGCTGACAAACAGAATAAGCATGGCTTGACATTGATCTCTGAATGTTCCACTGCTTATTCAGAAAGAAACCGATTCACTTACATGAACATGATCATGGTACATCACCAAACAACACCACTACACTTATTGCAATAACCATAGAAAGAATCAATGATTGAAGGTTTTATTTTTCTTTTATTTTCATCTGATGCAGTTATTGTAAGACAACAAATATATTAATAAAACCCATAGTGAATTTTTACCAAGTCCTATACCAAAAATTAAAAGCAACAGAATAGAATTATGAATGGATTGAAGAAAGATAGAAGTAAAGGTGTTACCGTCGGTGAAGAGAGTGAAGGGTTTAGGTCTCACAAAACCAAGGTTTTGTAGGTTTCGATTGTGTGAGGGCAGCATCAGATACCATTACCCCAATCGTGCAGGCTTTCATTATTAACGTACCAATCTACAATTACATTTTTCTATTTTGAGTGGAATCTTTTTATTTATTTCAATATTTAAATGAACAGTGAAAATAAATAAATCAGACTATGTATTGAGAATTTAAAACGAGAAATTCTAGAAAAATATTTTCAAATACATTTTTAATTATTAATTATAATTTATAAAAATTTACGTGTGTTTCAATTTCAATTTAACAAACTTTGTTTAAAGTTTGATAAAAAAAATTCGTTTTTATTATAATTTTTTATCATTAATTAAAAAAGTATTAATGCTTTTTTAGTGATTTTCTTTATTTTAATTTACAAAAAAAAATTAAAAATTAAGAAGAAAAAATTTAATGAAAAAAGCTTATTTATAATAAAATCCTTTTTGAATTTTGAGGTCTTAAAATTGGCGGTGTGAATATTTGTTTTTGGTTTTTGTGAAGAAGAAATGAAAAAGTGAGAATTTGAGGGAAAGAAGGAAGCATGGAGGTGGGTATGCTTCCAATCTCAGCTTCAAAGAGAGGAAAACTCTTAGCTGCTGGTTATACCACACTCGATTCCATTGCTCGTTCCTCACCCACCCACCTTGCTCAAGGTCATGCATTTTCTTATTGGGCATCGTCTTATCTTGAAAATTTCCTCTTTTTTCACTAAACCGTTATTTCATTTTAACAGATATTCAAGTTTCTGAGAGTGAAGCCTCAGAAATTTTGAATTTTGCAACCAAGACTATAGCTTTGGACAGATCAAATGGGACTCACACTGCCGGGGTTGATGGTATGCTTTGAAATTCCAATTTGTTTTAGTTTTTCTTTTGGGCGTTGACAGAACTTTTTGCTTTTCTGTCATGTGTAAATGTTGCATGTTCATTCACACCTCTTCAGTTTCCATAACTTAATTGGATGTGAACTGGTGATGTCATAAGGTTTACAGTTGATTTGGTTAGCATTTGCTCAATAATTTGTGTTAAAAAAGTAATATTTCAAAGAGATTGAGGATAGGAAAAGATCCCAAATCAATTGTATGTGTTCCTGGTTTGTGCAATTGAAAATTAAAGCTATTGTACCAAAATAAGTTTCAATTTTTTATGTTGAATTTTAAGAAGTGGGGTTGTGTTGTATCTTAGGAACCAAGTTAATAGAAATTTTGGCAAAACTGAGAAGTCTAAAGCAATAGCTTTTATCAATTCAAATTTGAAGCTTCCTTCCGTGTGAATAGTGCTGATGGGTGAGATCTATAAACAAATGTCTGTGGACATCATTAATGAATTGAATCCACAAACCATCATGAGAAGGTAGTTGATTCTCTTACACAAAAGTTAGATAGCATCTCATTCTATTTATTTGGCAGTAAGTGTTTTGGTTATTGGATAACCTTTTCGTACCATTAGAATACATTTGGATTGCATTCTTTTTGTATTTTATGAATTGAATTCACTTCAGTATGTGCTACAGACACAGAGCATGATTCCCTCAGATAATGATTTTTTTTTTTTATTTTTTTGCCTTTTCTCTATTCTGTGCTTTTCTGTCATGCAGGTGGTCAGACTGCTTGGGATATGCTCAATGACGAAAAGTTCTCTTCTCATATTACCACATCTTGTGCAGATCTGGATAACATCCTCAGTGGAGGGATTAAGTGTAAAGAAGTCACTGAAATAGGTTAGTAACTGTTTGGCTTCTCTCAAGAGTGTGAAATCCATAATCATGACTTCCAATGAAATTTACATTACTTAACTTGTTTTTGAGCACAAATATTTTGCAGTTTTAATTCTTTTTCCCTTTTATGGGTTGCAATATGATTCTTTATTTATTTATTTATTTAGGTGGAGTTCCAGGCATTGGTAAAACGCAAATTGGGTATTCTTTGTCAGCTCAATTTTCTGCATCATGTTGTTCTTGTATTTTTCTGTCCTAAGTTGTGAAAAATTTTGGTTTTTGTAATAGTGAGTGGTATTTGCTTGTGCAGGATTCAACTTGCAGTAAATGTTCAGATTCCACCGGAATATGGTGGCCTAGGTGGGAAGGCAATATACATTGGTAAGGGCCTTAATTAGATTCTAATACTCATTCGTTATTTGATGCAGATTACTGATTGCACTTCTTGTGCCCATGTAATACTCAGACACGGAAGGAAGCTTTATGGTTGAACGTGTTCTGCAAATTGCTGAAGCATGCATAGAAGACATGTCGGAATATAGCCACCACTTTCACAAGGATTTTCAAGATCGGGAAGTTAAAATGCACCCTAATAGTATCTTGGAAAATATATTCTATTTTCGTGTTTGCAGCTATACTGAGCAAATTGCTTTGGTAAATTACTTGGACAAATTCATCGCAGAGCATAAAGATGTAAGAATAGTATTTCATATATTGAATTGATATTATTTTAGCAAACATATTGAAGATGATACTAGATTTTTATTTTCCTTATTCCTACACATCATACTTTGCCTAGCAATGGAAGTTGTCTTGCTTTGGTTTTCTTTTCCTTTGCTTTTAATCAACTGTTCTAGTACATCTTAATAGTCCATTGTGATCTGTTTTTTAATACATAATTGCAGGTAAAGATCATCATTGTTGACAGTGTTACTTTCCACTTCCGCCAAGACTTTGATGATATGGCTCTGAGGACTCGATTACTCAGTGAAATGGCTTTGAAGTTGATGAAGCTTGCAAAGAAATTCTGTTTGGCTGTAAGAATCAATTTATTCTGCTTGCCACAGATGTTTTGTACAGAACATGATAAGAACTTTTTTTATAATTCTGCAAAATTTTAGCTAGATAGTTTTTATGTCAAGTAGAAGGAATTTTAAATGGCATGTCTCTAGAGAAAATTTAAAAACTCCTCTACTATGCTTTCATATTCTTCAGAATTCTAAAATTCTCCATCCAAACACATTTTTAATTTTCAATTATAAATGTGATTTTCTGGCAGGTTGTTATGTTGAATCAAGTAACTACCAAGCATATTGAAGGTTCATTTCAATTGACCCTTGCACTGGGTAAGTGTTATTTCATCTTGCACATCTCACTTGGACTTTTAGCTTGTATATCTTTTTATCCTTGATTAATAAAATTTGTTGTTTACACTTTATAATGCTGAACAGGTGATAGCTGGTCACATTCATGCACAAACAGGATCATCTTATTTTGGAATGGCAATGAAAGACATGCATATATTGACAAGTCCCCTTCTCTTAAATCAGCATCAGCTCCATATTCTGTGACCACTAGAGGGATCCGTAATTCTACTTCTGGCTGTAAACGAATCAAGATGATGTGAGATTTTGGGTAGGAAGATGGTCTATAACTCAACCTTCCCTCACACTTTTTGCTTATTCTTTTTTCGAGTTTAGGACATGACAAGATTATACAACATGTTTCTTTTTTAGGCTTTCCTACAATGCCAGCTTTTTCTGTAGGCTTGAAGTACAGTGAGTTTTGGTTTTAATTTTATAAATTAGGCTCGTCTAAATTGAGTGTCTCTGAAGTGAACAAACAAAGGGGTTTCCACCCTTGATTTAATTTAAAGGGCATAATGATCCTAGTTTACTAACATTTTATGGTAGACACATAGTTACTTGCTGGCATTAGAGATGTACTCAGTTTAAATTTTTTTTTTTCTTGGATTTATGTTCAATACGGATAAGCTATGCAGATTACAGACTAATTAATCACACTGAATTTGCATGCTGGTTTTATTTTAATAAAGATTTAAATGTATTTTTGGTCCTTCAAAATATATTATATTTTAATTTTGGTTCTTATAAAGTTATTTTTTAATTTATTTTAGTCTCTATATATTTTTAAAAATATTTGTTTTGGTTCTTAATTATTGTTAAGCGATAATGTGATTAACTCAAATGTTGTTAAGTGTGAACTTTTTATTAAATATTTTTGTGTTACATGTTGCTTTTTTTTTTTCTCCGCATTTGTTAGAGAGAATAGAATCAATAATATTTTAACATGTGAAAAGTAAAATAATTTTTTTTATAGTGATTAAAATTAAGAGTTAAGATTTGTTGATAATAGATATTAAATTTAAACACTAATACTGTTTAATAGCTTTTTATCGGTAATGAGATTAATTAATTTAACTGTTTATTTAAAAGTTTCTTTAAATAGATTCATTTTATAAAATTTCATATAAAAAATAATAATAATTATTTTGTGTTATTTATTCGAATAAACGAATCTAACTCTGATTAAAACGTAGAAGTGAAATGAAAATGAATGATGGAGCAAGATATTATCATAAATTACTCATTTTCCCTATGAATGGAATGAAAGTGATTCAGATACTACACACCAATTTTATTTATGATGTTAAACATTTCAACCTTTTGGTCTACACCACAAAATGATATAATTGTTGATGTCAACGTGACGCATATCAAATATCAACTTCTGAGTAGACAGTAGTCAAGAATTATGGATTGGATGATACTCTATGATTATGCATCGTGGTGTATATTTTTTATTCAATTCAAATATATCAAGCGTAATATATATTTTAAAATATAAATTTTATAATCAAATCAGTTTGAATTCAATAATTGTGTGAAATAATTATATTATTTATATTGTAGTTTGACTATTATTTATTTTTAACAATTGTCATAGATAGACTAACTAATTATTTAGTAATATCAAATTATATGATTAATATAAATTCATAATTTTAATCTAAATGTTTCAAAACTAACTCATATTAAAATAAAAATAAAAATTCAAATCATGTCATACTTTGGAAACATTTGTAAGAGTTGAAAGAACAAAAGTTAGGTAGAATTGTTTAGGAACTTTTAATATCATTTTTAGTTAAAAACAACTTTTTCTCTAATAGTCTGTGATATCATTGAATGTTTATCTTTTATTAAAGTGAACCTTTAAAATTAATTTAAAAATATTGGCAAAATTATTTAAAAAACTGCAGTTAAAATTTATTTTTATAAAAATAGCTTAAGATTGTTGTCAGTTTTCTTTTATTTTACTAAATTTTTTAATATAATTAGTCAAAATTTGTAATTATTGTAATATTTTATAATCAAAATCATGTTATAAGCTATTATGTAATAAAAATTTGTTAAATAAATGTTTTATTTATTTAATGAAAAGGACGAGACAAAATCTCAAAACAAAATTAACAATTTACAAGCCCAAAAAATATTGAAAAATACCAACTCTTAAATATTGAGTATAACCCATTAATAATAATTTTTTTATTACAATATTTATTATACTTTATATATTTAATATAATAAATATATTCTCTTTTAATAAATTTATAATAAAAAATATTTTGAAAGCATTTCTTTTTTATTATTTTGCTTCCACCATCTATGAAAAGCGCATAAAGTGCATGCCATGACAAAAAGGGGGCATTAAATGATAAGCTGAAGGTTTGTTGTACTGACCTTTGTGGTTTCCATCGGCCGTGTACCCACCAAAGGGCAAAGGCTGCTAGTTTAAGGCTCCTTGGAAGGCAAGATATAATTTTTAATCTTCAATTAAAATAATTATATATTATTTATGATAATAAATATATAATTATTATAATAAATTTTTAAGTTAATATATCATTTTATAAATTTTATTTTAAATAAATTTTAATTTTAAATATATTTATTTAAAATATAGATTTTATCTTTTTCTTCTAAAAATTTCTTCCTAAATAATTCCCGAGTATTTTGTAGATAAAAAGCATTTTATGATATGAGTTCATTTAAAATAACTGATTATTAATTTTATATTACATTTAAACGTTATTCATCTATTTGATATAAATATATTTTAATTTTTAAAATATTAAAAAATTACAATTATTAAATTAAATATTTTTTAATTATAAAAAATAATCAATTTTAAAATTTAGAATAAATTTTTTAAATATTTTTTTTTTGTTAAGCAATCATTTTACAACTTTGCAATAATAGATTGTTTGTTGTAGCGTTAAAAAAAAGATATCTATTTTTTCTAAAACAAATGTACAAAGTAAAAATAATATATGTTTAATATAAAAAAAAATTAATAATATATGTTTATCACAGTTAAATGTGTGTCTTTAAGTGTGACTTAACCGGGGAAGATACATTTTTAATCCAACTATTTAAATATATTATTTAATAAAATTTAATATTATATTAATACAATTTTAATTGATAATATGCTCTACACTAAGAATGTCACTGCAAAAGATTTGTATTAGGTTGTAGTTACAGTGACATATTTTCTCTTAAAATTGGTTTAAGAGATGAAAATGGTCCAAATTGTAATAGCATTTTTTTTATGCCAGATAAATCTTTAGTTTACAGAAAATTATAATTATATATTTTATGATTGAATAAAATTCATATAAATTTCTCTTTTGAAATTTGTTTCACTTTTTTCTTAAACTTTCCATTGCTGAGTTGTATAAAGGGTACTTTAGTGGATAAGTTATAATAATAAATATCAATTAAAATTAATATTTAAGATTATAATAAAATACATACACATATAAAGTAAATTGTAAAATTATTTTATCAACAATTATTAATCCATATTTTAGCTTGTAATATCTCAGAGTTTAAGATTCATTCGTCTAATCTTTTAAACAATTAATTTTAAGATTTTCTACAAATAATTTATTCATTATAATTTTTATATTAAATATTTTTTTTATTGAATTATAATTATAAAAATAATTTTTATTTAAAAGATAATAATAATTTTAAATATCTAATAAATACTTAAAACAACATCTTAAAATAATTTTAAAAAATTAAGAAAAATTAAACATATAACATAAATATTTTTATTAAAAAAATGAAAGGACTCAAACACAGACATATCATTTCTCATACTGGCAATCTTCATCTACTCAGTCCTTATTAACACTCCATTAATAAACAACTTTTTTTTAATGTACATATAAGAATACATAACAATAACTTATATATAATAATTTTTTTAAAAATTATATAATATTATGAAATATAATACACTAATAATATTTAATATTATAATGCCATTTTTATGCTCTGTTGATTTTTGAATTTTTAAACTATGGATGCATAATAATAAATCAATAAACAATAAATTTTTACATAATAATAAATCAATAAACAATAAATAAAAATTTATTGTTTATTGATTTATTATTATGCATCCATAGTTTAAAAATTCAAAAATCAACAGAGCATAAAAATGGCATGCCATGCTACCAACCCCAAGTATGCTTTAATGATATTTCCAACAACACCACCAACGACGACGAAATAAATAAAAAAATATAATAATAATTATGCTTTCTCTCTCTAATGTCACACTGTACCAGTCCTCTATGGGCGACAACCTCAACACTCCTCTCTCTCTCTCTACAAAACCAAACACTCTCAACAACTCCAAAATGCACCCGTCACCACCTTCTCTTCCTCCCTCTCTGCCTCGTTCTTCTTCGCACTCTCTCTCTCTTTCTCTTTCTCTCTCCCCACACAGCACACACCAACCATGGCTTCCACTCCCTCCCTCTCTCTCTCCCAAGCCCTTCTCACACGCCCTACCTCCCTCCCTGCCTCCACGCGCCCCTCCCTCCCCGCTTTCTCCGGCCTCCGCCCAACCTCCTCCACGCGCCTCTCCTTCTCCCTCCCCTCCGCCCATCGCCGCCGTGCCAACGCCGTCAGAGCCTCCGCACCCGTCGAAACCGTCGAGAAGGCTCCGGCAGACGCCGCCCTGGTCGAAAAATCAGTTAACACGATCCGTTTTCTCGCCGTTGACTCCGTCGAAAAGGCGAATTCGGGTCACCCGGGTCTACCCATGGGTTGTGCTCCGATGGGTCACGTGCTCTACGACGAGGTGATGAGGTATAACCCGAAAAACCCTAAATGGTTCAACCGTGATCGCTTTGTTTTGTCGGCGGGTCATGGTTGCATGCTCCAGTACGCGCTGCTTCACCTTGCTGGCTTCGATAGTGTCAAGGTTAGAACAAGGAAAACTTTGAAAATCTATCTGGGGTGCCTTGGATCTGTTTAAAGTTTGTTACTTTGGGGGTTTTAGATAGGAATTTTATCTGGGTTTTGGGAAATTTGATTTTAGGGTTAAATGGTTATGTGTGTGGTGGTGTTTTTGTGTTAGAGAATAAAGATTTGGTGTTGGTTACAAGTTTTTGTTAGTTACAAATAGATCTAAGTATGTTAATCTATGAAAAAAAGATTTTTTTTAATGGGGCTTTTTTTTTTAATATTATTCTGCATGTTGTTTTTCATCTGTTTATTAATGGAAGTATGAGTGTTGAACATATTGATCGAAGACTGAAGTGAAGTTGTTGTGTGGGGATGAATGTTTAGGAAGAGGATTTGAAGGAATTTCGTCAATGGGGGAGCAGAACCCCGGGACACCCTGAGAATTTTGAGACTCCTGGAATTGAAGTCACAACAGGTTTGATATGAATTATAATTTAGAGTTCATATACAAGCACATCTAATTGCTTTTTTTTTTTTATAGGATTTAATTTAAATATACTGACAGAATAAATATTTTTTACACTATGGTCCAATCATGACAATAAGAAAGAAGCATTGATTTTTGTATTAATTAATATATAAATCGTAAGGTGTATTCTAATTGTTTGACAATATAAAAATCTTTACACTAACAGTGTACCATAATTAAACTCTTTTATATATTTTTAATGTTTATTTATCCTTCTGGTTAATGCAATATTTTTCAGGTCCTCTTGGTCAGGGCATTGCTAATGCTGTTGGTTTGGCCCTTGCGGAGAAGCACTTGGCTGCAAGATTTAACAAGCCTGACAATGAGATTGTTGATCATTACACGTAAAATGACTTAATCTTGTGCCTTCTCCTGTACTTCTTATCTAAATTATGATCATATAATTATGAGACATTAGTTGTGTGATGTTTTGGAAATGGTATTTGTTTTCTATAGGTATGCTATATTGGGTGATGGTTGTCAAATGGAGGGAATTGCAAATGAAGCATGCTCGCTTGCTGGCCACTGGGGACTGGGGAAGCTAATAGCATTTTACGATGACAATCACATTTCTATTGATGGTGACACGGAGATTGCATTCACTGAAAATGTTGATAGTCGTTTTGAGGGACTTGGGTGGCATGTTATTTGGGTAAAGAATGGGAACACTGGCTATGATGATATTCGAGCTGCCATTAAGGAAGCCAAAGCTGTCAAAGACAGGCCCACATTGATCAAGGTTAGTTTAATTATAATTAAAAGGTTAACATGTAATTATAATTAGCAGAATTTGTCATGCATTGATGGGATTCTTTTGAATTTATGTTATAACTTGATTTCTTTGACCCAAAACTGCATTGTACTGCTTTGAGAAGTGGAAAGTTATAGATGTGAAATTAAAAGTAGTGAATCATGTGGCTATCAGTTTAATCAATTGCTGATTGCTGTTGGTTTTAGGCTTTTGCTGATTTTATCTGTTTCACAGGTCACAACAACCATCGGTTTTGGTTCTCCTAACAAGGCTAACTCCTACAGTGTGCATGGAAGTGCACTGGGTGCCAAAGAAGTTGATGCCACAAGGAAGAACCTTGGATGGCCATATGAGCCTTTCCATGTGCCTGAGGATGTCAAAAAGTATGGATGATGGGATTAGAGATTTCTTTGTTTCCTATTGCAATGTTGAAATTTTAATGATACTGAATATGTATTACTTGTCTGTCCCCAGGCATTGGAGTCGCCATATCCCTGAGGGTGCTGCACTTGAAGCTGAGTGGAATGCCAAATTTGCTGAATATGAGAAGAAATACAAGGAGGAAGCTGCAGAATTGAAGTCTATTATTAATGGTCAATTGCCTGCTGGCTGGGAGAAAGCACTTCCTGTGAGTAAATTCCATTTTTATAGGTTGTTAATGATTTTTATGTGGAACTAACTTGTTAAGGTTTTGATTATGTACTATCCAAAATTGATTATAAATCTGATGTTAATGAGGGCCATTGTTTGATATCCTGTTATCTTAATTTCATCACATACTTCCATTTGCTGTCTGTGTGGGTTTCATCGAAATAAGAAAAACCTGACTTTCAAGTAGATATGTCTGGAATATCAATAGCAATCACTTCCATTTTGATTTCAGGCATACACTCCAGAGAGCCCAGCCGATGCCACCAGAAATCTGTCTCAGCAAAACCTTAATGCCCTTGTAAAGGTTCTTCCTGGTCTTCTTGGTGGCAGTGCAGATCTTGCTTCTTCCAACATGACCTTGCTAAAATCATTTGGGGACTTCCAAAAGGATACTCCAGCAGAGCGCAATGTTAGATTTGGGGTTAGAGAACATGGAATGGGAGCAATCTGCAATGGCATTGCTCTTCACAGCCCTGGACTGATTCCCTACTGTGCAACCTTCTTTGTCTTCACTGACTACATGAGAGCTGCCATAAGGCTTTCTGCGCTGTCTCAGGCTGGGGTTATTTATGTGATGACCCATGATTCTATAGGACTTGGAGAGGATGGACCAACCCACCAACCTATAGAACACCTGGCAAGCTTTCGGGCAATGCCAAATATTTTGATGCTTCGTCCTGCTGATGGTAATGAAACGGCAGGAGCATACAAAGTTGCCGTGGTTAACAGGAAGAGACCCTCTATCCTTGCCCTTTCCAGGCAAAAACTGCCCCAGCTTCCTGGAACTTCTATTGAAGGAGTTGAAAAAGGTGGTTACATCGTTTCAGACAACTCAACTGGCAACAAACCTGATGTCATTTTGATTGGAACCGGTTCTGAACTGGAAATTGCTGCCAAAGCTGCTGAGGATCTAAGAAAGGAAGGGAAGGGTGTTAGAGTTGTTTCCTTTGTGTCTTGGGAACTTTTTGATGAGCAATCAGCAGCCTACAAGGAAAGTGTTCTGCCTTCAGGTGTTTCAGCCAGAGTTAGCATTGAGGCAGGATCAACATTTGGGTGGGAGAAAATTGTTGGACCAAAGGGAAAAGCAATAGGTATTGATCGTTTTGGAGCTAGTGCTCCAGCTGGAAGAATATACAAAGAGTTTGGTATCACTAAGGAAGCTGTTGTTGCTGCAGCCAAAGAGCTTATCTAGATGTTTTAGTTTATGCTCATGTAGAACTACTGATTTTTTCTTCTGGTTTTGGTTGATGTTTACAGAGAGGGGGGCGGGGGGCGTTTCAAGAGTGTAGCCCATGGCTTGAATAAGAAAAAGGTTAAATATCCTTTGCTTGGCGTTCTAGGTGAAGCAACATAGATCAAAGAATTTTTGGCAACTTGTAATAACTGTTTGACAATTGAGTTCTACATTGCCACGATTTAATTCAATGTTGATCATGGTCTTACATTGTCCTTAAAGTATGCTAGTGTGTTTTATTTTCTTATTGATTGACTGTATGGAATTACAATACAAAAGCATTTGGGAGTGTTTGGATGGCCTTGTTTTGTTCATTATGCAGCTCAGTTGAGAAGAGTTGTCTAAGAGGCAGTGGAGAAGTTGTCTAGGAGGTAATGTGGCGTGGTGATTATTATTTTAAAGGTTTTCAAAGTTTTTAAAAAGTTTAGTTTTTTAATCCAATAGTTAATCTAAACATGACTGATAAAGATGTTATATTTTGACTCTTGGCGCATTTTTCTACTTTTAAATTCGTTATGGGAAGGTTGATTTATCTTTTGAGAAATAAGATAACAATTTTGAAAGGTGCATTTGGTAGAAAAAAGTTATCAGTTTAAGAAATTAAATTATATAAGGTAACTTTTGTAACATTAAATCTTTTGAAGGGTGTCTTTGAAATTACATCCAAAAGGCAAGCATTCGAGTTCATTCTGTGCTACAAACAGATGCTAAGTTTCATATCTCCCCTTTTTGGTTTTGTCTGCAGAATTCTTGTGCATGTTTAGGACACCAGGAAGGTAGCAAAACAGGCTTAAGGCCCATTTCTTTATAATCAAGATAAAAAAAACATCGTCGTAAAACTGTTTCTTTACACGAAAGTTACATGTTTGTTCAGATAAAAATATCACGTTGCAACAAAAGTATTTTAGGTTTTTTTTTTATGACTCAGTTATAGAAAATACACAAACAGGAACCTAGTTTATAAGCTTGTTAATCAAACCTACGGCTTTTACAGAGAATGGACTTGTCTGAACAATTCCTCTTTGTTAAATCAAGGTGAACTAAAAAAAATCGTAATATAAATGTTGAAATTAAGAAATTAAATACACTGTAATTGTTTGTTTGATGTCCAGATGCTTAACTTTAGCCTATTTATTTAAACGAGTTTTAAAATTTGGGGTTTAACTTATTAGAAAAATATGAAGCTTTAACTTGCCTTATTAAGCTCATTTATGATTTTTTTATCAAATATATTTTTAAAGTATTTTTTATAAGTTTGTTAATTTAATTATTACTGTACATTTTTATGTTAAAAGATATGATGAAATTAAGAAGAGAAAGAATATAAAAAAAATTTGAACATTAAATTATTTATTGTTAAATTTTCAAGATATATGAACTCAATCCCACTAATTTTTAGTTATTGAAGAGTGATTTTGACTTTGAGACTAAAATTAGCTTTCCTAATAATGAAAAATCATAGTTGCCAGTTTGCTTGATAGATGTTATTTTGGTTGCAAGTTTTCTTTGGTTTTAGTTTTGCAATAATTCATAGTTGCTGGTACATATTTGCAATAATTTCAATCAAATTATCCTTAAATATCAAATATATATTTTCGAGTTAATCAATTTATTAATAGAAAAAAATGTCATATTCTACTTTTTTCCGTATATATAAAAAAACTGTTTATATTAATCTTGCGCGATTAAATTATAGATTCATTATAAAAAAACATAATGCACTAATCATAACTTATTCATAAATTTTTAATATAAAATATATAACGCTTGAAGTTATTTACATAATTAAACTAGAAATTAAGATTGAGTTTGTTGGTGTCTTAAAATAAATAAGTTTCATCAAATATTTAAGAACTTCAATTCAAATAATTCATAAACAACTCAATTTATTTATAATTTTTCTTTTAAATAATTTTAAATTTATGATACGTAAATAAGAAAAATAAAATAACGATTATATATGCAAAGTATAATGCAATTAATATTTCCTAAAATATCCTTATAAGGTACACTTAATTCACTAGTGCTTTTAAAATTTGTATGTCATTGTTTCTCTTCATAAAAAGAAATTTCAGAATGAAAGAGATGGGAGTGTTCATAATTGAATTAAGAAACAATATACCATAAGACATATATAATCTTATTATAATTTGAAATTAAATTTTATTGTATTACTCTTTAAGTATAGATATTTTCAGATAATGAAACTTTTACACAATAATTTTTATGAGAAAATTTTAAATTTAAACAATAAATATTTGATAAACTGTGGCCCCCATTGGGTTGGTGAGTGAGAAAAGTGTCTCAATCGCCACTTGTTGCCAAGTTCCATACCAACCCTTTTCATCTTACCAACCCATTAGTCAAAAGTGTTATGTGCATCCCTCTGATACCATTATCGTTACTGATTCTTATATTCTTTTTCTATGAATTTCTATATAGTTCAAAAATATTTAAAGTGATAAATATATACCAAAAAATATAATTAATTTATAATTTGGTTATAAATTTAAAATTCACTGTAAAGTCAAAACTTTTATAAATAATTCCATTTTTGACGTTACTACAGTGTTTATAAATTATTAACTATTTTATTAATGAATTGTATTTGATATATTTTTAAAATTTATTAAAGGGTAATTTTTTTTTATACTAATAAGTTTAAAAATTTTTACACTCAATTTAAATATTTCATTTAACTTATATATAACGACTAATGAATTAATAAATTATAATCCGTTAGATGTAAATTCAATAAAAAGTTTATATTAAGTGTAAGAATTTTATACTTATACTAATATAAGAAGATCTCGTCTCTTTATTAAATATTGCTATATATTTTAATTTTAGTAAATTTATAAAAAGGTATTTCTACCAACAACTTTCATGCAATGAAAGAAAAATAAAAAAATACTATATTTAAAATGATGAAAGTTAATATCTGTATGCTTAAATTGGTAAAAATAATACTAATTTATATTATTTGGATTAATTAATAGAACTAATTATTTATTTCTTAATATTTTATCCTTTCAAATTAATGAAATTAAAAATTTATTTTTATAATGAAAGATTTCTTAATAATAATAATAATAATATAACATTCTACTTTATTCTCCTTTTATGATATGTTCACTGTATTTTTTGTTATTTTTTAAAAATAATTTTCATGATTTTATAAATAAATATTAAATAAAATATACATATATTTATTATTTTAAAAATATGTAAATCACTTAATATTTTTTTATCTAAAAATTAAATTTTTTTACAAGCATGCAAAATAAAAGGATTTAAAATTATCCAGGTTAACATTGCTCCACATATCAAATATGAAATTTTTTATCTCATCTAAAATAAGAATATATGTAGCTAAAAACAAATAAAGATATATCTATTTTTATTTTAAATTAAGAAAATACTAATTAATATTTTAATGATATTAATTAAAAATAAAATGTTGAAAATATTATTTCTATATTTATTGTAATTTTTAACATATTTTTAATATAATTTTAACTTTTTATTCATTAGTCAATGTTTTCTTAAAATTTTAAGATCCTTGAATTAAAGATAAATATTATTATATTAAAAGCACACAATAAAAAAAAAAAATATATATAATAAATTTTATTAAAATTTATAAAATGTCACATGCATTAATAGTTTTAATTTTTAAAAAAATATTATTTATTAATTTTTTGTTTTATATCTTAAAATACACATGAAAAAAATGAGCAAAAAAAAAAACCTCCTACATCTTAAAGCCATTTTTCTTGGTAGGTGAAGTTGACAAACCTACACCAACTTGTTCACTCAATTATACTTTGTTGGCAACTAAAAACCCCTTCACCTCACCCGAGTCAATCCAACAACCTCTCACAGCACCAACCCCCACACCCACTCTCACAAAACCCCTCATTACACATTATCGGAAAAAAAAAAAAAAACTTCATTTGTGTGTGTGAGAGAGAACAAAGATCGAGGAGCAAAGTGCATAGAACAAAGTTTACAACTTTAAGGAAAACTGAAATGGCCCAAGTCACCAGAATCCACAATCTGGTTCAAAGTACTCAAATTTTGCACCATTCTTCAAACACCCACAAACCCAAATCAGCAAACTCGCTTTCATTGAGGTCACGTCCTTGGGGGACCTCAAAAGCTTGGAGTTTGATGCATAAAAATGAAAGCTTTTTGGGAAATTGTAATGTGGGTAAGGGAAAATCGGGTGTGTTGAAGGTTTCTGCATCGGTTGCCGCCGCAGAGAAGCCGTCGATGGCGCCGGAGATCGTGTTGGAACCCATCAGAGATATCTCGGGTACCATTACATTGCCTGGCTCTAAGTCTCTATCCAATCGAATTCTGCTTCTTGCTGCTCTCTCTGAGGTGAACCATATTTATATATTTATTTTCTTACTTATTTTGTTTGTATTTATTTATGCTTTTTTTTGTGGGGTGGGGGGGGGGGGTTGTGATTAGGAGCTGCAGTTTGATGTCTGCTTGCATTTGAACATTCATTTTTTTTCAGTGTTTTTGAGTGAAAATGTACCATCCTACCCCATGAAATAACATAGACATGAAATAGAGTGGCTTATGATCAGAAATTGTGATCTTGTGTTCAAATTTTTAGACAAATGAAACATTTGTCGGTTTGTTATCTTATAGCCAACGTTTACGTGTGTTTTGAAAGGTATAGTATCCGTTAAAATGAGGTTGATTAATGAAGTATTAACTGATTTTTAAATTGTATGAAAATTTATAGACTATCTATTCAACAAGAACTTCCAATTCAACGGTTAGATTCATATAATTCAACAACTATCCCACTATCTATCTATCTATCTATAGCGCTATAATACTCTTTTTAAAAGAAAAGTGGCAATATATGTAGGAAGTGTATTAAGGTGAGAGCATGAGAGGAACATATTTTGAATATTCGATCAAATTGTTTTTGTATGACAAATATTAACTCCACAAAATACCCCCAAAACAGAAATTAGAATGGTGTATCAAGTTCAATGTTATTTTCATTGTATAATTTGTACAACTTTTAATAAGTTAATAGATGTCTTGTCGTGTATAAATTATAAATTATTCTATCGTTTTTATTCAGGGAACAACTGTTGTAGACAACTTGTTGAATAGCGAGGATGTTCATTACATGCTTGGTGCATTAAGGACCTTGGGACTGCGTGTGGAAGACGACAAAACAACCAAAAAAGCAATTGTAGAAGGCTGTGGGGGATTGTTTCCCACTGGTAGAGATTCTAAAGATGAAGTCAATTTATTCCTTGGAAATGCTGGTACTGCAATGCGTCCTTTGACAGCAGCTGTGACTGCTGCTGGCGGAAATGCAAGGTCTGTTTTTCACTTTGTTCTTAAAATGCACTTTTAATTATACATGTAATGTACATTATCCTGTCTTAGTCTAGCATATGTGACACACACATTGATTATATTTGAGGAATGCATGGGAGGATCTTCCTGGTTTTCTGCATTAACCTCACCAAATTCTTCTGTTGGAATTAGATCTTCTACCATGATTACTGGTTTGAGTCTCTAAATAAACCATTTTGGTGTTCAAAATATTTCAGCTACGTACTTGATGGGGTGCCCCGAATGAGAGAGAGGCCTATTGGGGATTTGGTTGCTGGTCTTAAGCAGCTTGGTGCAGATGTTGATTGTTTTCTTGGCACAAACTGTCCACCTGTTCGTGTAAATGGGAAGGGAGGACTTCCTGGGGGAAAGGTAAGGTTTGGATTTCTTTTAGAATAAGGTGGACTTGCCTTCCTTCAACAAAACACTAACTTAATGAGCTTTCCCTTTTCTTCGTCTTTGGAACAAGACACTAATTGAACTGGACTTAGGAAGCGCCATTGATTGGGTGCTTTTCCTTTTTGGAGGTTATCTTTCATCTTTATTATAGTCTTTCTACTCCTCACGAGTTCATTGTGCATTGAGTCATTGGCTTTTCTTTGAAAAGAGTGTTTACTTCTCTTAATTTATTCTCTCCATCCTCGCTCAGTTGCTCTTAAACTTTATATAAATATGATAGATACCAAAAATATAACAGAAGGCAATACTGAATATTCACTGTGTTATGATTGATAGCAGACCTGTACCAAAGTGATATAAGACCTGTGAAAATTAAGGAAAGAAAATATGCGAAAGAACTCTAGGCAATTAGAGAATGCCTATTTTCTCCCAAAAGTCCCAGCCAATCCCAGCCTACTTTCTCATTCTCTCTTCCTAACCTTGTGTGCTCCCCACACTACCATGTCATCGTTCCTCACCTCACCACCTCAGCAGTTAGTTACACTTCTCACTCTCTCTCTCTCATGGCTATTATTCACTGCATCGCCTCTCATTCTCTATCAAGATATCATATTTGTTTTAAAAAACACTAAGCTTCTTTTAGTTATGCCTTCCCCTCCTTATTCTTTCCAAAGGAAATTTTATAGTCAGTGTTATCCATTGTGAAACTTATTATCCTATTTCTTATGCAGGTGAAACTTTCTGGATCAGTTAGCAGCCAATACCTGACTGCTTTGCTTATGGCAGCTCCTTTAGCTCTTGGTGATGTGGAAATTGAGATTGTTGATAAACTTATTTCTGTTCCATATGTTGAAATGACTTTGAAGTTGATGGAGCGCTTTGGAGTTGCTGTTGAACATGATGGTAATTGGGATAGGTTCTTGGTCCATGGAGGTCAAAAGTACAAGTAGGTGTCTATGATTTAGTGTTGCATTGCTTTTTGGCATTTGAAATGCAATTAAAATAAAAACTAATATTTCCAATCAGGTCTCCTGGCAATGCTTTTGTTGAAGGTGATGCTTCAAGTGCCAGTTACTTCCTAGCTGGTGCAGCAGTTACTGGTGGGACTATCACTGTTAAAGGCTGTGGGACAAGCAGCTTGCAGGTATTCATGCTAGACACTATTTACGGTTATCTTTTATTTCATGGTCTATGCTGCATCATTCCTAATTCTTCCCGTTTCTTTTCTCTCCCCCCTTGCTCCCAAAACTCGAAAATGATACTTCTGTGATTTTTTTCTCAAAATTCAATAGCTCTTCAATGTTTTGCTTCATCTCTTGAGCAGATTCTTCTGTGATTATCCTCATTAGTCATTGGTAAACCTTTTCCTTTTCCCTGTTTCTTTGAAGAATCAATATAATCATCATCATCATGTCATGTGAACTTACATCATCTTTGTTCTCCCTCTTTATATGTGCTTCTTTTATCACTCTTTCACAAACATTTCATTATTCTATATTGTTAACAGTAACAAAAATCAATTGTCAAGCGAACAATGTAGCACATGAGATAGTGATACTTTGATACTGAGACTGGGGAAAGCCCACATAATACATTATCTTCAGTACCAATCGGGATGTAGATAGCCATAGCCTTCCATGCAGCTTATTCTGATGCCTAATACTTTTTTTGCCCTAAAACTTGAATTAGAGTCAGGCTGAACTATAATAAGAGCCACAAAACTTTGTTCTTGAAGAATTACAAGAATCAGAAATTTTAATTGGGAATAATGAGGACAATAACAAGTTAAAAGGATTGCGGAATTCATTTTGGCAGTATATTCATAGGGAAATTGCGGACTTCAATATAGACCTTTAGGCTACTGGCCATAAGAGGTTTACCTACTGGATGGTTGATGCTTCTTGCTAAGGTGTTGATAAGCTAAGGGACTATCCTGGGCCAGATGGTGAGAAGCTCACATGTTTGATCAATGTGAGAACAAATCCTAAATATTTGACATGATGCTTGCAGTTATGAACTTGGAATCTTTTCACTTTGTTTTATTTGGAACCTAGTAGGGTTTTAACTTTCCTTTGGTCTTTGTTCATGGATTTTTTTTATAGCTTTTCTATTAAAAGAAATTGGAGGGGGTCATAATCCATAGTTAAATGTATATGTTGTCTTGTTGTCTGTGTTTCTATTTTCTTTCTTTAGGTCTCTTTTCTTCCTTCTTTCCTCATCAATAACTTGTTAATCTCTTAAAATATATTCATTTTTGTAGCTGATAGACCTTCCAAATAAATAGGAGAAAAAGTTTCACATATTCCCCTTAACCGTTTCAGCAAAAAAACGTTGAAGCGTGAATAACATTAGCCGAAACAAAAGAAGTATGTCTGATTGGGGATAGCTTTAATTGTTAACTATCAGTGTCATTTTGCAATACAAAATTTGAAGTAGGTCAATTAGTTTATACAGTTATTTAAAAGGGATGAATGATGTGAATAATTACTGATCATATGTAAAGCCTATGACCAACCACAGTACAGTCATTTTAAATTCCACCATTTTCTAATTTGTGCTTATGTTTAACTTTGTCATTTTAAAGGGAGATGTAAAATTTGCTGAAGTTCTTGAAAAGATGGGAGCTAAAGTTACATGGACAGAGAACAGTGTCACAGTTACTGGCCCACCACGCGATTCTTCTAGCCAAAAAGTCTTGCAAGGCATTGATGTCAATATGAACAAGATGCCAGATGTTGCCATGACACTTGCTGTTGTTGCACTATTTGCCAACGGTCCCACTGCTATAAGAGATGGTATGGTTTAGCCATTTGTTAGTCATCTCAGAGCTTGTTTTTAACAAATTTTTTTTATTGTGATAAGTAAAATTACTATAATTACACTAATATTTGAATTGTATTACCCTCCACGTCCATATAAGTAATTTTTTAGTATTAAAACATCTCTTGTCAATATTTTTTCTTTTATCCTTTATTTTTTTTTTTTGGTGGGTTGGGAAGGGAACGTGTTCCTTTAAACATTGTTTCATAGTGTACAACCTGGACCCACCTGGTCTTTGAGCTGGTCCAGTCCTTATTCATGACAGTTTTTTGCGGCAAACTGGTTAACTTTGGGTGAGCTGTTGACCCACTCTGATCAGGCTGACCACCCCCTTCTTTTTCTTTTTAAATAAAACTCCCAAAGATTATTTATAAAATTTAACTTGGTGTGTAATGAGTAATGACCCTTGCGATGAAGTGGATTATGACATTAGACCTCTTGACTCTATTTTATGTTCTTATTTTTTAAAAATTTATATTGTTATCGAATGATTTGATCTTCAAACATGATTCTCGACAATCATCATAGCTAGTTTGGTTACATCATATAATATTCCTTTTCATGCATTTTTATTCTTCTTTGTCTGGCTTTTCTTGGCCTTTTTTTTAGGTCTGGGTTATATGACAATGCTTTGCTTGACTTCTGAAAGCATTACTAGTAGTTTTCTTAATCATGGAAGCACTAGAGTGCAATCCTGCACATTATTCTTTTATGGCAGCTTGAATATGTAAAAACTTGGAAATATGGTTTTTTGGGATAGTTAATTCATGACATAACATCAGACTATCTGTGATCAAGCGTCTAGAACTCAATCCTTGCAGCTCTCATTCTTCTAATAAAAAGTTGAATTCAAGTAAAAGATAGTGGGGTTGTGTATTATTCTTGCTTCAAGCCCAAAGTGTAAGGAGGCATGTTTAAAACATAATACAGAATCATTGACGAAAAACAAAATAAAAATAAAAATGAAGGAATCATTCATGTGTCTTCACCTAATAACGACAAATGTTTTTGGATAGTTGTCTCGTTAGAGTTTAAACTGGATGTGATCCTTCCGTGGAGGGAAATTTAACGTAAGGAACTTGGAAGCTTTTGTTCTGAACTTTTCTTTTAATCTTTTTAATAATTGGAAGCGTCTAGTTGTATCTGTAAGCATGCATTATGCATTTTGTCATTCCCTATTTTATACATGTGAACTATCTACTATATCATTCAGCAAACATTTTGCTGCTCGGTCACCTATTTATTATGTCTCCTCCATTTTTCAGTGGCAAGTTGGAGAGTTAAAGAGACAGAGAGAATGATAGCAATCTGCACAGAACTCAGAAAGGTGAGTGTCTTGCTGCTTCCATAATGGTTTCTTTGTTACTGGACTTTTTACATCTCAGTATCTCACCGACATACTCTTGGTATTTCAGCTAGGAGCAAAAGTTGAAGAAGGTCCTGATTACTGTGTGATTACTCCACCTGAGAAATTGAATGTCACAGCTATAGACACATATGATGACCATAGAATGGCCATGGCATTTTCTCTTGCTGCTTGTGGAGATGTTCCAGTCACCATCAAGGATCCTGGTTGCACCAGGAAAACATTCCCTGATTACTTTGAAGTCCTTGAGAAATTTACCAAGCATTAAAAGCATTCTTGTACATGTAGGGAAGAGAGGGAGAGATAAAATACTCACAAAGCAGTGAGTTTATGGCTTTCTATATATTCCCTTGTAAACGACCAGAGATAATTTGTATTGTTGAAATGAGCTTTTGCTTCTGTTGTATCAATGTAATTTAGAAGGCGTTTGGAAGAATTTAGAGTCCATGAAAATAGCTTTATGACTTTTATAAATATTTTTTGGCTTATTTCAATAAGTTTCATTGTCAAATTTACGTGGTAAGCCTTCTTGTGGTGTACATTGATATGCAATGATATCCAAACACACGCCTAATTTTCAATACCCATTTAGCCTTATTCCCCTACAAGATTGGACTTTACCTTTTTGTTTATTATTTAAGTCAAACACAGACCAAGAAATGAGTCCAGCTATAATGGGCCTAGTAATTGCACGCTTAAGTTCAGGACTTCTTTTTAATGATTGACACGAATGTGACAATCTTGAGTGGCCTGCAACAAATAGCAATGCAAGCATGACTATGGCCTTGGGGACCAAATGGTCATTTACCAGTCTCACTTACTTTAGAGCCCTGGTCCTGTACAATGCTCTAGTGTTTCTTCAATTTTTTCTGACAACGAAAAAGTTCATATTCTTTCCGATTGCTAGTCAAATCATATGTGGTAGTTACATGAAACTCACCATTGGCTTAATAATAATTCATATCCTTTAGTTCCTCCCTGAGGCAGGGCATATGCAAGAATTTTGACTATTGCTATAAATGCTGTGCGGCAAAATGTTTCCCTTCCTCATAATAAAGAATAAAGACATGTATAGATTATTGTATATCTACAGGTCAAGTTCTTGTAACACCAAAGTGTGGTATTTTACTATATGCCTGTGACACTGCACTAAATATTTTACAATACACTATACAGTCTGGTTTGATAATAAAATATGTACAAAGTCCGACTTATGATAACTCTGATAATTCACGGAAAATGCTGATATACGGATTAAACGAAAGACAACCATTATGCTGATATTAGATTGCACATGGGAAGGGATACTGGCTCATGGGGATATTAATTCTTGTCCCTTACCTAAAAAGAGAGAAAGATAAAATCAATAAATTATTAAAAAAGTGTACCATTGCCACCTTTTCCCTTTTAGTTTTTGTTATGCTTTCATTACTCTTTCATGTGTTGTTTGTTGGCTTCTGATAGTGACGAATATGATATTAAGGTGAGAGAAATGTGCCAAGTAAATTATAGCGACAGAAACTTTAGCTTCAAAATAATATTTATTTTATTACTTTTTAAAATTTGTTGGAAGGTATTAAAAGTAATATATATATATATATATGTAAAACAAAATTTGTTTTATTATTTCAAACAGGAAGTGCATTTTCCCCTTAAGTATTACTCTATCCTTGTGAACAAAGCAATCTTGTCTTGATCCTGTGATTGTTCTACGCTAGTCCTTTCTACGTGTACCTGAGCACATGATACTTTGCTGCCTAACACATAAATTGTACCATAAGGATTCTTAGAAGATGCTTTTGCCTTCATTTTCAAGTTTGTTTACACTTAAAGTTGCTCCTTCAATGCATTCTCTTCTTTTCTGGACCCCCTCTTTCTTTCTCTCTTTAACACGCGCACACAAAAACAAGTAGACAATAATTAGTACATGGTTCCATTAAATTTATGTAAGATGTACAAAGAGTTTCATGAATTTATATTTATCCATGTCATAACCTGATATCAGGATTTTTTTCATGCTTTGAGTGTACGTTTTTATTCTACTGTACGATAAGTGTTCATTAAATTTTGCCTTGGATTGCCATTATCTTTAGGATATGTTTCACCTTAAAAAAGAAGGAAGACGACAAGGATAATACTAATACCAGTAGATTCCACAAAGTGGACCCAAACTAGTAAGCTACAACAAATTACGGTAAGAAAAGTGAGGAAAAGATAAGAAGAATGAAGATAACAAATTGTGATTGAACTTTTCCATGCCTTGAATGGAAATGTTTTAAGATGAGTTTCAACTTCTAAGAAGAGATATGTCAGAGAAATTAAGGAATTTTTTTTGTATATTGTTACATTACTGAGCCTTTTAAATGATCCATTTGACGTAGTTGAATTCGATGTAAAGGGAAAACCAACAAATCTCTGATGTAAAAGTTATATCAAAGTATCAATACACTTTATGGCTAACGTTTACTTCGATTATAAGAAATGCATGTAATTAATGGGAAAACTAATTATTTGAAGCCAGCTAAGTGAAAATAATTTTCCTCCAAAACTACTCAATTCCTCGTTGAAAAACAAAAATGCACATCCAAGTGAATCTAACCGTGTTTGTTTCATTTCAAGTCTTCAATTTTCAACTTCTAGCGTGTTAATATGGTATGAATTTAGGTCGTTTTGACTGTTAAGTTTATGCATTATTTCACCTCTTGAGTACTTTTTTAATACAATTTTTAGCAGCATTTTCAGCCCAAATTAGTAAAAAGGAGTTATGCGTGGTTTGACTGTATGGTAACTTAATTAAGATATCTAATTTCAGAAGTCAACAATTGGAGTTCTAATTCTATAATTAAACCTTTCACATCCTAATATTTTTCTCAAATCACTGAATTTAGAGATGATCAAAATTTAAATTCCCACGAGTTTCACATGCCTTCCCACGGTGCAGAAAAGAGGAGCCTCTTAATAGCAAAAGCCTCACAATCTCATCCATTGCATTTGCACATCCAACAAACCACCCATTATTGTGTTCCTTAATAAATCTCAAACTTGATAACTCTCCTCACCCATTCACCAAAAGGAAGTTTCCTCCACACAAAAAATATCCCTAAACGAAGTGTCTCTATACAAATCTATTTTTAAATCACCCAAATTCAAGGATCTCCAGCCAATCAAATTAGCATATAGCATCTTTTACTACCCACCCCACTTGCATTACATTTCTTCAGTGAACACCTTTTGTTTTTGTGTTGTTCTTTCCATGAGACAAAGGGCGGAAACACTAACTAACAACCCAAATACAAAATCCTAGTTCATTAAATTAACCCTTAATTTCTTTCATTCATTCCTTCATTCACATTTTGAAACCTTTTTGTCTGTAAAACTATAAACCCAAAAGAGTGGCCAGCACCTCCAACCCATTCCTCCAAGAAACATTAAGATTCCCATATATAAAGAATATTTTAAAAAAGAAAAGAAAAGAAAAGAAAAGGGAAAAAAAAAAAAAACTCACCAAAACCAAAGCCCCCCCCCTTTTTTGTTCTCTCCAATCTCTTAACACTTTCCTCATCTCAGAAACAAACAGAACCAAACCACCACCATTCTTATAATACTCACAGCAACCCCAACCCAAACCCGAACCCAATTTCCCAGAGGAGAAACAATCTAACAAACCCTAGAAATCCAAGAATTTGGGGGAACACCAAACAAAAATCCCGGAAGCCAAAATCGGGCTCAAACTTCGACGAAACCGAGGGAAAGAAATCTTGGGCACTCTTCAAAATCCTACATTTCCCCGAGAAAATGTCCCAGCTGAAGCAAATGTCGCATATTGACAGTGCCCCTTCTACCCCAGGCAAGTTCAAGATGGAGAAAGCTTCATACTTCAACCGCGTGCGGTGGCACACCTCGCTCGCCAAGCTCGCCGTGTGGTCCTTCGTCTTCTTGGCCGCGATCTTGATCTTCTTTTTCCGGTCTCCGGCGTCGTCGCCGATTCCGGTGGATCCTTCCCGGCGCTCCCTGAGGACCTACAATTGGGGCGGACCCGTTTGGGAAAAACGGGTTCGGTCATCGGCCCGTGTCCGGTCCCGGAATGGCTTCGCCGTTCTGGTCACCGGAGCCGCCGGTTTTGTTGGCACCCACGTCTCTGCGGCACTTAAGCGCCGCGGCGATGGGGTACTGGGAATTGACAATTTCAATGACTATTATGATCCTTCATTGAAGCGTGCACGGCAAGCTCTTTTGGAGCGCACTGGGGTGTACATTGTGGAAGGGGATATCAATGATGAAGCACTTTTGAGGAAGCTATTTGAGGTTGTGCCTTTTACTCATGTGATGCATTTGGCTGCTCAAGCTGGTGTGAGGTATGCTATGGAGAATCCTGGCTCTTATGTTCATAGTAACATTGCTGGCTTTGTTAATTTGCTTGAGGTTTGTAAGAGTGTGAATCCTCAACCGGCTATTGTGTGGGCTTCTAGTAGCTCAGTTTATGGACTTAACACTAAGGTTCCCTTTTCTGAGAGGGATAGGACTGATCAACCTGCTAGTTTGTATGCTGCTACTAAGAAAGCTGGTGAAGAGATTGCTCACTCTTATAACCATATATATGGTCTTTCATTGACTGGATTGAGGTTCTTCACTGTTTATGGCCCTTGGGGTAGGCCTGATATGGCTTACTTCTTTTTCACTAGGGATATTTTGAAAGGGAAGGCAATCTCAATATTTGAGGCTGCGAATCATGGCACAGTTGCCAGAGATTTTACTTACATTGATGATATTGTGAGGGGTTGTTTGGGTGCTTTGGATACTGCTGAGAAGAGCACCGGGAGTGGTGGGAAGAAGACCGGGCCGGCGCAGTTAAGGGTGTTCAATTTGGGGAATACTTCACCGGTGCCGGTTAGTGAGCTTGTGAGCATTTTGGAGAGGCTCTTGAAGGTTAAGGCAATGAGGAACATAATGAAGTTGCCGCGGAATGGGGATGTGCAGTTTACTCATGCGAACATTAGCTATGCGCAGAGGGAGCTTGGGTATAAGCCTACCACAGATCTGCAGAGTGGTTTGAAGAAATTTGTGCGGTGGTACATGAATTACTACTCTGGTGGGAAGAAGGCTGTTGAGTGATGGATTCTTTTAACCGCATGATAAGGTCTTTGAATTCTTGTTCATTATGATTCTCGTGATTGTTCCTTAGCATTTCTCTGTTCGTTGCACGATCACCTTGTTTCATGTGTCAAGGATGCCGTAATAGGAGGAACCTTGTTTCCTGCACCGAGGAAGTTTTGTTGTTGGTGGAGATTAATGCCTGGACACCAATTTTCTGTGTCAAAGAAAACAAGATACATCGTATTCTCTTTTATTCTTTTTTCCTGAATGTAATTGTTGTAGTTTTAGAAATGTAGCATTTATGACTGATAGAGCATATGCTGATTGGTGGCAGTGTATAATAATTGTTAAGAAAATTTAGTAAAAGCACACGATAGTTTGATTTCCGATTTTCGGACTGAATGAATCAATAAGACATGTATTTTATTTGCATATGTAATTTTTCAGCTATAAATGGACTCATGTATTAATAATTCTTGCACAGTTCTACTACTTTGTGTTGCTATTGCTAACATTTGATTGTTAACTCTGGCACCAGGCATCCATTCTCCTGGAAATGTATGCGTTTGTTTGTAGATTATTAGGAAGTTCTTAAATGTCATTGCAGATGCTTGTTTTGTTGCGAGATTAATGCTTCTTAAGTTGTAAGATTTATAAGAAGCATTAACAAGTTCCTCTTCGTAACAATTTATCTCTTTTTATTTTAACATTTTTTTCTCCTACTTAACTATTTTTACCTGGTATAACCATGTTTTTGTCCACTAATAGCAATTATATGTATGTGTGGGGTTCTGAATTTAGGCATATTCTCAACCTATTTCAAATATAAATTTTGCTGTTTGTAAATTGCATGTTACTGCTTCATAAGATAAAAGGTGTAGGATCCGTGAATAAGCATTGGCAAATTGTTTTGATGCTTCATTATCATTTGAACAAATCAGTTCTGGAAATAATTTTAGGAATTAACTTGTAGTTTCATAGTGTTTTAGGGCTTGTTTGTTTTTGTTTTGATTTTTAATTTTAAAAATTATATTTTAGAACAATTAAAAAAAAACTGCTTTTAAGAAGAAAATGAAAATAAAACATATGTTAATAAACATTTTTTATTTTATTTTTACTAAAAAAAAATATTTTTAAGAACATAAAACAAACTTACTCCTAGTCTCTACTTTAGTATTCATATCCATTTTCATATTCATTTTAATTTTGTTTTGCTTGTATCACCATATTTTTGGTCTGCAAATAGCAGTCAAATGAAAATTTGTGTAGTTTTTCTGTTAAGGACATCATGCGATGTGTAACTATTGTCATTTGTAAGTTGTATTTCTACTTGCTATCGTTGTTGTGATACCATGGAGATCATTGTTGCTATCACTATGACTATGACTGTTACCATTGGTCGATACCGTCATTGTTACAGCTTTGTCGCCTTAAACAGGAATATAATTTAACTGAACTAGTCATGATTTATTTGAATTTGGTTCATTAAATGTTTGAATAAGTTTGTTTATTTAATTAAATAAACAATCTCAAACTTAAAGTAAGATTCAATTTTAATGAGTCAAGTTCAAGCAATATTACCGGTTTGTGCATAGTTTGTATGTGTATACTTTTTTTTTAAACAAATATACCAGTTTCATAATAATTTTTCTTAAATTTTTTTACCTTAAGTCATCTTCATGTAGATAAAATTATATTTTTATTACTACTTTACATTTTAACACAAAAATTTACTAAATACTAAATTAATAAAAAAAATTTAAAACTTGTCAAAAAAAAATTATACACAAACTAATAAGCTAAACTTAAGTTTCAAAATTTTTAATCAAGTTAAGTTCATATTTTAAATACGATTCATTTAAATAAATGAGACAAGGTTGAACATTTTATTTCCACAAGTTAAGCTTGAGTTTTCAACAGTCGGCGTAGTTCTCGACTTATTTATGTCACTAGTGATGATGACTTAGCAACCAATATCATCATCATCACCATCATATATCACCTTCATCAGTGTTGCCACCATCATGCTATTGTACAATCATTACTAATACTCCACCTCCACATTTTTGTCATTGCCTCTATGTTATTATTGTTATTACCATTAGGACTATTTTTATTAATTACAACCTTCATTATTAACTCTTGATTACCTTGACTATTTATCACTAGTGTTCCTATCACTACCCATCGTTTCTAATAAATAAACTTAAATGTGTAGTGAGTAATTTTTATATTTTGAAATTAAAATTTGAAAACTAAACTATAAAAGAAGTTAAACCTAAACTATTTAACTAAAAATTGATTTTAGGTTTTAATTTTTTAGAACTTAAAAGTAAAAATTACCTTAAACAAGCCCTAACTCATTTGAGTTGAGTTAATTAATTTAAAATTAAAAGATATTATTGCATTCAAAATTGCTTTTGTTAGTCTTTTTACTTTTCGTTTGGTCAGTCTGTTATGCTATTTTTCTAATGTCCATCTTTTGCTCTTAATTAAATTTGTCGCTAATTTTCTATTGATTTAAAGACTATTTCTTTTACTTAACAATGTTAGAACCTAAGACATTTAATGGTCAAAGGCTCCAATTTTTTCTAATAATGCAAAACTTTAATGATTGGATGGAAGTACTAGCGAAATTTTTTTAAGCGTACAAAGTTATTCAACATTTGAAGCTTATAATATCTTGAGTGTATTGTCTGATATCTTAGACGATATAAGCATCAAAAAGGTCGTATGTAGGAATACCCTTCAAGAAGAACATAGTGCCTCATTTGAAATCAAATATTAGTCAAATTTGATAGTAATACATGTTGAATGTGCACCAATATGCTAGAGAAGAAAGACAACATGAAGTTTTCAATGACAACACTGTGCTTGAAAAAAAAAAAAAACAAAAAGATTCTTGACACAAGTATGCTAAATCCCTGAAATGCAAATTGTACAATAGCTATCTAAGTAATGAAGAGATGAACAACTCTCTTTTCAAGTCATTATCTGGTAAACACTTCCCCCCTATTTTACTATTTTATTTTTTTAATTTCTCGATTGTGCCACTATATGCACTTGTGTGATGGAACCTATAGAAAAGAAGCTGAAATCAATTCTAAGATATGATCTGAATCTCATAAAGATATTGCATGTACATTTTTGTGTAGCTTCACAATAAATGAAGATGTGATAAGTGGTAATGTAATATATTATAAAACCATCATATATATGCATGTTAGAAAATTAAATTTGGATATTTTTCATTCGTTTAGGCTATGGAAACTATTTCCCCCCTATAATATTAATGTTGGCATCAGCTTCAAAATATAGAATGAAAAGGCAGAAGAAACTTTTCTTATTCATCATTAAAGAGAAATATATTACTTCTCTTAGTTTTTGCTTCGAAGATGTTATTGTTGACACTCAAATGAAAGACAGTATATCTTGAGTCATCAACTGATTAATTGAAATTTCACTGAAAGGCAAAGGTAGTGAAAGTTTGGAAGAACATAGTTCTTTAGCCACTTGTTGCATTGATGGTCTAAACTTTGGTTTAGAACACAAGCATGCCAATGCTAGTGTTCCCACAATCATTATATCTTGAGCATCTTTTTGAAAGCTTGGAAGAGGAAGACGTGAATCCAACAAATCCTTCAACAACATGTTTTCCGTAGATGAGTTTGATAAAGATGAGATAAACTCTCCTGGATGTCTTCCCATCAATGTTTCCAATGCCACAACTCCAAAACTATAAACATCACATTTTTCTGTTATAGTCAATGTGTAAGCAAACTCTGTAATAAACAAATGAAAAAACAAAAAAGAAAGTTAATTAAACTTCTCATGCTATATTATTAAATCAATTCAGGAAAGTCATAAATATATTTTTCTCTTTAGTTAAAAAAAAACTCACCTGGAGCAATATATCCGTATGTTCCAACTACTAAGGTTTGATTTGAAGAATCAGGATCAAGTAGTCTAGCTGTGCCAAAATCTGAGATGAAGGGCTCTAATTGTGAGTTTAATAAAACATTGCTACTTGTTACATCACGATGAACAATAGGTGGGTTACAATCATGATGCATGTAGGACAAAGCATGTGCCATTCCCCTAACGATATTCACCCTCTCACTCCAATTTAACTCCTTAGCTTCCTCATCAGTGCTCAAGAGACAAAATAAGCTACCTCTTTCCATGTATTGATAAACCAAAAACATGCACCGATTGTGGAGACAAAAGCCATGGAGCTTTACAATATTTTTGTGACGGATTTCTGTTAACATCTTGACCTCATTGCGAAAACTCTTGTCAAAAGATGGGATTTGAGATTCCATTTGGTGAAGTTTTTTCAATGCAACAATTTTGCCACTTGGTAATTGAGCTCTATACACACTTCCATATGCACCAGTCCCAATGCAGTACTTGATGTGAAAGTCTTCAGTTGCTTCAATGATGTCTTCAAATGCAATTTTACCATCAAAGTTCCATATTGAAAACAGGTCTCCATTCTTTGTTGATCTTCCTTCAAATTTAGCCTTGTTCATACACTTTAGGAAATATAATGTTGCAAGTACAGAAAGAATGATGCAAGTGATAGGAAGAAAAATTACAATGATAGTCTTAACTTTACTAGTTGTTGTACCAGTTTGAGAATTGGTTTGGTGGACATAATGACAAGCTGTGTAATTTGGTGGGTCGTAAGTGATAAGTGCATTTTTTGAGAAAGAACAAAAGTCTGGTAATTGAGACTTTGAGTCAAGGTTTTCTGAAAAGTCAAAGAAATTGTATGAAAGATTTATATATCCTAAAGTAGCAAGTTCCTTATGTAACTTACCTGTGAGATTATTATAACTAAGATCCAACCTATCCACCATAGAATTTATTCCAAAAACAGATGGAACCTGGCCGCTGAAAAAATTATGACTAAGGTTAAGGTTAGTGACACAACCAATTTGGGAAGTGATGCTTCCATTTAACAAGTTACAGCTTAAATCCACTGTTGCATCAAGTGGACAATTCAGGATAGGAGATGGGATAGAGCCTGTGAGGTGGTTGTGGGAAAGGTCTAGATATGAAAGACTGAAAGCTTTTGAAATCTGTGATGGTATTGAACCAGAAAGGGAGTTACTTGAAAGATTTAAGTATTGTAATGATGTTAAGTTCCCTACTCCTATTGGTATGGGACCTTCAATTTGGTTAGAATCAAGGAAGAGGTGGGTCAAATTCTTCAATAAACCCAAAGTATGTGGGATTAAACCGGTAAAGGAATTATGTGACAGATATATTTCCTGCAATTGTGTCAAATACCCTAATCCTATTGGTATGAGACCTTCAAGTTGGTTTAAATCAAGATAGAGATAGGTTAAATTCATCAACCGACTTAATGTACAAGGGATTGAACCTGTTAGTGAATTGTTATAGAGAGACAATATCTTCAAACTTGTCATATTGCCTAGATGTAGAGGTATAGGACCTGCAATGTGGTGCAAAGGAACGAAGAGATATGTGAGATTCTCCAACCAACTGACTCATTTCAATGTACAAGTGATAACTCAACACCACTAAACATCACACCAATTTGAAAGTTCTTTAGGAAGCAACATACCTTGAAGGTAATTATCTGACAGGTAAAGAAATTCAAGTTTTGTAAGCGTGGTTATTTCTGGAGGAATGCTTCCCATAAGACCCATTCCAGATAAACTTAGAATGACTATATTAGGGAAGGAAGTTACATTCAACTTCTTAATCTGCTTCATTTCTTCTGATAATGGATAATGAATATTTAAATCCCCTGAGTAAATCCCTATAACACTTCCAACTTCATTGCATTTGATACCTCCCCAAAGACAATGGTTTGAGATATTGAGGTAATCATTCCACCAGCCACTCTGGACCAAAGCCTGTTTTTCCTCATTCATGGAAGTGGAATTAGAAGCTTCCATCCTGGAAGTGGTAGCAATAACAGGTGGTAGTAACATGACATAAGAGGTAACAACGCTAATTGAAGCTACTATTAAATTGGTACCACAATTTGCCATGTACTTAATTGATTTAGATTCAAATGGGTACAATTACTGAACAACTTCATTATAATGCTATTGGTTCTGGGACTTGGTATATATAACAGGAGAAACACTATTAACATATTCTTTTAAACACAATCTGTAGCATCCTTCTTGTGTGATTGGTCAGTTATTTAAAAAGTCACAATGCTTAAACCCATAAATTGAACATTTTTAAATATTACTTTGAATTTTTCAAAAACTAATTAATAACAAAAAGTCTGTTAACGAGTGTATTCAGAAAAGTGTGTTGCTAGCATTAATCAGTATAACAGTGGCGGATGACCTGCCCAACATGCTCATGCAGAAAATTTTCTTGGAATTTCCTTTCAACTTCTTCTACTTAGGACAATGGACATTCAAAGATGCGGTTTTGCACTAAGGAATGATGAAATGATTAGTTAAAGGAGTGGAAGACTAGATGGAGGTGTGAGACATGTAGTACATGTGAAAGAAAATGAAGTGCAGTTATGGCTTGACTCTGACGTGTGTGGTTGACTCTGATTAATATGCTACCATTTCATGCAATATCTTGGTCAACCATTCATCCCTTGTTGCTCGCTCCTCCGAACCCATTTTCATTCCAATAGTGATCCACAGATACATTGCATTCCAAGCTTTCTATAGACTACATTATACATGGAAGCACTTGGGTAGAGTTGGTGAATTTTGGTGGGGACAGAGTTTGATCAAGTTACTGTTGAAGCCAAGGAGACCATTGTTCAATGCAAGCAAACCCACCCATTTTTGACTTTCTTGAATTCATTTTTGTTAAATATGTCTTTTAGTGGATTGGTTAAATATTATGAGGCATGGTTACTATAAATGCAGAATTGCCTGAAAATTGTGGTGTCAACAAGATTTCTTTGACTGACAAAACATGATGGTTAAAGGTATTTACATTCACGCACTCCTCATAAAGTTGCTCAAGATATGATTCTTTTGTTAGCATTAGTGTATGCCTGTGTTCTGATCCCAAATGGTAGCCATCATTCATACAACTAAAAGAACAGCATAGACTTTATAACAAAATATAGCGTTTAACAAGAGACTTTAATATATCTTCCAATGGAGTGTTTGTGCCCAGTAAGTAGTCATCCTGACAAAGGAAAACAGTATCTAACTTAAAAAAAAAAACAGATTCCAGATTCAGTGTGAATCAAATATGAAGAAGTACAAGAATGCATCTTAAGATCAATGGCTACAAGGCTATAATTGTAAATTATCTTGAGCATATATATGTGAGTGTGTATAATAAATGTAAGCAATGTACTATTGATAAGAATATATCATATACCAAGTCGTTTATATCCTATAAAAAGGTGACCGTTAGGAAAATATTGTCCTGTGTCTGTATGAACACTCAAAGTTTATGCAAGTTTATCATAAGTTTTTTCTCTCCAGAAGATGAAAGAGTTCATTCATTTGTATCACTGGAAAATACCTGAAGAGTCATTGACTCATAGAAAATGAAAAGGTTTGTGGTTCATTTCATTGAATTAAATCTATAAGTTGGTGCAATTAATTAGAATATTCAATAGAATGTTTGATTACTATAAATTTGACGAATTATTCAAAAATTGATGGTTGACATTTGATTTTTGAAGGAATTAGAAAAAAATTGGCAATTGAATCTAAAAAGCAAAAGTTGAATTGTTGCATTACACATTTGTGGGCACATGCAATTCATGAGGACACAAGCCTGAAAGAGCATATAAAAACAGAAATTTTTGAAAAAGACAACATATTTTACATTTCAAAAACATAAATTTAGGTTTTCATACAATTTTACGTAAGAATGACAGCTAGGGTATTTTCATCTTAATTTTCTATGGAATTTTGATGGAAAATAAAGTTTTATTTCTTCAATCCCTTTACTTTGTAATGAAACGGTGATTCTCACCATTTATAATTTTTTGTAATTTTCTTTTATTCTGAACATGAGGTTTCATTCTGTAATATATTTTAGTTTCTACTTCATTGCTAATATGTCTTGCGAGGAATGATGAACTTATTCTTTTATCCATTCCAATGAACTAAACATTGAATGCTTTAATTTAACATTTTGATTCTGAACTTAATGTTTTTTTGTTTTATGTGAATAAGATTGATGAAAAGGAGCTCATGGCTGGAAAGTCAGAAATTTCTTGGACTTGGACTTGATCAAAATGTTTGTTATAAATTATCTCGGAATAGAAATTTATAATGATGTGGTCATTTAGGTTTTAATCTTAATGCTGAAAGTTTTTGGGTTTATCTAAGGAATTGAGATTCTGAAATCAACCTACTTCTTAGTTAATTTACAACTCAGTTTCATTATCTTATTTAGCTATATTTTGCAGTTTAGTTTTATTTATAATCAGTCCTGTACATCTGAATTTTTAATTCCTTAGTTAATTAAATTTTTCAACACTTATGTTTTTACATTCTGCACTTTATTTATTTTTCCGGTTTACAATTCCACTCTTTTTTTGACCCAACTAGTAATATTCTTGTAGTTTGGTAATTGATATGAAGTAAACGATAAATCTATCTATTTTATTACTTCAACTATTTGGTGTACTTGCCAAAAAGTTATCAATACCGTGATGGATATAATAGTTTTTGAAATACCTATATACCATATCTGCAGGTAAAGCAAGCTCAGTAGTTTTGCCAAAGGATGTCAAGGATCTTCTCCAAGTGCTGTTTAGTATAGTACGAATATTTCACGAGTGGGATTAACAATTTCAAATAGCCTATGAAGGCACATGAGTGTCAAATTCACCAACAGGTTATTTTAAGGCATTTACTCTAATACAAGAATTAATAGCTTCAAAAGTATATGACGGAGAGAAGAAAAGGGAATCAAAGAAACTAAAATAACCAAGTAAACTCTGATTTTTCCTGTTGCTTGGGTAACTTAGATGTAATTACAAAGATTACTGATCAAAAGAAATATTAATAAAATACTTCTACCAGAGCTTTCTCACATAACGCTTGCAAACACCTTACATGCAATAAAATTACTTTCTACTAACTCAAAATGATTGTACAGAGAGTTAAAGTCATAATCATGTTAACAAAGAAGGTGCTGCAAATACTGAGAAGTGTCATTTGTCTTCTTGCAAGTCTCATACTGAAGAGTTGATGATGATTTATGACATGAGAGATATTACAAAATATTTGTTGTGGTATAGTGTGAGACTAAGCAGCCACAATGTGCACAAAGAGAACTATTCTTTCGCCTTTTACTAAAGAATAACGTGTGCATGCTGTGTTGTGTGGCATTCATCAATTTTTGAAGTCTTCTGTGTGTTAAGAGTGACCAACCAGAAGGTTGTAAAATTTTTAAGGGGAAACCAATGACAAGGCACCTACGTGAAATGTTTTTCTCTTCACTAATTTTTATTCTGAAGTTGCCTTGAAATAGGATTTAATTTCATAAAACATAGTAAGTATTAAACAATTCTTAACTAGTCTATTGACATCAGAGCAGTGATATTTGGTTATTTGCTTCACTGCTATAACTAGTTATATATGTTATAATTATCAACATTCTTCAACTTTTCTGTCAAATTACAAACTTAGCTTGAGGTTATCTTCCCATCGAATCTTATGAAACAAGGTTTATTATCAGTTGATGCACTTTGTCTTGTTCTATTACTTAAATTAACAGCTGTTTATGGTAAATCTAGTTGGACAAGACTATAAACAGTAGTTATAAGCTTTAATACAGAATTAGAAAGTAGGATTGGAGGTTTTCCATGTTTTCCTTTTTCACTTTCATTTTGCTGATATATGTTTGTGCTGGATAAGTGAAGATTTATGATAGTAGTATGACAAGAGGGTAGATTTCATGATCTAACATCAGCTATGCAAAATAGGATTCCATTTATCATCTTGTTCATTATGATTCTTGTAATTGGTCCTTGGCATTTCTCTGTTCATTGCATTATCACCAAGCTTCGTATGTGTCAAGGAGCCTTGTTTCCTGCACTAGGAAAATTTTGTTGTTGGTGGGAGATCTATGAAGCATGGACTCTAACACGGAAACCAGACACAACATGGACATGAAACCTCCAACACGGCAAATGTCTGAAATATAGGACAATGAGCCACCACACACACACCTATATAATTTCCTATAATAAGCTTCACAAAAAATTAGTAAGAGACATTATTTTACAATATAAATATTATGGACTCTTTACAAAAAAAATCTCAAAACAAGATAAAATCATATCTTTAAACAAGGCATATTCACCTTATCAAACTAAGTTTTTTTATGATAGACCATTGAGAAAAGTAAAGAGGCATTATTTTTAATATTTTATATTATATTTTAAGCTAACTTTTCTAAAAGTTGAAAAAATGAATTTCTTTTAATAGTATTAGTGTATGTCAATCTATATTGAAGAGTTAACTAATATGTCCTAGCCATATGGATAATTTGTTAATTGAACACCTAACAAAGATTGTTTAACACATGTTGAATAACTGTTTGAGAAGTGTCGATGACAGAAAAGTATGTGAGGCACCATAACAAGAGAGGTGTTTGTGCTTTACAGGTGGAGATTAATATTTAATATTTGGGCACTAGGCTATTTGCAGTATCCAAGAAAAATAGATACATCAAATTCTCTTCTATTTCTTTTTTTTCTTGAATGTAAATTTTATAGTTTTAGAAATATAGCATTTATGACTAAAAGAGCATATGCTCAATGGCGGTGTATAATAGTTCTGAAGTCAATTTAGTAAAATCCCAAGAAAGTTTGATTTCCTATTCTCTGACTGAATGAATCAATAAGACATGTATTATAGTGTAACTTTTCAGCTGTAATTGGACTCATGTGTTAATAATTCTTCTTTGCCACTGCGAACAATTCATTGGTGGCTGTATGATACCAAGGCACCCTTTCTTTGGGGAAAGCCAGTCTGCATTAATATATGTGTTTTTCTGTATATTAGTGTCAAGAAATTTAGTGACTATTTGATTTTAGGACAACTTTTCTATTTTCATTCTGATTTCCGTTTTTAAATATTTGTATAGGAAACATTAAAAATATTTTTTTTTTCTATTTTCATTGTTTTCTATACAAACTTAGAAAACATGAAACATAATAAAAATAAGGTGAAAGTTTTGTAATTAAAAGTAAAAATAAAAAATAAAAAAATAAAAAATTTTTAGAAACCAAACAAGCCGGTAACAAAGTCATTTACGGTTCTTAATTTGAAAAGGATTCTAATTCTTAATTTGTACAACCTAAATTAGGAGGTCTAATTATGTATAATTGAGAAATTGATTTCTAATCCTAATACGTACAACATATTAAAAAAATGATAATAACCAATTCCCTTTTTAACAATTAGAAAGTATAAGTTCTAAGATTGTAAAGAAGAGCATTGGGAATTGCTTTTAATACTTTATTACCATTTAAAGGAATCGGCTTTGAAATAATTTTAGGAATTAACTTGCAATTTAATTCACAGCATTTTAATGTCTTTTTTATTTCAATATTCTTGATCCATTTTCAAGGATTTTTTTTTTTTTGGTGTGGTTCGTATCACTAATTTTGCCCACTATAATAACAATTATATGCAAAAATGTGTGGGGATTCTTTCTGTTAAGGACATTCTTATTCATAATGTGGGCACTTTTACAATGTATTCCGAATATGAAGTGTAAGATTCGGAAAGAAGCATTGACAACTTACTTTTGATGCTTTATTACCATTTATACAGATCAGTTTGTAAAATAATTTTAGGAATTAACTTGCAATTTTATAGAATTTTAATTTGTTCCCTTTTATAATATTTAATAATATTCTTAATCCGTTTTAATATAGCCTTTTGTTTTTACTTGTATAATTTTTTCACATATAACAGTAGACATTCTTCTAAAAGTAATTTTGGTTTGTAAATTGTATACTTATTTTTCTTTTATTTTTATTTATATATGGATTCCAAGTTTAGCCCACTTTTACTAAAAAATAAATATAGAAAAATATTGTAATATTCTACAACTTATCCAATCTGCAGTAAAACATATAACACAAAGTTTATTTTATATAATAGCAAGAAAAAAAAAATCCAAACTAAAGAAAGATTTAAAAAGTTTCATTTAGGCTTAGTTTATTACTTATAAAAGTAAGATACTTTGAACAGTATGCAGATAAACAAAAATCTGCTTCAAAGAATATCGTATTTACCTTTTTTTTTTTAAAATGAAATTAAACTATTAGAAATGTTGGTTAAACAATTTGATACATCTAAAATAACAAATCATTATATAACATCGAGATCCATAAATCACTAAAATATAACCCCCCTCCTTTTTTAATTTGTAGAGAGCTGAGGGATAAATAAAATAGAATAAAAATTCATTTTTTTAACTCTAAATTAAAAACTTTAAAGCTACTAAATAATAGTAGTAGTCGTAGAGAGTTAAGGGATAAGTACAATTTGAAAACTATTGTTTCTTTTAGTTAAGATTATGTTTGTTTTTCTTTTTAAAAATAATTTTTTTGTTTCTAAAAATAAAATATAGTACAAACTATATTTTATTTTTAAAATCAGAAAACTATTTTTAAAAAGTAAGGCTTGCCTTTGTTGAAATAATGTAGATATTGGTGTGATGTGTGCTTTTTTTTTTTTTTCCTTTTCTGTTTTTTTCAGTTAAGGGTTATAAAATATATGCAGTTTAGTAACTAACAATAATGTACAATATGTAGCAGACAAATGATAGAAGTGTTAAGTATCTTGGTATAGAAGATAATGAACAAGAATATAAAATACTGGTTTCAAGGTACAAAATATATCGCTATCTTTTGTGAGATATTCACCCCTACACGAAGTTACTATGAGTTGTTGACGATACTCTCCCAGGATATAATGAAATCTTTAAATTTCTTATCTAATGATAACAAGAATTTTTCTCTCTTGAACTTGAAATTTAAGAACACTCAAATTCATAAGTTACACACAGTAAAAGTTCATTACGTGTTCAATAATGGATATTATTTATAGTTGATGATTTAAACACAAGTGAACAATTAATCTTTTCACTTGAGAGTCATGTCTTTTAAAATCAAGAGATACCCTTAAAAGTCATATTCTTTCACTTGAAAGTCATCTCTATAAAACCAAGAGATATCCTTAAAAGTCATATCCTTTCACTTGAAAGTCATGTCTTTAAAACTAAGAGATGTCTACATGAACCAACACACTTGTTCATGGTTAATAACCATTTCATCTCTCTTAATAATTTAAATCATCTACTTTTAAACTTATAAATATATTTCAATCCTCCACTACTTTACAAGTTTAAAATCAATTTATGCATAAAGAATATATCACAAGGATTAAATATTCTTTTAGTGTAAATTTTAAGGTTCCAATAGAGTAATAGGTGTCTAATTGATTAAACCTTTACTCTCTATGTTAGTACCAAACATTTCACACACATAAATTGTATTTCTTATCAAGTTCAAGAATTTGTTAATTTTAAGTACTTTTATGGCCATATGCTTATCCTGGTCTCATGAATATTTACGAGATCTAAAATTCTCGAATAAAGCGACACCACTTCTATATTCACGTAGGTAGAATCCTTTGATAAATAATATTATCAATTCATTAAGGGTTTTAACCCACCCTCCTAATTATATATATATGACAGTAAATCCTATATCTTATATAGTGCTCCAATTGTTAAATAACTTGTTGTTACCCATTAAACCTTGAAACTAGTGTTCTATTAGAATAAGGTTGCATTCCCATCATTTAACAATTATAGGTTTTAATCTCATTTTAGCAGTAGTCTCTTTAACCTTATCTCTTGACAAACCTTTAGTCAGTAGGTCTGCTAAATTGTTGTGGGATTTTACATATGTGATGGTAATTATACCTCTCCTATTAATTGGGTCACATACTCATGTCTCAAGCTTATATGTCTAGACTTTCCATTATAAACTTTGTTATGTGCTCGAGACATGGTTGATTCACTATCACAGAAGATCAAATTGGCATTCATTGGTTGTGGCCATAACTTTATATCATATAATAAATTCCTAAGCCATTTTGCTTCTTTACCAGCGGTTCATAAAGCTATAAACTCAGCCTCTATAGTAGAATGAGAAATACATGTTTATTTCTTTGAGGCCCAACTTATTGCTCCACCACCTATGGTGAAAATCCATCCTGAAGCAAACTTATTATCACTTAGATTTGTAATCCAACTAGTGTCAGAATAACCTTCCAATACAGTAGGATAATTACTATAATATAATCCCTAGTTTATAGTTTTCTTGAGATAACCAAGAATTCTTGTTATATCTTTCCAATGTTGATTACTTGATTTTCTTGTAAATCTTGATAGCTTGCATACAACAAAAGCTATATCTAGTCTAGTGCAATGTATTGCATACATTCAACTTCTTATAGCACTTGCATATTCCAATTGTGCTACATGGGAGATCTTCTAATTTAAAATTAGGATCATAGCGTGTATTGGATTCCTTAATTTTAAGATGCTCAAACTTTTCTAATATCTTTGTGATGTAATGAGATTGACTTAAAACAAAGTCAATGTGATGTAATGAGATTGACTTAAAACAAAGTCAATGTCATGTTTAAGCACCTTTATCCCTAATATTGTATCTACTTCATTCAAATCCTTCATCTTGAATTTAGAAGTTAGATACTCCTTTGTTTGACGAATTCCTTCTAAATTTGTCTCAAATATTAGCATATCATCCACATACAGACAGATCATTAGTCTCTAATCCTTAGTAAATTTGGAGTATATACATCTATCTACACTATTATGTGAAAAACCATTTGATAACACTACAAAATCAAACTTCTCATACCATTGTTTAGGTGCCTGTTTTAACCCATATAAAGACCTAACAAGTTTACAAACTTTATTTTCATTTTCAAGTAGCACATAGCCTTCTGATTGTTCCAAATAAGTTTCTTCATTAAGATCTTTATTAAAAAAAGTAGTTTTAACATCCATTTGATGCACATGAAGCTTATAAATGGATGCTAATGCTATAAGAGTCCTAATAGAAGTCATTCTTGTCACAGGTGCGTAGGTATCAAAATAGCCTAGACCTTCTTTTTTTTTAAACCCTTTTGCCACTAACCTTGCTTTAAAGATTTGTAGTGAACCATTTGTATCATACTTTCTTCTAAATACCCACTTGCATCCTATAGGCTTTGATCCTTGAGGCAAATCAATTAAGATCCAAGTATTATTAGATAATATTGAATTCATTTCATCATCTACTACTTCTTTCCAAAAGGCAGAATCTCTAGAGGCCATTGCCTCTAAATATTTGAGGATCACCTTCTATACTTAGAACAATAGGAATTTTGTTTATCACAGAATCCCTAGTTCCTTCAACCAAAAATGCTATAGCATGAGAAGAAATAAAGTATGGACCTAAGTCTTTCTCTATTCTCACTCTTTGGCTCCTTCTTGGTTTAAATAATTCATTATTACTTAGTCTTTTATTGCCTTGATTTATTATTGCTTCTTGGGAATCTTCTGTATTCTTTTGGGGATATTCTAAACTAAGGTTTGAATCACCAATGAATTTATTTTCAATAAATTCTACCTCCCTTGATTCAATGACTATACTGGACACTGAGTCCAAAATTCTATATGCCTTATAATTTTGAGCATATACTATGAAGATAATATGGCTCTTGGCCCCAATTTAGTTCTCTTTTGATCAAAAACACGATCAAAGGCTAAACACCCCTACACTTTTAAATAATTTAAGTTTGATTTTCTTCTTTTCCATACTTCATGTGGAGAAACTTTTCTATTTTTTGATGGTATCCTATTATGAATATGACATGCGGTCAATAGTGCTTCATCCCATAGATTATGAGGCACCTTAACATTTTATATCATTGAATTAACCATATCCACTAAGGTACAATTCTTTCTCTCCGCTAAACCATTTTGTTGCAGAGTATATGGAGTAGAACATTCATGCACAATCCCATGTAATTCACAAAAATTATCAAATTCATTAGAGAAGTATTCTCCACCTCTATCACTACGAAGAACATTTATTTTCTTATCAAGCATATTTTCTACTTCTATTTTATATTTCTTAAACATTTCAAATGCTTCATCTTTATTTCTTATCAAATACACATAAGTAAATCTAGAACAATCATCAATAAAGGTTATAAAGTACCTTTTTCCTTCGCTAGTAATATTTTCATTTAATTCACAAATATCACTATGTATTAATTCTAGTAAATGTGTATTTGTTTCAACTTTAGGAAAAGGTTTCTTAGTAATTTTGGATTGTATACAAATTTCACATTTCTTATTAAAATCCTTATTACTAAGATCAATATAATTATAATTTTTGCATATATTCAATTGATTTATAATTTAAATGTGCTAATCTACTATGCTATAAATCACAAGAATCAACAACACACAAAGTGTCATTTACTTTATTATCAATACTAAATTTGAACATGCCTTGAGTACAATATCTTTTTCCTACATACATATCATTCTTAAGCAAGATAATCTTATCAGATTCCATCACAATTTTGAATCCTCTTTTACATAAGAGACTAGCAAAAACTAATTTCTTCCTTATATCTGGAACATGAAGTACATTCACCAAGTTTAACTTCTTTCTCAATGTAAAGTTCAACTCTACTGTTTCTTGACCACACACTTTGGCCGAATTGTCATTTCCCATTAATACTTCTTGGTTGTTCACTTCTTCATATATCTTGAATTGATTGTGATCATTGCAAACATGAACAGTAGCACCAGAATCTAACCACCACTCATGGGATTTTTCATATGTTGCCATGTTTAGTTCTGTGATCATACCAATGTGCATGCATTGAACTCCTTTAGTGATCATAGCAACCAAATCTCTTTCTTCCACAAGGTTGGCCATAGAACTTGATGCTTCTTTTGAGCTATTACCCCTTTTTTAGAAGTCAACAATCCTTGATATAATGTGTAACGCCCTAGATTTTGTAACTATATATATTGATTTACTAATATAAATACATGTGGATTGCTATATGTTGGTGAATTTGATTTATATGATGATGATGATGATGATGATGTGGATGTGTATTTAACTATGTTATGTATATGTGAATTTATTAAGAATGTTGGACTAGTGGTTGAGTTGGAATTGGATTGAAAAATAGGCTAAGTGTGTGCTGCAGGGGCATTCTCGCTCTAGCGAAAAGGCCCTGGGCGAGTTGGGTGATTCTATTATGGTCTCGCTATAGCGAGAAGGACCTAGGAGAAGGGCGTGATTCTGTCATGTTCTCGTTGTAGCAAGAAGGCGATAGAAGAGGGTGTATTTTTAGATGCAGTCTCGCTATAGTGAAAGGGTCTCGTTGTAGCGAGATTTTGCCGAAATCAGAGTGCAGTTTCTTCTGATATTTTCATTGCAGTGAGAAGGAGGACCTCATTGCAGCGAGAATATTATGATCAGAGAGGTATTCGAGGGGTTTAGGGTTTAGAAAATTCATTTCTCACTTTTTCCTTCGAGATCTCTCTCTATTCTCTCAATTTTTAACCTATTCTTACCGATTAAATTGCCTCTAAAGCCATTTGTGAGCTAGATCAAAGATTGAGGTTGTATTTAGAGGTAAGTTTTGTGGGATAGGGTTTCGTTCCTTCGTCTCTTTCTTTGTTTTCTTAGGTTCTCATGGAGATTTTTCATGTTTTAAGGACGGAGCACCGTGTGGGGAAAGTTTTCTACTATTTTCTCGTGTTAGGTCTTTATTTTAAGATAATGGGAGACTCTATCCTATCTCATTTTTGTTTTGAACCCGTTTATTTGCAATTAGTTGTAATGTGGTTGAGATAGAATGTGGAAATAGGCATGTTTTGATAGAAAATTCTTAATTGAGCATGATAAATTGAATATTTGACATATGTGTGGTGGAATGATTGATTGTGGTAGGGCTTATATGAAAGACTTGGATGTTTGTGTGTAATGTGATGGAATGTAGGCATACGTGCCGTGTATGAGAGTGAATATCATGATGTAATTAAGAACTTGAGTGATTGTATGTGATTGCATGCCATTGATTAATGATGAGGAATATGAAATAGGTGAATATATGTGAATGACATGTTGGTTGTGTGTGAATATGTTGAAAACTATGAATGGTTCAGTGATACACTAGGAGTGCGGAAGATGGGGGCGGTAGAAATACCTTGGAGAAGAGAGGGTGGTAGTGACACCAACAGTGACCGTGGGTGCATCACAGGCCTATGCACTCTCCTCCTGACTTGGTCTTTGACCAACACCTTTGCTTGGGAGCTCAGTACCTCACACGTTGTATCTGTGGAGCAGGAGTTATCTGGTGACCATCCATGGTGTGAACTGAGTAAGTCCCTGAGGTTGAGGGCATCAGAAATTTGTGATCACAGTGCCACAGTGAGCGTGGCTAACGTGCAGTGAGCGCATGTCTGTAGATTGTTGATGATGCAGTGAGCATACTTGTGTATGAATGAGAATGGAATATTAAAATTATTACTTAGTGTATGAATTATGTTAGAAATATATGGAAGCTTGCATAGTGAGTCTCTATGCTTGTGTGTGTTTGATAGTGTAGAGTATTCACTCTTACATTTATTTTACAGGTGACCAAGACAATCAGCACCAAACTCAGTGAAGGGATGGATGAAACTGCTATAAGACTCAAAAACTATATTTTTAAAATTGTGATGTATTGATAGGTCCTGTAGCAATGATTTGATTCAAATTTGTAATCCATCCTTATTTTGAATTATTTTACTAAACTTATGCATTAGGAATTATTTGGAATAAAATCTTTATTGTTTCTATTTTTGTGAAATTTATTTATTTAGAAATTAAATTAAGATGTTACATAATGTCCTTTCTGGTGACATTCGTAACACTACGGGTGCACAAAAATACCAATTATAAAAGTCCAATCCATAACTAAGCCCAACCAGTTTTAAAAATCTAGATTTTTTGAAAAATCAGAAAACTAAATTCGTAACTAAGCTGAAGCAGTTCTAAATGGGTTTTAATATATTAAAATTAGATTAGATTTTAGAAAACTAAATTTATTATTCTCGTTTCTTCTAAACCCTAGATTTGGTTTGCAGTTAATTTGTAGCAACAAAGTGTGATTTGATTCACAGCAACACAAACTTAGCAATAGAGATTCGCAGCAACAAGCCTCGTGGTGCTTTTTTTCTTCCTCAATTTTTGATTGAGCAGCTTATTCCATTCTTCATCATTCAATCAAATCTTGACAACAAAAAGATAATCATTTGATGAGGGAAATATAAAAATCGGATTAGATTTTAGAAAACTGAATTTATTATTCTTGTTTCTTCTAAACCTTAGATTTCTATTTGGTTCACAGCAATAGAGATTCACAACAACAACAGAGATTGCAACAACAACAAAGATGGCGACAATAAGATTCATTTGCCTCACATGTACTTTTTTCCTTCCTTGCTTGCCTTGTCTCTTTTGCTGTTTTGCTATTTAGATGTTAAAGGAAAGTGTATTATGCAGTGTTAGTTTTATCATCAACGACAGTTTGTCTAGTAAGCAATAGGAATAGTTATGTGAAGACATAGCAAAACCACCAAACCTTTTTTTCACAATCTTAAATTGACTCACAAAATGTAAATCCCTTGAAACCAAAGGTTGTAGGACTTTCTAAATGATTTTTTCATTAAGATGCATTTAATGCAAAACGTATTTGAAAAATGATTATAAATTTATATTTATTTCAATACTATCTTGTAATGTAACTTTTACATTGAATGTATTGAATCAATGAATGTGTTGAATGTGTTGAATCAATGAATGTGGCTTGAACTTGAAGCAACGGGCAAGGCCTGCTGTGGCAACTTTTCGGCTATGGGTAGTTTACTGTGTAGTGTTTACTCTATGGGGGAATGATGAGGGTAGAGAAGGTGGTGGAGTCGACAATATAAGATTAAAAGAACATAACTTAAAGCCAAACACAATTTAACATTTTTAGTTTTTAAGTATATAACAAAAGTTGTAGTTATTAAAAGGAGAATGTGATTTCTTAGTACTTAGAATAGTAGACAGATCTCTTAAATATTCTTCATGTTGATGGTTGCTATAATATTATTTTTTTCAAAATTTTAAATTAACCCAATCACTTTAATATTTAAACTTTTTGTTATGAATTTAATCTAATAGAAATTTCCATTAGACTTTACTTCTAATATTAACATTGATTTGAGAATATGTAAAGGGAGTAGAAGAATCTGCCACCATGTTACAACATGTAGATGCATCACTCATCTTACCCTTCCTCTGAACCCTTTTCATTCTTATGTTTACTTAATAAAATCTCTTACACTTTCAATTCATTTATGCTTTTCTTTCAGCCCTTTACATGTAGGAAAGAAAGACCGTGACTGCAACATCTTAATATTCATGTGCAGGATTTGATTTTCTTTATTTAAATGAAATATGCCCCAATTCATTTAATAGACTACATTAACTTTAATTTGCCTAGGAGAAATTTCCACTAATTAATAGTAGAATGTAGTTATACACATGTTTCTGGAACAATAGAATTTTTTCAAAAATCCTCACATTACTATAACTGGCTTGATGCTTCATCTTTTAATCCCATTTGAACAATCAGACCCACCTTCTTACTGCATGAGAAAAATATATTGGCATTGTAAGTGGGATGCACGTGTAATCCCTCTATTTCTTAAATTATAATCCTTGAAGATTTCAAGAGAGTTGGGAATCATAGTGCTGAATGACATCACAGACCTCATGTCACTGTGCAGTCTTTAAACACCTTTTATTACTAAGCCTTCACCTAATCTAATGCATGAAGAAAATATATGTGTCCTTATCCTTACACTACACAAATGGTCTTTTAGGATCTACTCACTACTCACGACTCTAAATAATTGATGGCTAAATTCATGTACCTTACGTATATAATTAACTTCTTCCTTCCTCTCATTCTGTCAAGTACTGCGACCTAATATATAATCTTTGATATCATTTTATCTAACCTTTGATAATTTTTTAAATATTTTTATTTTTATTTTTAATGCAAAATAATAGACACAGTGGATGATCAAGATGATTTTATGGCTTTTGAGACAATAGGGAATTGGACTACTCCACCATCAATTTTTAATATTGCTAATGTGTCATAATTTTGATCTGATCGGCGTAAAAATCTTTTTGAAGTTTAGAATCACTTTACTGTAGACCCTACGTCTAATAAAAAAGCTAGATGCAATTATTGTAGTTGCTTGATGAAATTTGATAATGAGACGAGTTCCATGCTAGCTCATTAAAAAATTTCATCATCAATGGTAAATGCAGAAAGACATGTTTCTTCTCCTTCAGTTGCCAAATTTAACCAAGAGAAGTGTCAGATAAAATTAGTGAAGATGTTTATAGCAATGGAAATTTCTTTTCGATGTATGGAGCATGAATCATTTCAAAAGTTTTTGAGTGTTTTACAGCTAAAATTTCATGTCATTTCATGTAGTACATTAGCACGTGATGTTTTAGGACTATGGGAGACAGAAAAGATTAAATTGAAAACATTTCTTTCTCAAAATTGTCAAAGGGTTTGTCTTACCACTGATACATGGACTTCTGTTCAGAATCTTAGTTATCTTTGCTTGACTAGACATTTTGTTGACAATAATTGGAAGTCACAAAAAAAGATTTTAAATTTTTGTCAAATCACTAGTCATTCAGGAGAAACTATTGCTAAGACTATAGAAAAGTGCTTGGAAGGGTGGGGGCTTAATTGTGTTTTAAGTTTGACAGTTGATAATGCTTCATCAAATGATGTTGGTATTCAATATCTCATAAAAAGGCTATTGTCTTAGAGGAGTTTAGTTTTGGATGGAGAATATATTCAT